ACCACATGCAGATGACACATGCAATCAATTTGAGACAAATAAGTTTGTTTTTATTAAGGAGAAGAATATTATCTCTTGCCCTCATGGTCTTTCATGGAGAAGGTGTAGTGTAGGTGGTCACACAAAACTCTGAGTGGGGTTTTCTCAGAGCAAAAAGCAAACAAGTCTCTTGCACTTTTCGCTTACTTCTTCTCCACTATGTGACGATGCGCCCTTTAATATTGCCTCCCTCATAATATGTCCCGTGTTTTCATCCTTTCTGAGCCTGCCTCCACATTCTCTCAAAATGTACTAAGAAACAAAGATCTTAACACTGCCATCCTTAGTAGAAATAAGTCCCATTGAACACAATGGGACCTACTCCCAGAAAAGTGTGTATAGGATTTCTGCTCTAAATAAAGAAGCCTTTTTTCATGGTCAAAGCTTTTTAGAAGTCCTACTGCTTTGTGGAGTAGAGAAAAACCACAATTGGGGGGAGGGGGAGGGGAGAGCACCTAAGTTCCTCACAGCTAAATAATGCAGTATGATTAATAGCAGTCTGAGCGGCATCCCAGGGAAAGCAGAGAGAATGAATTATTCAGAAATATTCAAAGCCTCCAAAGACAGAGTTACAATAATTCAAAATGACAGGCAGAAGAACAAATATATACAAGTGAAGGAACACCAAGGAAAATTTGGAACACTGACAAGGACTCATCATGGTAGTCAGGAGAAAACTGGTAATCTGTGAGTGTTTTTTATAAACCTACTGGGAACCCCAAACCGAATCCTGCTTGTGATCTTCATCCCTATCCATACTCCATCACTGCAGCTGAATTGCATGTGCTCTTACCTCCAGGCTGAAGTGAATAACAGTCAGGTGTTGTATTTGCAGAGAGAAGGGATTAGTCATTAAGTGGCTTTTCCCAGGAGGCCAGGGTGCAACCTGACAGCTGTAAAGCACCTGAAACAACCTCATTTCAATGTCTGCTACTTCCTCACAACCTTCATATTAAGGCTCTTGCTAGATACAGACACAGATGGCTTGAATCAGTTGCGGCTGGTGCCCATTAGACCTGGTGAGGTTGCTAGGTCACAGGAGATGGCAAATGACACCATATAGGTGTAGCCAGGTTGTTCTGGAGAGCCAGTGTGGCATGGTGGACTAGTAAGTGGGAGATAAGGGTTCAAATCTTTGCTCGGGGATAAGATTTCTTGGGCTACAGTCCATTTCATTAGATGTATCATTCTTGGTTTTTTAAATTTAGATACTCTGCAAAACAGTCAACAAAATGCCTGGCTGCCTAAAGTGGGTTAAAGTTTATTAATAACATAATGAAATCTATCAGTCTAGACGTGGGTCAAAATAGCTACTGAGGCCATTGTTTAATAATGTGAACTGTATCCTGTCTTGCACCATAAGACAGCTGGGGAATTTTGGAACATTTGAAGTTGGGGGGTTTAATTACGGTCCCATTGTAGCCAAACTATTAAGTGGAAACCTGACATGACAACTTACTGTTTTCATTCGTCCTCTAGCTATGATCGTCAGCACAGAAGAGAAAATGGAATAACATCAAGCAAGTGCAAAGAGCGCAATTAGGAAAACAATGAGCATTAAGCTTTGATATAAATTGGAACAGTGAGACAACACCATGCATCTTATGAGAGCCTGAATTCCATCGAGGGGAACAAGTCCAATATCCTGCTACTAATTGACTATTAGGAATTAGCAGAACTGTTGATAAATGCCACATTCTGCAAAAGTCATAAATGAGAACATGCACAGAATATGCAACATTCAGATGAAGCTGTAAGTGATCAAGTGAAGCAAAAAAAAAAGTCTACTGATTTGCAGTTGTGGGGACATTAGTACAAGGCCTTAGAATTGGAACTGATGTGATTTACACACCACCAGTGGGGCCCCACTACTGGGAATCGCAGACAGAGGACCACACCCCTCACTGGTTCTGCACTGCATCCTCCTCAAATGCTCTCGCTAGTCTGTAATCTGCCCTTGCCCTTAGCCCTGGAAGCCAAGGCCCAAGTTTGGGGCATGTTCACTTTGGGGAAAGAACCCCAGCAGAGATTTAACATTGCAAAACATGCAACAAAGAAGAGCATGGAGATTTAGGTTGCAAAACCTTTAAAATGTCCCCTTTAAAAGTTATTTCCAAACTTTTACATTTCCCTAGCACAGAGATAGACCACATAATTTGGGCGGTTATAAAATGGATTACTTACAAACCCTCCAAAGGCCAGTTTCTTGTTCTTTTCCATATAGCAGTCAGCAAAAATGGACAGGCAGTTGATGAGTTACAAAAGGTAAAAATTTATAAACTACTGGTAGAGAAAAATCCTAATTTCAGACTCCATTCTGGTCAGAAACAAGAGAGGCTGGTTAAAGCCATGTGGATAGACTAATCAGTTCAGTACTCCTTACATAATGAAATCCACATGTAGGGTGAGAAAAACAAAATGCTTGGCTACCCATTTCCTCCCAAGGTGAGGGGAAGTGACATAGGCGAAGCCTGGCAGTACAGCTGACTCTATGGTTTTAACCCTTTAGGCACTAATTAGACACCACCATGCTGGTTATATGGGGCTGGTTGCCCTACAGATAATTCCTTTTATCTGCAAGGATGGAGATATGGGGTGTACAAATCTCTGACTTTTCTATTCCTAGAAAGCATACTAACATACAAAGGTAAGAGTCAGTCTAATTCTCCACCCATATTTGTCTCTGTTGCCATCCAGCGCTTGTAGGTGGCCCCTGGAAGATTATTAACAAATGATTGCAGGCTAGTCCAGTCCACTCCATTGCCTGTGGGGGAAGGGAGCAAGCAAGTTCACACTGAAATGTCCTGTTCTTTTTCCTTCCTGCTTGCCGCCATTGACATATTTGGGTTATTCCCTTGCAATCGGGATTCAGGCCTCACCATGGGACTGAAACTGCCTTGGTCGCACTGGTTGATGATCTCCGGCGGGCTAGGAACAAAGGTGAGAGCTGTTTCCTAGTTCTGCTGGATCTCTCAGCGGCCTTTGACACCATCGACCATAACATCCTTCTGGACCGTCTAGAGGGGCTGGGAGCTGGGGGCACTGTTATACAGTGGTTCCGCTCCTTTCTCCTGGGCTGTGTCCAGAAAGTGGTGGGGGGGGATGAGTGTTCAGACCCCTGGGCTCTCACTTGTGGGGTGCCTCAGGGTTCCGTCCTCTCCCCCATGCTTTTTAATATCTATATGAAGCCGCTGGGAGAGATCATCAGGGCGTTTGGATTGGGTGTTCATCAGTATGCAGATGACACCCAGCTCTACCTCTCCTTTTAATCAGAACCAGTGAAGGCGGTGAAGGTCCTGTGTGAGTGTCTGGAGGTGGTTGGAGGATGGATGGCGGCTAACAGATTGAGGTTGAATCCTGACAAGACAGAAGTACTGTTTTTGGGGGACAGGGAGCGGGTGGGTGTGGGGGATTCCCTGGTCTTGAATGGGGTAACTGTGCCCCTGAAGGACCAGGTGCGCAGCCTGGGAGTCATTTTGGACTCACTGCTGTCCATGGAGGCACAGGTTAATTCTGTGTCCAGGGCAGCTGGCTACCAGCTCCACCTGGTACGCAGGCTGAGACCCTATCTGCCTGCGGACTGCCTCGCCAGAGTGGTGCATGCTCTAGTTATCTCACGCTTGGACTACTGCAAGGCACTCTACGTGGGGCTACCTTTGAAGGTGACCCGGAAACTACAACTAATCCAGAACGCGGCAGCTAGACTGGTGACTGGCAGTGGCCGCCGGGACCACATAACACCGGTTCTGAGAGATCTGCATTGGCTCCCAGTACGTTTCCGAGCACGATTCAAAGTGTTGGTGCTGACCTTTAAAGCCCTAAACGGCCTCGGTCCAGTATATCTGAAGGAGCGTCTCCACCCCCTTCATTCTCCCCGGACACTGAGATCCAGTGCCGAGGGCCTTCTGGCGGTTCCCTCATTGCGAGAAGTGAGGCTACAGGGAACCAGGCAGAGGGCCTTCTCGGTAGTGGCGCCCACCCTGTGGAACACCCTCCCATCAGATGTCAAAGAGATAAACAATTACCTGACATTCAGAAGACATCTTAAGGCAGCCCTGTTCAGGGAAGTTTTTAATATGTAACGCTGTACTGTTTTTAACACTTGATTGGGAGCCGCCCAGAGTGGCTGGGGAAACTCAGCCAGATGGGTGGGGTATAAATAATAAATTATTGTTATTATTGTTATTATTATTATTATGATCTTTATATTTGAGGGGGATTGTTTGTTTGTTGCAGTCGTATATACTATCTTTCGGCAAAGGCACACAAGGCAGCTAACCATTTTAGAATAGTACGACAAACAAATAGTCCAAAATATAGAATAACAAGGGTTCTCTCAGGCTTACTGATGTGCTTGCTCTTCAGGAGCTGATAGGTATATGACCCTAACTTTATATATATATAAATAAACACACATGCACACACATTCATAAAAACTGAAAACATAGCTCACCATCTATCACAGGAAGAAATTTCTCTTCTGCATACTCCTTGTAGCATAAAAAAAAAGTTTTCAGGAAGACAACCAGAGATTTTTCCTCAGAGGCTCGGTTAATTTCATTGTACACAGGTTGTACATTGACAATAAAGGTAATAATAATAATAATAATAATAATAATAATAATAATAATAATAAAGATTATCCCAGTTATTGAACTGGGACATATGAGTTCAAAGGTACCCTGGGCCTAAGTTGTTCCTTGTCCTGGGCTTCCTGGTTTCTGCTTTCCCTCAGGTCACACAGCTGTTCTTGTTTTTTAAATCCGCCCCAATAAAAGCAGGGCTGAGTCTGCTCCAACTGTTCTCTCAGGCCATTGATGGTTTTGCCGGAAGCTGGCAGTTATGTGCTCCCTGCCCTGGCCTTATCCTTCTCTCAGGGCACACAGGTTTTATACAAAACAAACACACCTCAGTTTCAATCAATATTGTTTAGAAGATATCCTCTGAGGAAGACAGGAACAGCAAGAGACGGATTCTTCCCATAATATCTCCTGCTGAAATCATTCTTGTTTAGAGACGTCTACCCAATTGTTTAGAAAGCTGAAGTAAATTTAATCTGGTTTAGTATTTTAACTTCTTTTTATGTTTTAAAGTAGGGCCGTAAATTTTTCTCGATTTTCCTGTCTTATCTGTTACACACACACACACACACACACACACACACACCCAACAGTGAGGATTTTTTTTTTTAAGCAAACAAGCTGTGTATACGTTTCATGAAATTAAATAATTAAATAGCATTTCCCCAACAAGCCAAGGTAGAAAAGGAGATATGACAGATTAGTTATAGTAGCTCTGGCTTCATTGCCTGAATCCTCCATTCTTCTGGTGAATAAAAATAATAAAACAGCTTTATGGAGCTGTCCAACCAGTATATTTTTTTTCCCTTTGTTAGTTACATCAGTCCAACTTTGCTTCACCTTTGCCTCACAAGACTTAAATATGCTGCTAGGTGTATCACCAGGTGTATTCCTGGGTGTGGAAGCGGGAACACCCGCCAGCAGTTGAAACAGCTTTTGACCTAGAGTACTTAGCAGGGAGCTCCCTGACATTTTTTTTTTCTTTTTCTTTTTGCTCTCCAGGAGGCAAATGCAGGGCAGGGTAGATTTACCCCAAGCTTCTTCATCTTTACCTAATGAGCCACCAACATTTGAAGACCCCTGTCCACAGCTGATCCATTGGCCTGGGAGTAGATGGAAGAATGGCCAGCGTATTCTAAAAGTAGCAGACGGAACTAGGATGGGTGAGGGGTTGTTTATGATATGCAATGGTGACTCAGCTAATACTGCACCACAAAAGGGAAATGGATGCCAACAAAAAATTAGGAATCTCATCTCCAACAAAAAAAAAGATGTAGCCACAAGTATATCTTTGTGCACTCGGGATTTAGATAAGTTTAGATAGTATAAACATTCAGCAGATGTTTGATTACGAAAGAGGGCCACAGTTACTAACAACATGCTACTATAGCATAGTGAATTAAGATTACCAATGCTATACATACTTATCTGGGAATATGCCCCATTGAGTGTAATAATATTTACTTCTGAGTATAATAATCATAATTTATTACTTATACCCTGCTCACCTAGCCGGGCCTCCCCAGCCACTCTGGGCAGCTCCCAACAGAATACTTAAAACATGATAAAACATCAAACATTAAAAACTTCCATTATTATTATTATTATTATTATGAGCAGGCATGCACAGGAAAACACTAAATTGTGAACCAGGAAGCCCCAAGTTCAAATGCTTAGCTCTGGCATGGAAGGTGAGCCAGACAAATCTTAGCACGCTGACATAATCTGCAATATGGCCTGGTCTAAAAACTGGTCTACCTTACAACATTGTTGTAAATGTGTGTTTTTTTAATGTTTATATGCCCTTTAAACACTCTTAAGGCTGAAATAGTGCACACCTTCATTTGGGGAAAAGCCATATTGAATCCAATGGGATTTACTTCTGAGGAAACATGTACAGAATCGGTACAATTTAAATGAAAATAAAAAGATGATGAAGATGATGGGAACCATAATTTCACATCCAGACCCGCCGCACAGCCATGAGCTGCAATCCAGTTCTGTACCTACAGAGTCATTCTGCACTGACAGACAACAACATGCAACTTGTGCCCACACACACACACACACACACACTGATTGGTATATATATTATCATGAATGTAATGCAGACACAGCTAATAGGCAATGTCTGTACCATGCGACAGCTACTCGGTACCTGCTAATATTAACATTTTATTGAGTTGCGCTATAAAAGGTAGGAAGCTATTGATAAGCACTGATAAGACATTCCCTGTTTATAGTTTGTTTATTTGTTTCTTAAAATTTATACACCACTTGATTGTAAAAAAAATATGAAACAGGTTATAGTTTATGAGATATTTTGCAATTATTTATACTGATGGCATAAGGAAATAAACTTTTTAAAAAAAATATTAATGAATGCACTAGTTTACCACTAGGTGCGTGATACTCTGGTGATGACTGCAATGTGAGAAAGAGAAACTGTATTATTATTATTATTATTATTATTATTATTATTATTTAGTCTTCAGCAAATATCCATTAGGTTAAGAAGTGAGTGCTTAGCTTGGGAAAGTTTTCCCTTTGACTTCATGCACAGATTCTAAAATTAAGATCAGACAAGGAGCTGGAGGTGTCAGCCAATATCTGTGTCAAGTGAATTAGATTGACGCTGTCTGTCAACACCCACATGTGCACAATTGATGATATGTCTAATTAACAATATATTTAATAGTCTGTTTCACTGAATGTTTATGCTGTAAGTATATATTTAAAGAAATATATCACAAGATGTCAGAGCAGCCTTCAAAGCAGCTTTTCAATAATGAAAACGGAAGGCATGCTTTTAATAAAAGGAAACATTAAGTCCAAGTGCTAATAAGCAAAGGCCCTAATATCTTAGAATTAGAGTTATGCAAATTTTAGCTTAGAAAAGCAATGCCTGACTAAATAGATGTATAATAGAATCATTTGAATGTGATGACAGGCAGGGAGAAAATGAACTTGGTCTTTCTCCAAACTTGGGAGTCAATGAGCCGATTTAACAAAAGTACTTTTTTAAAATGGAAGGAAATATGCTTCCATCCAATGTAAATTAACTATTGATCTTTGAGGGTGGGAAATAGACCAAACATACTGAAATTTGCCCACTGATTGAACAAGATGGTTGGTAGGAGGGAGATAAGCTTTCTCAATCTCAGATTGTCACTGAAGAACATCTAACTTATTTATGTTTCCTTTGAAGTGATTACTCTTTAGATTAATGGCAAAAGCAGAATGAAGAGCTAGACAGAACATTGGTCAGTCCATTATAGCAGTGATCCAACTAGACTGGCGTGCCTCTGTCATACATTGGGGTCAAAGTGAACTATATTGTAACCTGAGAGATTGTTCACTTATGGACCTCCAATGTGTCCAATTCAGTTATGTTGGAGTTTCTTCTGATTTTCTGTGCACATCAGGAGCACGAACTGAACGCAGCCATGCACCCAAGAGAACAGTATGTACCTAGCTACTTTTGTGCATTTGTGTTAGGCTATGTTGGTTAGCACTGTTTTCTACTAAATGCACCTAAAACAGGTGAATGTGGGCCATTATTATTAAAGCAGTATACAGTTACACTGAATATGAATAAGGAAAGCATTCCAATGCAACATTTGAAAGCTGGATACCTCTATATGGCATAGCCAGTCTAAATTTAAAAAAAATACTACTGGAAGTAGTGTTACAACTCAGGAAACAAAAAACAAAACAAAAACAGAGATAAATGGCTGTGTGTCTTCTGGAGATGTTCTGCCTTTATAAGCAGCTTCTTTTAAATGGCCTCTTCTGGATCAAACATCTTTAAGAGGTTTCATAACAGCCAAATCTATTTTTGTCAATGCTGTGGCAACTGATGGCCTGTTAGATGTATTCCTAAGAAAATATTTAGGATTCATCTTGCTCCTTTACGGTGTCTGTTGTTCTTCAGTCCAGTTTTGAAAACTAGGGGCAGGGCAGAGGGGAGGGGAAGCATTTTGTAAGGATAATGGCATCGAGGGAAGTTTCTGCACTAATGGCATTTAATGTAAATTTAAATTTTGAGTTTTACCTAGCAGGAGGCATGGACATGACTGACAGATGTTTTGTTTGTTGATGTCCTTTTCCAACAGATGTTCCTTTGAGTGGTGGAGCCCAATGGTGCACTGTTCCCTGCAGTCTGCAGTGTTTTATGGGCAAAATTGGATGTAACGATATATTCAGTGCCTGTGGGCCCAGTGCTGTGTCCACAACATATTCATAAAAATAATGCACCATTTTTAATAGACACACCTAAAGGTCTGTATGAAATGAAATTAGAGGGGGACAAGTAACTGAGATGAGTACTGCAATTGCCTAAGACAGCCTTCCTCAACTTGGTGCCCTCCAAGTGCTTTGGACTAAAACATCTAAAGAGTGTCAGGTTGGCAAGTGCTGTCTTAGTTTGTTCTAGATTAAAACCATGGGTGTTGTGGGGAATTTTACCCTCTGGTTTCTGCAAAGACAAGATTTCACCGAAAAGTCCATGGTTAAAAGCTATTCCAGAATCTGCCTTTAAAAACTTATTAGCGGTGTATATATTGTTATGCCAGTGAAATGGAAGTCCAAACCTGTTTTCAGGATAGCTTTAAGTGCTAATTCATTGTTGTTTTCTCATTCGCTCCTCCCATCCTCCCAAAACTGTAAGTAGAAAAATAAGTAAGAGATAATGGCTCCAAAATGAATGTACAAGAAATTGGAAGCCCATGTTAAACAATGACAAATAAATTGATTTTGCTGGCTAGGAGGTACAACTGAATTTACCTTGGGTAGGGGTTAGATCCCATATTCCCTTCCATGAACAGACGGGTTCATTGTGTTTGTGATCTAACAGAAAAAGAAAGGAGGAAGCTGGCTATTCTGCCACCCAAAGTACAGTGGGAAGATGGGATAGACTTTTCGCTGCAGCACTGTAAGCTGCATCTAACAAAGTCATACCGTTAGTTCAAGGACTTCCACCTGTGCAACAACACTCCCCCCCTCCACTCACAGTGTGCCCCCCAAATCTGCTCCAGAGGGTTGGGGAAGCCCCCAAAACTGATTTGGAAGGAGCAAGGAGAATGTTTGTTGAGGTGAGCTAGAGAAAACCCCACTGTGGAAGCAGAAGACCTTGTGGTGATGGGACTTTATTGGATACAATCCCTAGTTGTGGAGCACTTTCTAGGAATAGTTCCCAATATCCATCACATGGATGACCTTTCGGTGTCTAGCCCAAGCCTGACTTTCCAGGAAAGCCTTTGGGCTATGATTCTGCCCCCCCCCCCAGTTTGTTGTGGCTTTTTTCTCCAAATACACATGATGTTTCTTTTATTTTTATTGTTTTGAATACATGGTTTTCTATTACGTTACCACAGGCTGCCTTTAGTGTTTTTAAAGAAAGGTAGAATCTAAATATTGTACCAGATAAATGCCTGTTCTCATTTGCTTTCAGTTCTGTCACCTAGCAACCAGCAAAAATACACCTACTTGTCGCAATGTAGAAATCTAATTAAGCATACCTGGCTTCCACCTAAACAGAAACTTGGTTGTGCAGGAGCTCACTGCCAAGGCACATTGGATACAGCCCATTTACTTTATGTGGCTTGATTGCCTTGGATTTTTTTTTCAGGTAATCATTTGCTACCTTGGAGGTCCCATTAAGGGATGTGGCCTGAGCAGAGTTCTGAGGGCTGAAGAGAGAGGCTTCATTCAGTCCACAGGCTTGAAGTCTCCCTACCCCTGCCATAGCAGTTACTGTATAACAAAACACTCTGTTCAGTTCTCCAATCAAAGTCTGTTTCAGAATTGTGTGTCAGTTGAGTGGTTAATTTAGCACTCAGCATGGATATTTGACTGAACATTGGTATATACCAATATACTAATGTGAGCATATGGAACAGTAATGCAGCCTATTTTTTAAAAAAAGAAAGTATGTGATCTTCTGAGCAAACATGAGATTATCTTGTTTGTAGACCATATTGGATTTTATGTCCAAAAATCTCCAATTCTGTGTCCTACTTTCTGTGCCTACGGCCACTGGCCTACAGCCTCAAGTTCATTTGGAACTTGTGTCAGCTCTGTCCTCCTATCCCATGAAGTTCAGCGATGTAATTCAGCTGTCAAGACATTGTTTTGAACTCTTGTTTAACAGGTTATGACTAACCAGGGTCTATTTTTGTCCATACAATGTGGTATTTCAGAATTTCTCCAGAATGTAAGAGACAACAAAATCAACAGCAAGAGGAAACATGTTTGCAGATTTGTGTGCTTCTCTGTGACTGCTTGGCAGACTTGACACTGGAAACAGTCAGCAGGACCAAAGCACAAACCAGAAGGTAGGATCAGAGAATAACCAAAGAAAAGAGGATCATACGTGAGCACAGAAATACCTTGATGCTCTCTAACAAAGCTCAGCTGGAGCAGGAATCCCCCTTTATATTTTCTCATGCCTGGAAGGATCCAAAGATCATCTAAGATGGGCAAAGTCAGCCCAGTTCAAGTTCAGTAGTTCGGTAGTTTACCTTACAGGGCAGTGAAAGAGATCCAGTGTGGTGTAGTGGTTAAGAGCGATAGACTCGTAATCTGCTCCTGCACATGCACCTGCTGGGTGACCTTGGGCCAGTTACACTTCTTTGAAGTCCCTCAGCCCCACTCACCTCACAGAGTGTTTGTTGTGGGGGAGGAAGGGAAAGGAGAATGTTAGCCGCTTTGAGACTCCTTCGGTTAGTGATAAAGCGGGATATCAAATCCAAACTCTTCTTCCTCTTCTTCATCCAGAAGTTCTTGGCACAGTGTGACAAAATTCCATGGATTTCTTCAGAGGTTACGTAATGTGATCATCCTGTATAGTTGGATTGCTATCAACTTAAAGGCAAAAATTAGAGGGTTACTAATCACTAGTTTGGTTTATGCAACATGGTGAGCCACACTATGACTCATCATGACTGTTTAAACATGCAGCTAGGTGGGGGAGAAATTTGATTCAGTTAACATTTAAAGGCTAAGCTGCCAGATTTGTACTTTCCAGAACAATATGGGAACCAAAACGCAACTTTGAAATTCACAATTCTACAAATTTTGCAATTCAGTTCTCCAAGCAAGCAATGTGTTAAAAAATGCATTTTTAAAGAATTGTGTGTATAAATATGCACAAGAGTGAAAATAACATACATTATATTTGGGAAACGAGCTCTGCAAAAATGTGTGTATAAAGCAAAATATATGTATATTAGGGAAAAATCATACTAATATGCTGAAGAATGTTCTTGAGGTATACAACTGATGTGGAGAATTCAACAAGGCTGGAAAAATGAGAAACTGACTGAACCCAAAATTGACAAATCAGCCCATCCTGACATGCAGGATCTCAGAGAGGAGCTCACAGCTGTCTGAACTGGGCTCGTCGTTAAGCTCTCACCGTACTTACCAGAAGCTGAAGCCAGAAGCAAACCCTGCAGAGAGAGCTCAACCACAAGTTCCCAGCTGGGTGACAGGATAAGCTAAACATTGGCTTGGCTTCACTCAGTATGCTACAGCGCAGGAGGAAAACGAACCAGGTAGGAGCAAAGTGCTTGTGAGCTGCTCTCCAGAAACCCACATATTTGCTTGGAAATGTTATGTGAACCAGGACACTGGTTTTAAAAGTGGTAGTAAAAGTGGCAAAACAAAAACACAATACACTATATACAACACTTCGGTAAAAACGTAAGAAAAGCAGCCCTCCCGAACTCTTGCACTTCTTACACACCTTGAGGGGCAACAGTCACCTTTGAATCTTCACTTTGAGACAGCATTCACGAATCGTCTCAATGCAGTGTCAGAAAGCAGGGGGAAAGCCAGCTCATTTGCTACTCAAAAGGAAAGGGGAAAAGAGAAGTTTGGAAAGTACCACAAAACTGAAGATATTAAAAGTATAGATATTGCCAAAAGCAACCACCTGCCAATTGGCAGTTTGATTATCACTTGCAATATGAAGAATGCACTTTCAGTAATAAAAAAGGTTGAAAGTTAAAATGCTCTGTGATGTTGCTAATTCCATTGTGATTTTCCATATTAATCATCATAAAGGCGATGCGGTCTTCAAAGGCAGGCAAAGCTATGCCCAGTGATCGTTCTGCATTGTTTCATTCATAGCACCAGAAGTGCCCTCAGATATAAATGTCAAATGCATCTTCCTTAGATAGATGTAAGATTGACTACATCCAATAGATTTGTCCAATATTTTCTTCATAAATGTAAAATGGAGCTTCTAAAACATTTTTAGGCCATTCCTAATTGTTCATCTGATTAGAAAGTATCCTGAATCTAACATGGATCTTTTTTTAAAAAAATAATATTTATTAATTTTAAAGAGTTACAAAAAGAAAAAATTAAAAAACAGCATATTAAAAAGATACAAAAATCACATCGCAATAATAAAAAAAAGAGAAAGAAGAAGAAAAAAAGAAATACAAAGAATCTTCCCATAACTTATCTTTCATTTGCTTATTTCCTTGACCTCCTCACACCTCCCTTTTTTGTATTCTAGTTCAGTTAACTATTTCAGCAAGTCCTTTCCATCTTTTCCAATTTTTGTCCTCTATTTTATCTTAATATAATGTAAATTTACTTTCCCTCCTTCACCATTTAGCAATCTATTTTTTCTTAATCCTTTATAGCATTTCTGCTAAAACCACATTATTTCATTCCAACATCCTTCTAACATTCCTTAATTTTACAATGTTTCTGTAAATAAGCTTTAAATTTCTTCCAATCTTCTTCCACCAACTCTTCTCCCTGGTCTCGGATTCTGCCAGTCATTTCCACCAGTTCCATGTAGTCCATCACCTTCATCTGCCATTCTTCCCGGGTGGGTAGATCTTGTGTCTTCCAATATTTCGCGATGAGTATTCTTGCTGCTGTTGTGGCATACATAAAAAAAGTTCTATCCTTTTTTTGGCACCAGTTGGCCGACCATGCCCAGGAGAAAGGCCTCTGGTTTCTTCAGAAAGGTATATTTAAATACCTTTTTCATTTCATTATAAATCATCTCCCAGAATGTCTTAATCCTTGGGCACGTCCACCAAAGGTGAAAAAATGTGCCTTCAGTCTCTTTACATTTCCAACATTTATTATCAGGCAAGTGGTATATTTTTGCAAGCTTGACTGGTGTCATGTACCACCTGTATATCATTTTCATTATATTCTCTCTTAGGGCATTACATGCCGTAAACTTCATACCTGTGGTCCATAACTGTTCCCAGTCAGCCATCATAATATTATGTCCTACATCTTGTGCCCATTTAATCATAGTTGATTTCACCGTTTCATCCTGAGTATTCCATTTCAACAGCAAGTTATATATTCTTGACAAATTCTTAGTTTTGGGATCTAACAGTTCTGTTTCCAATTTTGATTTTTCCACCTGGAAACCAATTTTTTTATCCAAATTGTACACCTCCATTATTTGGTAATAATGGAGCCAATCTCACACTCTATTTTTTAGTTTTTCAAAACTCTGCAATTTTAATCTGTCTCCCTCTTGATCCAAAATTTCCCAATATTTCGGCCAATTGGCCTCCATATTGAGCTTTTTCTGAGCCTTCACTTCCATTGGTGACAGCCACCTTGGGGTTTTATTTTCAAGCAAGTCCTTATATCTTATCCAGACATTAAACAGTGCTTTTCTGACAATATGGTTTTTAAACGCTTTATGTGCTTTAACCTTATCATACCACAAATATGCATGCCACCCAAATACGTTGTTAAAACCTTCTAGGTCCAGTACGTCAGTATTTTCAAGAAGCAGCCATTCTCTCAGCCAGCAAAACGCAGCCGATTCATAGTAAAGTTTAAAGTCTGGCAGGGCAAATCCGTAAAATTTAATATCTTAAATTTTATTCGAGGCTTCTTGCCCTGCCAGACAAATCTAGAAATATCTCTCTGCCACTTCTTGAAACAATCCATTTTATCCAGAATTTGCAATGTTTGGAACAGAAACAGCATCCTTGGCAATACATTCATTTTTATCGCAGCAATTCGGCCTAGCAGTGATAACTTCAAGTTTGACCATATTTCTAAATCCTTTTTCACTTCCAACCAACATTTTTCATAGTTATCCTTAAATAAATTCACATTTTTGGCAGTCATATTAACCCCTAGGTATTTCACTTTCTTAACCAATGTTACTGAATCTAACATGGATCTTGACTCAAACATTCCCACAACTTAAACCACTGGGCTCGGTCTACTGGGAGGCTCTTCTGTAAGCCACATTGAAATGAACAAGAGCATATATATACGTGCTTGCTCAACTTTGTGCTCTTTCAATAAGGCAATTGCAAAGGGTTGTGGCTCTCTGCCAGAGCACATGGTTTTTGTGCAGAAGGTTCCAGGTTCAGCCAGTCTTGGCATCTACAGGTAGGCCTGTCTGGAGAGCTCCTGCCAGGCACTGAGCTAGATGACTCTATATACTGCAGTTTCATATGAATTTCACATCTATTAAATTTCCTTTCACATACACTTCCCATTAGATCTTGCTCTTGCCTTTTTGTCCTCATCGTTTTTTTTTCTTCCATTATTCTGGAATTTATGTCAGTCTGTTAATGAAGAGTATTGTTGTCCCCACCACCCAATAATTGCATTTTCTGTCTTTCTAAAACACGTTTCTAGGTGACTGAATGTGCACAAAGTTCTCCCGCTGAAGCACTGTGCTTTTGTGCCTTAAGGCCGTTTCACACATTTCACAGCATAAACACACATTTGCACAAAGTTATGTGCAAAGGTAGGGAGACTCAACTTGTCGTGATTTACCTTGCACATGCAATTATCTCTGAAAACTTGCTCTCTCCTTTCAGATGCGGAGTGGTGAAAATTGGGCCCAGTGAGCCCAAGTCTCCCTACTTGGCCATCTAAAGGAGGGGGGAGGTAAGCATGCAAAGGCAGAGGTTGTGCTTCTGATCACTTGAGTCACCCTTGGCACTCCACTGGGCCCAGCTGCCCAGCATCCTTAACATGTTGTCCAAAGACAGAGGATAATGCAAATGACTGGAAGCAGCATGTCTGCTTCTTGCAACCATGTGTCTAATACTCCCCCCCCCACCTAGACACGCAGAAAGGGGGGGGCAAGGCAAGAGGAGGCAGTAATTAGTCTTCTTGCTCAGCATGCCTTCTGTCAGTGAAAGGCTCTGCCTGCTTGCTTAGCTCTCTCTCTTTGGGCAGTGCAGTAGGGAGGATTGGGTCCTACAGTAGGTGGAAATAGCAGCTGCTCCTTACTAGGGATAAAGGAATCTGTCAAATTTCGTTTCTCCACATTTCTGCATCAGTTTGTAATTTTAAAAAGTACCTCAAGAAAATGCATCAACATTTCAGACCATATTTTTCCCAATTTGCACATTTTTGGAAGCACTTTCTCATAATATAATGTATTTTTGTATGTTATTTTCACTAATATAGGCAGTATTATGCATGTTATTCCCCTAATACATGCATTTTACTACACATTATTTTTGTTAAAGAGCTGCAAAATTGAAAAAAGAGAAACTGCATTGCAACATTCAGAGAAGTGTGATTTTTCTGAGAACAACTGTTTCAGTTTCCACATTGTTTCCCCAACTGTGGATTAGGAAGTTTTGCATTAAAATGTGAACCAAGTCAAATTTCTTCTCCTTCCCTTGAGGCCCGTGACAACTGCTTGCTCACCCTCCCTCTTTTTTTTCTAAGAAGGAAGGTTGGGCTCAACTGTTAAGCCAAGCAGAAGAAAGCAGCTGAGTGAGCAAGAGTGTGGCCCATTGTCACCCTCCTTTTTAAACCTTCTCCCTGAACCCAATATGCGAGAGAGTGCAGGTGAGTGAGGGGAAAGACTGTTCCTTGTACATGCAGTCGACTCCCACTGGAAGCCTTGGTGGGTGGACTGGACAAGCTGGGCCCCACTTCTCTGTGACGCCACCAAGAGAGCAGAGGCAACAACCTTTACTCTTGGCAGTTTCACAGGGCCCAGTCCTCCCACCCCCCCACTCTTGTACTGTCCAGAGAAACCAAAGGTGAACAAGTAACAGGAAGGGCAGCCACTGTCTTCTCTGGTTCACTCACACACACCCTCATAAGCCACTCGGCTGGCTCCAATACTCCTAGAGGGCTGGCCCAAATCATTTTGACACCTGAAGAAGAGCAGCAAATGGCATCAATCTCTGAGTGTCAAGGTACATAGTACCCAGAGCCCTTTTAAGTGATTTTGCACATGGTGTTCTGAATTAATCTTTGCAAGGCATCCCTAATTGTTATTACAGTGGTACCTCGGGTTACAGACGCTTCAGGTTACAGACTCCGCTAACCCAGAAATAGTACCTCAGGTTAAGAACTTTACCTCAGGATGAGAACAGAAATCATGCGGCGGCGGCGGGAGACCCCATTAGCTAAAGTGGTGCTTCAGGTTAAGAACAGTTTCAGGTTAAGAATGGACCTCCGGAACAAATTAAGTTCTTAACCCGAGGTACCACTGTATCAGATAACTGTGTAAGATTGCTGTATAATCTTACCAGGTGGCATAATCTTAGAAGAGGCATAACTGTGAGGGGGCCTGGCTGTGACTATCATGAGGGGGCCCTGTGCTACACTATTGGCTTCAACTTCTCCAATGCTAAGCATATTTGGGGATAAGCAGTGTGTTTTGTTGTAGGAAGAGAGAGAGAGAGAGAGAGAGAGAGAGAGAGAGAGAAAGAACATGGTGTGTTGTACGCCATCCCCAATCTTGAGAGGTACAAGATTCCAGGGGTCCCAGGGTTCGGTTTCCTTGAAATGAAGGGAAGCAGAGCCTGTGGTGTCTGTATAATATTTGTTTTATTTACACACACAAACAACCTGAGCCTACTATGAAGGGGCACACAGCATTAAGAGCCGGGAAGGTATTGCTTCTCCAATAGCCACAGAAATCAGGCATGTCTCTCACTCTCAGGCTTCTGCTGGCAGTCAGCTTCCAGCCCAGCGCTCTCTCTCTCATACACACACCTCAACTCTTGCTAATGGCCAGGTGAGGGAGTGGGGTCCACCCATTTGCCCTCTGGCACAAAGCCACTTCCTTTGTTATACTGTACTAACAAACTTACAGCCCATTAACTCACTGTCAAATTTGCCTGGCTCCTTCACCAAGGGAAGCCCCCCCCCCCCCAAAAACACTTCACAACACTGTATGTATAACCAAGTACATGCCCAGCCAGCTGTCCCCTAACTATAAACTGCTTTTTAAAAAGGATGCTGTGGCAGCCAGCGCCAGGTTTGATGGGTCCTGGCAGGATGCCCATGTTGTCTCAGGTGTTGAGGAGGGGCCTGTTCGCAGCTCTCCATATCACCTGGCTCGCTCGCTCTCTGGGTGGTCATTCGCGGGATGGGTGGTCCTTGGACCTTTCCCCCTCCCCTCGCTCGAGGTCCAGCCCTAGCTGCCCCACTGCAGAGAGGGGAAAGGTGGTGTGTTGCTGTGTACCACGGAGCACAGCCCAGCCACCCAAGGGGGGCCCAAGTCTCCCAGCAACTGGTCGGGCTTCCGTGGCCTCGCTCCCCTCATACGATCATCCACCGACCCACCGCCCCCCCTACGGCGCGCGCGCGCGCTCTCTCCCTTCCAGGCGCGGGCCTTGCCCGAGCTGGTCCGCAAAAAGGGAAGTTTAGTAAGACCGCAGCAGTAAAAGACCCCAACCCCCCAGCCTTGTCGCGGCTCAGCCTGGCGCCGGCGCTGCCTGGGCGAGCCCTTCCCCGCCCACCTTTCCGTGAGAGGCAAACATCCGCCCTAGCGTGGCGGAAGGGAAGCAGAAGGCGAGCCAGGAGCCGCTCAGAAAGAAGCGGAGGCAGCGCGGCGAAAGCGGCCGCTGCACCATGGACGCCTTCTGCGGATCCAGTTTCTGGGTAAGTAAGCATTCCTCCCTCCTCGCCGCCGCCGCCGCCTCCCAATCCGTGATCACCCGGTGGCCCTCGGAGGCCAGCGCATCCCTCTCGTTTTCCCCAAATAAGTAAGGAAGTCAAGGGAGTTCCCGCTCATCTGCCTTCAGAGCATGTCTCTTGTTTCAAGAAAGGACGATCATTTAATGAAACACAGGCGCGGGCATCGGGCATCGCCAGGCTGCAACTTTCGGGCACTTAGTGAACTTTAAAGGGATGGGGCACGGAAAGGTCGGGAGGAGGGGAGTCCCTAAGTTTCTGCATGCGCAACCTCTCCTCCTGCCGATGGGTTCTTGTTTTTGATGGGGGTGGATTGCCTCCAGAGTCTGGGGTGGAGAAAAGCACTCGAAAAGAGGGAGAAAGAGTTAAGAGGTGTGTGGACCAGCAGCATGACGCGGGGATGCAGACTCCTCAGAGGGGGGTTGCCGAGGGCGAGAAGGCAGGAGCTATGCGATGTGGGTTAGCAGACCTGGTTGGAGGCGCAGCCTTGCCGTAGATGAGCACAGTCACGCGTACACGTGGAACCCAAACCTTGCAACCTGGAGGGCAGAAACTCGCGGAGATGACTTGCCTCACGCATCCCAAAACTTCCAAGTAAAATATAATGGAGTTACGAAAAGAAACGTGGGGGGGGGTCATCTTTCTCAGTTCTCAGCGTATTATCAAACAAGCGTGGACCCAAAATGAAATGTTGCAATTCATCCCCCAAAGGCGCGCTCCTGTCTTTCGAGACAGATGGATGCCAACAGTCCCTGTGTATTGAGGGATAAAACAAAAACTTGCCGGAGGCAGGTTCAAACCCATGAATGGCACGTGCTTGCATATTTCTGCCGGGTTAAAAACTAGCAGCACTTCTCACACAGATGCACGTGCGTTCATTCCCACTGGAATCGATGAAGCGAAGTACTTGGGAACGTGTTCAGCACTCAGACACATTGCTGGCATACCGAAAAACAGTTGCATTTTTATAGGAATAAAAAAAGAAAACCTCTGCCCTACTGACTTCTAAGGTGAGGCAGGTGAGGCTACTCCCTGGTGCTGCAAACCTGACTAGACAGGTATTTTTCCAATCCCTTAACTGCCACACCATTCTAATGCTGGGCAAAACCAATACACAAGCTTGAGCAAGGCAATTGCTAGAGGCTGTTAGAGCATGTGGCTGTTTCTTCAAAGTTGGAGTCTTATTCATTCCAGCCCTGGAGAATATCTCTGTCCACTGGAAGATGTATGTTGATACTTGGGTCCTGCTTTTTTGGGGGGGGGGGGACCAAAGCATACAGTGGTACCTCGGGTTAAGTACTTAATTTGTTCCAGAGGTCCGTTCTTAACCTGAAACTGTTCTTAACCTGAAGCACCACTTTAGCTAATGGGGCCTCCTGCTGCTGCCGCGCCGCCTGAGCCCGATTTCTGTTCTTATCCTGAAGCAAAGTTCTTAACCTGAAGCACTATTTCTGGCTTAGTGGAGTGTGTAACCTGAAGCGTATGTAACCTGAAGCGTGTGTAACCCGAGGTACCACTGTATTGTTATACAGCTGTTTATTGTGCAGCAATTCATTGTTCCCTCCACAGAAATGGAAGTATCACAGGCTGCATTCCTAGACCTATGTACTTGGCTGGAAGCACCATTGTGTTCAATGGGCTTTTACCTCTGAGCAGACATGCAGACTCACTCTGTCAGATACATTGTGCCCCAGAGGAATGAAATGGAGACTGACACAAATTACAAAACCGAGTAAGGCTGAGCATTTTTCAGGAGAAGAGAATCTTCTTGCACTTTTGTCCAAAATTTAAATGCTTTATTATATAGTCCTATTGAGTTCAATGGGAGTTTTGCCCTAATTAGCATATTTTGGTTCATAGCCTAAATTTTTGTGTGTTGTAGAAATGGTTATCTGTGGAAATATATACATGTACATTTGTGTATATTTTGTGTCCATGGTAGGTCACTGATTTGCAGAAGCAAGTTCGTGATGTATTGCCCTGGAGGCATGCTATAACGGTATAGCATGGATGGAGAGCCTATGGCTGACTGTAACTCCCATCATGCCTGACCATTGATTATGTTGGGTGGAGCTGATGGGAGTTTGAGCACAGCAGCATCAAGAGGGCCACTGCCGTATAGTGCTTTGTAATAACTGGTTTTACTGAATAATGTATTGCTGGCATTGCTTACCTAGCTTTTCTCGTGGTTTCTTCAATGCTTTTGTAGTGGCTTTTTCAGATACCAAGGAGGATATCTTTGTCATTCAAAGATTTAAGTCTAGGAAAGTCTGTACAAAAAAAATCCAATGATTTTGCAATCATAATTATTTATGCAAAATAAATATGTCGTGTAATTACTATTGCAAGTGCATAGGCCTAGTTCTCACCGACGATGGTTGAGGAAGACTTCCTGTTTTCTGGACTGTACAACCAGATTGCAGGTGTGGGGAACTGTACGATGGACTTGTTCCCTTAGGCACAACAGAAAATAAGCATGTCAAACCCGGGCCCTTTCTAAGAACGTTTTGAGAGCTCTCCACTCCGCAGCGTAATGGCAGGGAAGGGGAAGAAGAAGAAGAAATGGATTATATTCAGGAGCACTATTAGAGGTGTGAGCACCTTGTTTTCCGAAGGCTAATAGTAACTCTGGGGGGTTACTGTTAGATATAATGGGGAAACAGCACTGTGGGAAAGCATTACCCCTTTCCAGAGATAATGCTCCAGTTATAATTGGAACCATCAGTGGTTGCTTTAATTTGAAAATAAAATATTGGGATATATTATCATGGATCTTGTATAGTTTGGCTCTCCAGTTGGTTACTGAGTTGATTAGAACTCTTTCCTCCCCCTCCACCCCCCGTCTCTCATGTGTGTGGGGCTGTTAAGCTGCGGCTCTCCATTGCCTCCAATGGAAGTGTTTCAATGCATTGATGTAGGTGTAACATGATATCAGTACAGTGGTACCTCAGGTTACAGACGCTTCAGGTTACAGATGCTTCAGGTTACAGACTCCGCTAACCCGGAAGTAGTACCTCAGGTTAAGAACTTTACCTCAGGATGAGAACAGAAATTGCGCGGTGGCAGTGTGGCGGCAGCAGGAGGCTAAAATGGTACCTCAGGTTAAGAATGGATCTCCAGAATGAATTAAGTTCTTAACCTGAGGTACCACTGTACAAGGGTGGCTCCAATCCTGTGTATTGTAGGACTGATTGCAGACCATACTCCCATGTACCACATTCAACCAGTCCTGGAACACAGCCCTTCTGAAAGTCAGCTGTTGCCCAACCACCTTTACCACAATGCGTAAATTCATTATGTCACCGCGTTTCTTTGTGTCTGATGGTTCAAAGAGACTTTGTAGCTACTGACTTCTGCCCAGCAGAAGTTTAACACAAAGATAAGTCCATTCTGTTAGCCACTTAACGGAATACTCTTGGAGTCTTACACATGTGCTCTGTGAATTTGCAGTAAGCTGCCTCACCTTTTAACAGATATGTATGTGCTTCTCAAATGTACACTGTGTGCTGTGCTGTTGAGTGGTTCATGTTTCTTAATAAGAGGCTTCTTTGGGTATCCATAGTAAAACAAAAACAAAACACTTTAGTTTCATTTCCATTATTGGTTTGGAGGAAACTCTCCACCTCCTTAAAGAGTAACCACTCTGCTCGGACTACTCCTAAGATTTATTTACAGTGGTACCTTGGTTTACGAACTTAATCCATTCCGGAAGTCCGTTTTTAAACCTAAACTGTTCTTAAACTGAGGTGCGCTTTCCCTAATGAGGCCTCCCACTGCCAGTGCCCTTCTACCGTTCGGATTCCGTTCTTAGACTGAGGTAAAGTTCTCAAACCAAGACACTATTTCCGGTTTTGCGGAGTTTGTAAACCAATTCATTCTTAAACCAGACTGTTCTTAAACCGAGGTACCACTGTACTTACTATCATTTTTATCTCTCACTTCCTCAGGGTGGTGGACAAGGTTCCCCCATGCACTTTTACCCTTACAACAAAGCAGTGAGGTAGATTAGGCCTAGCAATAGTGACTGATCTAGGTCATCCAGTGAGCTTCACGGCTGTGTAGAGATTTGAACCTAGTTCTTTTCTGTCTTAGTTCAACACTCAGAAGAACCACCACTCTGGTTCCAAAGCTAGATAGTAAGCTGCTGGCTAAAGGGAGTGTCTTAAAAATAAGAAGATGATGCTTTTCAAAAGCAACATGAGAACAATCCCTTTTACCTTTGCCCCAGTTTAGGGAGTGTCTTGATCTGCGGTGTTGTACTTCATGTTGACACTGACAGCCGCATTATTATTTGTTTAATGCACATAAAAGTTTCTTATGCCAATAGTATACTGCAGGCTAGTGGGAGCTAGCCTCATATTGGGCCCAACAGTTTTGTGCAAGTTTTAAACGCTTTCTTGGTTTTAGTATGTCAGACTGGAAAGCAATGGAGCCGGTAACACAAAAAGTAGATTCTGCAAAGGCTGTTCTGTCTAGAAATAGAAGGGCAGCTCTCCCCTCTTTGTATCTGCTTAATAAAAACCCCTCTTAGAGTCATAGAATTGGAAGGGACCCCAAGGATATTCTAGTCCAACCTCTGATATGCAGGAATCTCAACTAAAGCACCCATAACAAATGGCCACCCAACCTCTGCTTATAGAAATCTCCAGTGAAGGAGAGTCCGCCACCTCTCATGGTGTTCCACAGTTGAACAGCTCTTACTGTCAGAAAGGTATTTCTGACGTTTAGTTGGAGTTTCCTTTCCGGTAACTTGAACCCACTGGTTCAGGTCCTAGCCCCGGAGCAGGAGAAAAGAAGCTTCCTCTATCTTCCATGTGACAGCCCTTTAGAAGATGGCTATCATATCTCCTCTCAGTCTCCTCTTTCCCAAGCTAAACATACTCAGCTCTCTCAACAGTTCCCCGTAAGGCTTTGTTTCCAGACCATTGGCCATCTTGGTTGCCCTCCTGTGCACAGCTTCCAGCTTGTAGACATCCTTCTTAAACTGTGGTGCCCAGAACTGGACACAGTATTCCAGGTGTGGTCTGACCAAGGCAGAATAGAGTGGAACTATTGCTTTCTTTGATCAGGACACTATACCTCTGTTGATGTAGCCTAGAATAGCATTATCTTTTTTGCTGCTGCATTACCCTCTTGACTCATGTTAAGCTTGTGGTCTACTAAGACCCCAAGATCCTTTTCACATGTACTACTGGCAAGCCAGGTGTACCCCATCTCATATTTCTTCCTGCCTAGGTGCAGAACCTTTCATTTGTCCCTATTGGAATTCATTTTGTTGGTTTTGACTCCTTCTCCATTCTGTTAAGGTCAAATTGAATCCTAATTGTGTCTTCTGCAGCATTAGCTGCCCTTCCCAGTTTGGTAGCGTCTGCAGATTGGCTGAGCATCATCTCAAGACCTTCATCCAAGTCATTTATAAAGACGTTGAACAAACAACAGGCACAGGACAGAACCCTGTAGCACCCCACTTGTCACTTTCTCCCCAGAATGATGATGAACCATTAGTGAGCACTTTTTGCATTCAGTCATCAAGAGCTAAAGAAGTAGTACGGAGAGTGTATGTTTGTAATGACATCACAATATAAAGCAAGCAAAACGAACATCAGAGCTGAACCCCTATTGATGTGAGTGGAAAGTGGTGGAGTCCCCTACTGGACATCTCTTTCACAGCAATCTTAGATTTAAACTAAATTTCCTGATTATTTTAGAAATTTTCATCCTAGAGAAGTACCTAAAAAAGCAAAGGTGTTAGTAAATAGGAAGAGCTTTCCCCATAAACACTGTTGCCAAGAACTGCATACAGAACAACCAGGAAATTATGTAACCAACATTTATTAGGTGCATTCCAGTTTTTAAATACATTGTTGATCATCCCAAGAGAAAGGATTGCTTAACTGTTCAGGAATCCTGTGAGGTCAGAAAGTTCTAGATGAAATGACTGGCTTCTGTGAAAGTTAATTTACAAGCAGCCTTCTGATCAAAACAGCAAGTGCCTCTTCTTGTTTGGTAAATCCACGAGCTAATTCAACTGCCACCCCCAGAGTGGACCGTTTTTCTAGGCTTGACCTATAGTTGCCTTTCTCTTTCAAGAAAGGTGCTGCTCCTGTTCTGCAAGGTGATGGTTGGAGATGCTGATGCAAATATGCCTGCTTCTATATAGGGTGGAGTTAGAAGCAGGGTTAGATGTGAAGAAGCAGTATTCTGAACAATGAGTTTCTTATCTCTCGGGCTGCGTACAATACAGACTATACCATTTGAAGCACATTTCCCCCTCAAATAATTTTGGCGCCTTTAGTTTTACCCCTCAGAGAGTTAGAAGTCCTAGCAGCCCTTAACAAACTACAGTGAACAGAATTCTTAGAGGGGTGGGGGCATGTGCTTTTAAGGTACTGATCACTGCAGATGGTGACAGCAGTCACGAAATTAAAAGATGCCTGCTTCTTGGGAGAAAAGCAATGAGAAACCTAGACAGCATCTTAAAAAGCAGAGACATCACCTTGCCGACAAAGGTCCATATAGTTAAAGCTATGGTTTTCCCAGTAGTGATGTATGGAAGTGAGAGCTGGACCATAAAGAAGGCCGAAGAATTGATGCTTTTGAATTATGGTGCTGGAGGAGACTCTTGAGAGTCTCATGGACTGCAAGAAGATCAAACCTATCGATAATGAAGGAATTCAGTCCTGAGTGCTCACTGGAAGGACAGATCCTGAAGCTAAGGCTCCAGTACTTTGGCCACCTCATGAGAAGAGAAGGCTCCCTGGAAAAGACCCTGATGTTGGGAAAGATGGAGGGCTGAAGGAGAAGGGGACGACGGAGGACGAGATGGTTGGACAGTGTTCTCGAAGCTACCAGCATGAATTTGACCAAACTGTGGGTGGCAGTGGAAGACAGGAGTGCCTGGCATGCTCTGGTCCATGGGGTCACGAAGAGTCGGACACAACTAAATGACTAAACAACAACAAATGTACACAGCCTAGGGGAAGAATTCAGTGCACAGCTATAGAAATAATTCTATCAACACCTGCTTTTCAACTTGCCAGGTGGAAAAATCCCCTTCCTCCCTCTACATGCTGTTCTGGGGGTTCTCACAACACACACATCCCAAGCCAATTATTGGGGGTACAAGGAGCACTGGGGGAAAGCCCCATTGCACAAGCAGAAATATTTGTGCAGGGCTTCTACTGACAGAACTCATTAATTGAACATTTAGCTGAAATTTACTTCCCTGCAATCCCTTGGTCCTGCCCTCTGGAGAAACAGAGAATATCTTCTATGTGACATCGCTTCAGGCATTCAAAGATGACCATCGTACCCCCCCTTAACCTTCTCTTCTCCAAGCTGAACATCCCCAGCTCTTTCAACCATTCCCCATAGGGCTGGGTTTTCAAAAGCCCTCGCCATCCTATCTGCCTTGTGCTGGACATGTTCCAGAACACATGTCCATGCAATACTGGCATATCTGATCATAAATACAAATCAAGTAGCCAGAAATGTAAAACAAACAAACAACAACTTAAAACAAGAGTACTATTAGAAGTTAAAGGACACCAATCAATCCTGGAGTTTGAGCAATGAAACTGTGGGAAGAGAAGAAAGAGGTGTTGCAAGGTTATACCAGACCCAGCAAAATTCTGCTTGGGCAATAGTGAAAAGCAGTAAAGGAAAACAACAGAGCTTCAGAATCCCCACATCATTAATTTGGTACCAACATGTTGCATAAAGTAACTTTGATGAGGATGAGGTATGTTGAAACTGCCTCTGCATCCTGAATAGGCTTTTGTATTTCTGTACTGTTGTGGATTTGCTAGTCATGTTGGCGCAATCATTTTGGGAAATACAAACCACTTCCAACACAGTCCTTAGTTTGTTGCAAGACCAGTTCCACACCCTATCTACATCACTGCCTAACCATTTTGGTGGGAAATTTGCATCAGGTCAGAATACATTTGTATAATGAATGAGATTAACTGTATATACTGTAATTATGTCCTTCTTCCCCTCCCCCCTGCAGTAGTGTATAGTGTTGCTATCTTCTGTGGTCGATGTTTCAGGCATCTTGGGCAGAGTCTTTTGGAGCACGTTCAGAATGCATTTCTCAGGCTGAAATTGTGCACCCATGCAGCTAGTTGCCATGGGGTGGAGGAGGAAGATGTTTGATCCATTTTTTTGCACGTGACACTCCCAGACTTGTTTGCGTATCAGAATGCAGTTCCTAGCTGGATTATTCTCTTCTCCAGCTTTTGTGCATAAAAAGTCTGTACGAAAAAGTCTTCAAGGAAAGCTAAATCTCGTAAGTGAGTAACACCTGCAGATCTTCTTGCTTTGCATGGAGCCACCTGTGCTGTGGCCTCAGTTGACCATGTGGCCTTTGCAAGGAAGGGGTGGAGGAAATCATTAATCAGTTTACTTCTTTGGAACTGTATAGCCTCAGTACCCTTTTAGGCCACAAATGAGTTGTTTATTACTTATAAAAATCTCTTGCAAGGATCCAGGGCAGAAACTTGGCCTGGTGCAATCTAATTATATTAAGATATTTTTTTTTTCATTTGCTTTGGGGCTCACTTCAATATCCTGAGATGATTATGTAACAACTAACCACACTGTGTGGGCAATTTTTATATCACATCACATCACATCAATATATATAGATATGAGAGAGAGAGAGAGAGAGAGAGAAAGAAAGAAAGAAAGACACTAAAATGCTTGAACTTAACAATGCTTATATGAAGTGTTTTGCCTGCCAAAAATTACTGCTGAAAATGCTTTGGGACACCGTACTTTGCAGAAGGCCTCTCTCCCACAGGTTCTTTCGATGTTTACACTGTGCATTCTACACATGCACCTCTTTTGTTCCTCCATTCAGGCAAGTGGGAGGGATTATCAGACTTCAAGAACTTGTTCCAGCAAGGTAAAAGCACACAGGAAGGGTGTGGAGCAAGGCCCGTGGGTGGCCCCAAGGGAGAAAAGGTGTGGAGCGTGGTCTCGAGAGTCCCAGAGGCAAAACAGAGAGGGCTGGAATTTGGTCCCTGGGCTTGAGATTTCCCACCGTGGTCCAGGCAGAGGATTCCTCCCCCCCCCCCACCCTTTATCAAGTGCTGCTAACTGTAGCCTTTTAATCAGCATTGAGGATGCTGAGTCAGCATCCAGAACAATCAGCTTATTGGCTATTATATCAAAACACAGTAGGGAATAAAATATTTTCTAGCTGGGTTGCTTTATGTACCTTATTGCAGAATAAATCTTATTTTCAAGCCATAATTTTTTAGTGCTTTTTAATTCTGCTGTTGTGAGTGAGAAACCTTGTTCTATAGCACTAGAAATATGTGTGACAGCAACAGAGTTACTTGCAATTAAGTTAATAATAATAATAATAATAATATCCCGTAGGTTGGAGTGCCTATCCATGTGCCATGGCCAGATGTTAAAATCCAAGTTAGGGTTTCAATCAACAAACTTCATGGCATGCCAATTACAGTCCTACGTAAATTAGTCAAGCTCAGTTAGATGAATCAGATTTACACTTGAACATATTTGCAGTGTTTGTGCAGAGTAGATCCTCATTGCAATATTCCACCAAATTGTGTTGTTCGAACCTCTATCATATTTATTTTTTACTCCCTTCAAATGCTCTTTGTAAGATTGGGTGTACAATTTGATTAACGTTGTCAGCACTTGGAACGAATGTTTCAAAGGCTGTTCAAGCCACTTGAGTTACACTAAATGGTCTGTGGTTTTTGGATACTGTATTGGCACATAATTCACCACCCACTGGTTGTGATGTTGGCAAGGCAAAGAAAATCCATCTGTCTGGCTTGATCACTCTTATCACCTGCCAGGTGGGCTGATCATCCAAGCAGTATTGATGCTTCTTGCCAATGGTTTTCTTGGAGCACAACAGCCTCTCTTATTGCTAATGAGCAGGCCTGTATGATGTAGATGACAGGGGAATTATAGAAACAGAAGGTGCCTATTTTGTGCTGACTTAGCGCAAAGTTTCTTAGCCCAAAATTGAAAAGAGGTTACTCCATGGCCCCAGGTTTCCTACATTTCTATACCAGTTTGATCATTCAATCCAGCGAGTTAAATAGGAAACAATGGGATAGGTTTGTTTTGCCCATTAAGTACTTTAGGCAATGGGACATTTTAGACATGACAAGATCTCTAGAGCACTAGCAATGGAGAGAAGTAAATGGACTGACTTTCCATACATTAAGTTTCTTTAACTTCTGCCTCCATCCCTCAATAAACTGCCCAAATCCAGCAAGAGAAATCTATCATGTACTGCCAGTGGAGGTGAATGTGCATCTACATACACATCTCAGCTGCGTTGTGTTTCTCAGTCAACGTCTTTTTGAATTGACTAGATGCATCCTTTTTTGTGAATGAAGATGTGCAGCCACATTCAAAAGCACCATTTGTTGCATTTTCTATTATTTCATTCAGGAGTAAGATGCTCAAGTATGTGGTGGCCTCTCAGCTCCAGGTTTTCCTGGATGAAGCAGCTTATCTCTTTTAGCCCAGCTTCATGTTTGGTTGTGGGACTGAGACAGCCTTGGTCCCCCCGGTGGATGATCTATGGCAGGGACTAGAATGTCAAGTCCATTCCTGTTGGTTATGCTGGACCTCTCAATGGCTTTCAGTACCATTTCTTGGACCACCTAGATGGGGTGATTCTAAAGGGACAAGGTCTTGTTCTGCTCCCAAACCTTCCTGGAAGGTGATGCTGGAAAATACCAGTTTGACATAGGGCTATTGACCTATGGCACTCCTCCTGGTTCCAACTTCTCTCCCATGCTGCTGAACATCTACATGAAACTATCGAGAGAGATCATCAGGAGAAATAGAGTGTGGAGTCACCAGTATGTGGCTGACACCAATCTCTATTTCTTCATTCTATCAAATTCCAAGGAGGTTGCTGAGATGCTGGACCATTGCTTGGAGACAGTAATGTGCTGGATGACGGCAAGTGAATTGGCACTTCATCCAAACAAGATGGAGATGGAAAGAACTACCAATTTGGGGATAGAATTCCAACCTGTTTGAGATGGAATAGCAAACCCCTTCAAAACTCAGGTTCAGTTTGGGAGGGTGCTTTTGGATCTGACCTTGAACCTGGAATCCCAGGTGATGGGTGCGGCCAAGAGTGCTTTTGTCCAACTTAGTTGGTGGTGATTATTATCAACAATTTATTGTTGTTGACAAACACAGTTCAGTCAGAACAAACATACACAATTGCTAAGTGTCATCAGTTTTGTTAATGGCAGGGTTTTGTTTTTGTTTTAGGACATTAGTGACTAGTCTCTGTTGTCATTCATAGCTTTCTTTCCAAGTGAGGGAAGCTGAAGAGTATGAAGTGGGTATTTCAGTTTCCCCACAAGCACTTCCTTGTGCTTGGGGATTGAGTGCATGCTGCTATACACTGGAAGCCTTTGCCACATGGTCTTCATGGGCTTCCAGTTCTGTGGTTGGGTGTGTGGGGGTTTTCAAAATAATAGGAAACACTGTGGTGTTAACGTCTTCTTTATGGTCCAAAGCATATATGTACAAACTGGACATGTACCTATGTACATCCTATGCACACATGCACACACACACACGTGCGCACACACACACACACACAGTATTTTAGAAAAGGCTGAGTTTGTTTTTACAGCAACCCAACTGTTCTTTACCATCCACCTCTGCCTTCAGTAAGTAAGGCTGTGACAATGCCATTTCAGGCATTAAGGTATAATGTTCTTATCTGTGACCTGGTTTTATTTGCGTGCACAAGTATCTGAAGGAAATGAGTCAGGCGGTTGGCACTTAGAAATCAATGGAGCATGTGTGGGCAAAATAAGAATGAAGGGCAAACTGCCTTTTCAGGGTCTTGCTCCAAAATGTGTGAGCGCTTCCCAAAATTACTACCTAGCAGAGGTTTAGCATTGATTTTTAGGAATGCCAAGAGACTAATGTGTATAATTGACTCACAGGTGTGCACTAAGTGTGGTTAGCAGCTTGTTTACTGTGAAATGTCACTGCAAGCCTTGACTACTGCCCCACTGTTAAGAAAAAAATCTTGCATTGCATTTTTGCCATGTTTCCACATTGCACACACCTTAAAATGTAATGTTTGGTGTTCTAAAGCACATGACTAAAATATGTGTGATATGTAATGTGTTGCAGGGATCTCCCAGTTGACCCTGGTTCCTAGTTGTATTTACTATATATGAAACATATGTGTTTTCCAGCATAGTATGTGAAGCAGCCCTTAGTCTACTGGTATATTTTGCATTTCTCCTCTTCCTGCCCTTATTAGCTTCAATCAGGGGCATGCAGGAAGACTATTATTGAAATGCTTCCAAACAGGTCACTAAGCCCATCTTACAGAAGTCCCGTGTGTGCATCTTTCCGCCAATTAAATGCATTCTGCAAAGGAGGTTTACTTAGGGTTCTCCCAACCCAATTGTGTAGTGCAGGGGGAAGATGGGGGAGAAGGCGCATTGTGCTAGCAAAAGTCATTGTGCTGGCTTCTGCTAGTGAGACTAGTTAGTTGCATCCAACCCATAATGACAATATAATGGAGTATTAATAACCTTGATTATTGTGCAAATAACATAAAATATCCCAACCATTAAGATAAAGGACTGAGAACAAATTGTGTGTATTTCTTGTCTTGTTTCTGAGTCGGCTCTCTTTTTGTTTAATGAAGTTGGTGATATGGTTTTCATCTAATTTAAACTTTATTTGTCCTCTTTTGGCTTAGTAATGTAGCAGAGTATCATTGATAGCTTTTAACAGTCACTTAAAAAAATATATCCTTGTAACACACAAGTTCACTAACAGTGGACAACCCTGTTTTTCTTCTTGCACATATCCAGCTGAAATCAGGATGGTTAGTCATTTTTTATCTTCTTAGTTATTCCAGGAATGTTAAGTATACAGGCTTGAGGAAAGGGAATAATCTCCCTCTCTTCCTCCTCCTCATGCACCTTCATTGAGACTTCCAAAGGCTGACTTGTAGTGAACCTGTGGCATTCCTGGTATGCCACCTCCTGTAGCGCAATTGCGAATCCCCCTGATGATAGAAATGGAGACAATGGAAGGAGCCTACACCCTGTGCAATTAGTTCCACTTGGAAGTGCAAATGGCACTGTAAACAAGGGGTGTATCTAAAGCCTGTTCTGTTCCTGTTCCTTCCACCTTCACTGGAGGAGAGGGAAGTGAAGGAGGATTTATTTATGGTTATGAGAGAGTTAAGCTAGTAGGTTTTAAATTCACCCTCATTTGCAGAGCTGACTTCTCATAGTTCTCTCCCTCATGGTCAAGAGATGAGAGTCCTTACACCAGTGGTAGCCAATGTGGTGTGCCTCCAAATATTGTGCATTGAAAACCCATCATGTTTTTCCTTTGGCCACATTGGCTGGGGCAGAACAGAGATAGGAGTCCTATAATGCCACTCATCCACTATATTCACTGTCATGAGTCCCATGGAGATATCTTGGAGGCGCTGGTTAAATCAGGAAACAGGGTGGGAGGAGCTTGAAGAGATTCCCAGAGGGTTGGGAAGGTATTCATCTGGTTCCTAGGAAGTCCTGGAGTTGATGCTGGAGGTGCAGTCAGAGTTCTGCGAGATATCTCACTGTGATATCACAATACGCTCTGGGTGCTTAAGGAAGACCTTGAATAGTCTTCCACTAGGGCGAGAAAAAAATGTTTAAAGCACCCCCTCCCACCCCACAAGCTGGCTTCATATTATGGTACTTATTAAGTGGCAGAGGCAGTCAGCTGCACATGAGAGAGTGTGTGTGTGTATAACTAGTTCCACTCAGATATATGAAAAGGCAGGAGGTTATCAGGTGTGTCAGGGCTGAGATGAAAGAGTGCATTGTGTTGCATTAGAGAATGTGGGCTGATATGGTGAATTGTTGCATTATGGTACAAGTAGGCTCAGAGGGCATTAAGTGCTCGGATATTTGGCTTTGCATTTCCTTCTGGGCGGGGGGGAGGGGACAGAGTCACTTGGCTCTTTGCTGGTTTGTGATAGAGGCTTGGAGCAGTCAGTATCCCTGTTGTGTCCACTAATGCTTTCCCTATCCTTTCCAGGATCCCAACCTTACGCTGCACACTGACAGCCCAGACCTAACACCATGTTTCCAGATGACTGTTGTGGCGTGGGTCCCGTGCTTCTATCTTTGGTGCATCTTGCCCTTTTATCTCCTTTATCTAAAATGCAACAACCGAGGCTACATTGTACTGTCTGTGCTGAGCAGGTTTAAAACGGTAAGATGCGGCGCGCGTGCACACACACACACACACACACACACTCTGACTGCAGATAAGGGCAGAGTTTTGTGCCTAATGAGAGAAAATGGCTAGGGGGGAAAACTTAATCATATGCCCTCCGTTCAAAATGTCACGAAATAACATGATTGTGATAATCTGCAAATTACCCTTGTACTGTCAGATAAGTTTTTGAAGCATGGAATTTGGCTTTACGAAAAAGATAGACTTACTGCTCTGACGCAGCCTTCCTCAAACTTGGGTCCCCTGATGTTCTTGAACTACAGCTCCCATCATCCCTGACCACTAGCCATGCTGGCTAGGAATGATGGGAGTTGTAGTCCAACAAACATCTAGGGACCCAAAGGTGAGGAATGCGGTTTTTTGTGTGTTTTTTTTAAACAAAAGGAACATAAGAAGCTGCCTCATACCTATCAGACTCTTGGTCCCTCTAGATGGGTACTGTTGACGCAGGGTTTCAAGCAGGAGCATTTCCTACAGCTGCCAGGAATTGAACCTGCAAAGCTTGTGCTCTACCACTGAGCCAAAGCCCTTCCAAAAGCGTGAGCAGACCTTTCCAAAGGTTCTGGGTGGGGCTGGGAGAAAAAGGGGGAAGAGCTTCTGCCTCTTGCGTAGTTAGCTAGACTCCTTATTTTCTGAGTTCTGGTCTCCCAGACTCTGCACACTTACTAGTTCTTTAGACAGCCTTCCTCCTTTCGCTCTACATTCCCATCTGTAAGCACGTCATGTGGTGAGGTGGAAACACCCTTCCAAGCTGCTATCACTGGCACTTACCCGGATGGGGCAGCATGGCAGCAAAGTCAGGGCTGCACACATATACCAGTGGGAGCACTGCATTGGCAGCAGCGCTTCCCTCCCCACTGCACTCTCACTGACCTGACCTTGCTGCCGCCGCCTAACCCCACCCAGGGAAGCAGCAGCAACGCTGTGGTCGGGAGGGTATCTCTGCTGCACCGCACATTCCGTTACTGCATTTCATCACTCTGTGCAGCTATCCGTTTTTGCTGCTAAAGACCTTTTCCCACTTTTGGAAACAATCGTTTGGATGATTAAGTGACAGGCAGGCATTTTTAATTGGATTTTAATCTCAGCTGTCCTCTGGGGGGTGGGGAGAGTTCTGTTTTGGTGGCGTTGTTGCTAATAATTAAGAAAATCTCTTGACCCAAGTGTTACTTTTGTTTTCTGCTGAGTTTCACGTGATTTGACAGGGTTATAAATTCAAGAGAAGGAGGAATCTATTCAATTTATTAGATGGATGCAGCCCATCACCTATTGAAGTCAACAGCCAAATCTCTATAGATTTTTAAAGCTGTACTGAAACAATGTGCTTCCAGCTCACAGCAAATTTAACATCTCATGACTTCCCTTAAGCAATCCACAAAGAGCACCATCTGACCATGTTGATTTGCAGCAGGTGATATTTGAACATTGTGAACACGTGAAACCGCTGTGCCTCCATTCACTTTAGATGTGCCCTTCAACTCAAGAGAATAAAAGCATACAGCCCTCCAAGAAGTGGCAACAATTAAAAGAAATTCATGAAATGATGGGTTGTTACAAAGATTTAACCTCACTGCCATTTGCCACTTCTAAATAAATGCTCTGGTACCAAAGCCAGGATATGTGCTAAGCTCCTAAGCCAGCAGAAGATTTAAAGTTCACAGAGTGATGTACGTTTGCGAGGGGAGAGTTTGGCCTTTTGTTGTCATAAGCAATACCAAGCTCTGGCACCCTGACTGTGTAGTTTCCTTCCCTTGTGTTGGAGGGCACATCCAGGGTGAATGGCAGCACAAATAGTTTCCTTCGTACTGCAAGCAGATAGAACATCACACCACTGTCATTGATATGGGACTTGCAAAAATATTGCGCAAAAAGTGCAATAGCAAACCATCTGCCCTGTGATTTTCCTGGTGCAGACATGTCCCCAGTCATTGCTCACATGTCTGGAAATGTACATGTAGTTGCCTCTGCATGGGATATTGGTACTCTAAGACAAGCTTGTGAATAGCCAATTGCCAGTAGGCTGTGGCAAGTACGAATCACCTCTGGCTGAGCAGCAAGAAAGCATATGCTTGCAAACTGAAATAAAAACCTGTGCATTTTTTTTCTGCACTTAGGCAGGAAGAAGCAGATGCACAAATATAAGATGGGGGACATCTAGATTGCCAGTAGTACATGTGAAAAGGATCTAGGGGTCTTAGTGGACCAGAAGCTTAACTTGAGTCAAAAGTGTGATGCAGCAGCAAAAAAAGCTAATGCTATTCTAGGCTGCAGTATAGTGGCCAGATCAAGGGAAGTAATAGTCCCATTCTATTTTGCCTTGGTTAGACCACATCTGGAATACCGTGTCCAGTTCTGGGCACCATGATTTAAGAAGGATGGTGACAAGCTGGAACGTGTGCAGAGGAGGGAAACCAAGGGGATCAAGGGTCTGGAAACCAAGCCTTATGAGGAACAGTTGAAGGAGCTGGGTATGTTTAGCTAGAAAAAGAGGAGACTGAAAGGAGATAGATAGCCATCTTCAACTATCTAAAGGGCTGTCACATGAAGGATGGAGGAAGATTGCTTTCTCTTGCTCTGGAGGGTAGGGCATGAACCCCGCCCATCTGGCTGGGTTTCCCCAGCCACTCTGGGCGGCTTCCAACAAAATATTAAAATACAATAGTGCATCAAACATTAAAAGCTTCCCTAAACAGGGCTGCCTTCAGATGTCTTCTAAATGTCATATAGTTGTTTATTCCTTTGACATCTGGTGGGAGGGTGTTCCACAGGGCGGGTGCCACTACCAAGAAGGCCCTCTGCCTGGTTCTCTGTAACTTGGCTTCTCGCAGTGAGGGAACCGCCAGAAGGCCCTTGGTGCTGGACCTCAGTGTCCGGGTGGAACAATGGGGGTGGAGACGCTCCTTCAGGTATACTGGACCGAGGCCATTTAGGGCTTTAATGGTCAGCACCAACACTTTGAATTGTGCCCGGAAACGTACTTCCAAGTTACAAGAAAAGAGATTCCGACTAAACACCCAGAAGAACTTTCTGACAGTTATTCGACTGTGGAACAGACTCCCATGAGAGGTGTTGAAGTCTCCTTCACTGGAGGTTTTTAAGCAGAGGTTGAATGGTCATCTGTCATGGGTGCTTCAGTTGAGCTTCCTGCATTGTAGGGGGTTGGACTAGATGGCCCTTGTGGATCTCTTCCAACTCTATAATTCTTTCTGCTCTTCAGGCCATCAATATTGTACAAACAACTGCCATGTGTAGGTGTGGGCAGGCAGAGACTAGTAATTTTTATGGCTAACCTGCAAGGCTGCTTTCAGAACATGCTGCAGTATAAATGCTCTTTGAATACACACATTGACTGAATACATTGCTACTCTTGCAGATGAATTTATTTTCTCTCTCTTTCGTTTGAAGGTCTTTGCTTTTGTTCTCTGGTGTGTTTGCTGGGCCAATCTCTTCTACGCTTTCCATGGAATTGTTCAGAGCAGAACCCCAGCACCCGTATATTTTGTTACACCCTTACTTGTTGGCATCACAATGGTCAGTATGCCTTTCTGTTGATGTTATTGATTGCATGGGGGTCAATGTTGATGCTTAAACGTGATGTGAATTAAGTTTCTTAGATCAGGCATGGCTGCCTCTTAGAATCGCAGAGATGGCTGTGGAATTGACTGTTTGGTTATCAGCAGCAAATTTAGTGGAGAGAATGATGGCAATTATTATGGGAAAACATAGGAAGCTGCCTTACACTGAGCCAGGCCATTGGTCCCTCTAATTTAGTACTATCTACACTGACTGGCAGCAACTCTCCAGAGTTTCAGAAAGGAGTCTTTTCCAGCCTTATCTTGTGGTATCTGAGGTTGAATCAGGGACCTTCTGCATTCAAAGCAATTTCTCTGTCACTGAGCTAAGGCCTTGACATAGAGGAGGGAGACAGAACTTTGACAGAAGGTAGAAGATGTGCGTTGCAAATTGCTTTTGCCACTCTTCATCCTCTTATTTATCTGTGGAGTCCTCAGGGCTACTGTTATATGACAATATGTCATATTATCTTGGATTGTACAAGATCAGCAGTTCTGAAACAGCAGCCAAATTCTGAACAAAATAATGCTTTGGATGATAATAAGAAGCAATCATATCCTTAAAGTGTATAATTTTTCCATCTAGTTAATACTGTCTATTTCTCGTCCCGTTTTAAAAGTCAGCATTGGAGAATTCTGCATATAAGCAAAGGAGGAAGGGACATTTTTACTGTTCTGAATTGCACAAAGTTTTTCCTTGCCTTTGTGGCAAGAAAGCAAATAATATTTTCAGTGAGCCTCTATGAAATCTAGAAGTTGTATGATGGAAACGAACATGAAAACACAAATGTGGGATATCTGAGTTAAAAGGCAATAGCCATGTCTTCCTGGATGAGGAAAAAAACCAAGCTGTTTCCTTATTTTTTATATATACAGTAATTATGCTGTTATCTAGTTCTGAAGCAAAGCGCTTTTTTTTGGTGGGGAGAGGGAACGGAACTATGGCCACATTCATGCCATACATTTAAAGCACTATTATGCCACTTTAAACAGTCATTGCTTCCACCAAGCATTCCTGGGAACTGTAGTTCATTAAGGATGGTGAGAGTTGTTAGGACAGCCCTATTCATTTCCCAGAGCTACAGTTTTCAGAGTGTGAAGTCAATCCCCCTTCACAGAGGACTCTGGAAATTGTAGCTCTGTGAAAGGAATAGAGGCCACCAATCAACTCTCAGCATCCTTATTCTTTGAGTGTTTAAAGTGGTACCGTAGTGCTTTTAATGCATGGTGTGCATGAGACCAATGGAAGCAGAAGAACAAACAAACCAACAGCAGTGTTTCAGATCCAGGCTTTTAAAGCAAGCTAAGAGATGTCTGCAAGAAACTCATGTAGCAGAAAAACATAAAAGAGTATTAATAAATAAGAGATTGGGGCTTGAGTTTATTGCATCAAGTAAAGAAAAAAAGAGAGGGGTGGTAATCTATGTAAAACCTCAGCTGGAGCCAAAACTGCTTTACAATGATGAAAAAGGCCGAACAGTGATTATAGAGGTTAAGATCAATAATGAAAAAGTGATAGTTATTGGAATTTATGCACCAAATGAAAGAAAATCCGAATTCTATCAATTCCTGGAAGAAAAAGTCATAGAATATTTAGGGGGGGAAATTATATTATTAGGAGATTTTAATGGAGTAGTCAATCCAAACATGGACAGAACAATAAAGAAGAAAGAAAAGAGGCAGAACAAACTCCCAACTACATTTTTCCAATTAATAGTACTCCTGAATTTGTTCAACGCTTGGAGGTTTAAGAATCCAACAGAGAAAGAATTTACACATTATTCAGAGCCACAGAAATCGGCGGGACGAATCGACGCGATCTGGACAACAAAGGATTTATTAAATAATATTACGAAAGCAGAAATCCATCCAAGGACAATTTCAGATCACAGCGCGGTCTGGGTTAACTTTAAAGGAAAAGAAGAAAAGGTTAAAAGGTGGCAACTTAATGAGAGTATGCTAAACGATGAAGAAATTGTACAGAAGGCCAAGCAAATCTTAGAAGAATATTTTAAGTTTAATTTAAATCAAGTAGAAGATCTCGAGACGGTTTGGGACACGGGTAAAGCCGTCATAAGAGGCTTCTTTATACAACAAAACGCATTCCAAAGGAAAATAAAGGAGAAGAAGAAAATGGAGATCTGGGAGGAAATTAGAAAAAAGGAAAGGATCCTTTTCCAAAAACCAGATGATGAACTAATTAAGCAAAGTATAAAAATTTTACAGATGCAATTCTCCATGATAATAAATGAAGAGATAGAATGGAAGATAAAATGGTTGAGACATAGAAATTTTGAGTTTGCAAATAAACCTGGCAAACCTCTGGCCTGGCAATTAAAGAAGAAAAAGGAAGATAGAATTATCAATAAAATTAAAATCGAAGACAAATGGATTCAAGAACCGAAGGAAATTAGTAAAAACTTTGCTAGTTTTTTCGGAAAACTATATAAAGAAGGTCCAGAGACTCTAGAAAAAATAATTGATTATTTAATAATTGATTATTTGGGCAAAAATAAACTACCAATAATACCTAAGGAAAAAACTGAAATCTTGAACTCACCAATAATAGCTATGGAGGTGCAACAAGCTATACAGAGATCAAAATTAGGAAAGACACCGGGCCCAGATGGTCTTCCAGCGACTTACTATAAAAGTTAGAACAAGCATTATTTCTTCCCATGAAAGACCTAATGAATAATATTCTGGCAAATGGAAAGCTTCCGAAAACCTGGAAGGACAGCTTTATTACTCTTATCCATAAACAGGGAACAGATGCCTCAAACATGGCCAATTACAGACCCATTGCACTGCTAAATAACGATTACAAGATATTCGCAGACATTCTTGCAAATAGATTAAAAATGGTGCTGAAAGAGATAATTCATAAAGATCAAACCGGATTTCTTCCCGGACGATTTATGCAATCCAATATTAGATGTGCGATTAATGTATTAGAATATTTGGATATTAAAATTGATAAACCAGCAGCTATTATGTTGGTGGACGCTGAAAAAGCATTTGATAACGTGTCCTGGAAGTTTATGAAAAAATTAATGGAAGAAATCGGACTGGGAGAAAATATTTGTAAAGGAATAAATGCCATCTACTCGGAACAATATGCAAAATTGATCATCAACGGAAGAATTACTGAGGAGTGCAAAATAAACAAGGGAACCAGACAGGGCTGCCCACTGTCACCACTGATATTTATCTTGGTGATGGAAGTCTTGAACAATCAGATAAGAAAGGATGAGCTTGTTAAAGGCATCACTCTGGGAAACAAAACATATAAAATTAAAGCTTTTGCGGACGATTTACTTGTTATGACTGAAAACCGTAAAGAAAGTCTGAAAAGAGTGCTGGAATTGATTAAAGAATTTGGAGATGTGGCAGGCTTTAAGCTGAATATAACAAAAACAAAACTGCTTGTTAAAAATGTAACCACAGAAGAAAAGGACGACTTAGAAAAAATATTGGGCCTGAAAATCTCTTCAAAAGCGAAATACTTGGGTATTTGGATCACCCCCAAGAACATAAACTTATTTCAGGATAATTACACCAAAACTTGGTTAGAGATTAGAAAAAACTTGGTAACCTGGAGTAAACTAAAATTAACATTTTTGGGTAGGATTTCCATTATAAAGATGAATGTGCTTCCAAAATTAATCTTTTTATTTCAAATGATTCCGATACTGGGTGAAGCAGGTTGTCTCAAGATATGGCAAAGAGAAATTTCCAAATTCCTGTGGGAAGGGAAGAAACCTAGGATTAAACACCTGATCTTAATAGACATAAAAGAGAGAGGAGGCTTTTCCCTACCCGACCTAAAACTTTACTACGAGGCTGCCTGTTTCACCTGGCTAAAAGATTGGTGCACGTTGCAGGATCCGGACCTCCTGGACCTGGAAGGTTTTGACAACCGTTGGGGATGGCACGCCTACCTAATATATGGAAAAGCAAAAATTCATTAAAAATTTACCAACCATATAATAAGAAAGTCACTCTTTGCTGTATGGGAAAAATATAAAGACCTGATGGAGCCTAAAGTCCCGTGGTGGACTTCTCCAGTAGAAGCCATAGCAGTAAAACGGAAAAATACTCAGGAAAGCTGGCCAACATATAAAATACTTCTTAAAAATGAGGACAACCAAATAAAATTTAAAAACTTTGAGGAAATAAGAGAACACATTTCAGACTGGTTCCAATACCATCAGTTATTTGAAAAATTTAAATCTGACAAACAAAAGGGGTTCTCAGCAGAAATTTCCCGATTCGAATTTGATCTTGTAAATTCTAAAAGAAAAACTCTTTCCAAAACTTACCGACTCCTCCTTGACTGGACAGTCAAGGAGTAGGTAACAGTGGCAATGGTGAGGTGGTCCCAAGATTTTGGCCATTCAATAACCATGGCCCAATGGGAAAATTTATGGAAAATCAATTGGAAATTCACAAACTGTTACACGATTAGAGAGAACTTTCAAAAAATGCAACATCGATGGTATCTAACACCATGGAAACTTTCAAAAATGTATAAAAATGTGTCAAGTAATTGTTGGAGATGCGGAGACTCAGGAACATTCTACCATATGTGGTGGATATGTAGGAAAATACAGGTATTCTGGGAGAGTATACATGCAGAACTGCAAAAATGCTGAAGATCTCTTTCAATAAAAAACCAGAGGCCTACCTCCTGGGAATAACAGATTTGGATATTCCACAAAAGAGGAAGGGTATCTTTTTATATGCGACGGCGGCAGCAAGAGTTTTGATCGCAGCAAAGTGGAAGAGTAATGAAATTCCCTCTATACAAGATTGGATCCAAAAGCTGACAGAATATGCCGAATGAGATGGTTTATCAGAAAAAATAAAGAATAAATCAAAACAGGAATTTGTTTCTAAATGGGAGGTTTTCAAAGAATATCTGAAAAATAAATATAGTAATTTAAATTCTGTTGCAGCATTCGAGGAACTTCAGTAATAGTTGCTAGGTAGATAGAAGAAATTAGATTTATTGAGAATAAGTTTAATTATGAAAATGTGTATTGGCAATAAGTAATATGAATTTGAAATATGGAATAGACGGGAAGTTGGGTCTTTAGTGTTAAGACCAATAGATGTTTTATTGTTTGCCAAGAAAATTATGTGTCTATGGTTATTTTTGTAATTTGTGTGTAATTTGGTATTTGTGTTTTTTGTGGGGGTTTTTCTTGTTGAATAAATAAATATTAAAAAAATAAAAAAAATAAACCAAGCTAAGAGATAAGGAGGCATTCATTCATTCACAGCTGTAATCCATGTGTTCCACCTTTACTTTCTCTGCAGCTGTTAGCCATGTTGCTCATCCAGTATGAGAGGCTTCATGGAGTTCAGTCCTCAGGAGTTCTCATCATCTTCTGGTTCTTGTGTGTGCTGTGTGCTGTGAGCCCTTTACGGTCCAAGATAATTGGTACTGCAGCTCAGGTAAATGGGATATGTCTATGTTATTCAGAATGTATACATTTATGACATGTTTTCCCAAAATTAGTATTTAGGGAGGGAGATGGCTTGACATTCCTTGGGGAGAGGTAGATCTAATGGGAGTTAAGGGTGGAGCAGCTTGTGTTACTTTCTGCTGCCTGCCTCTTCCATAAAACCAAGACTGGGACATTCACAGGGTACTAAATACAAATAAAGGCAAGCTAATGGACTGTGAATGTGAGTGGAGGCTATGGGGATACTGCACTGCAGAGAGGAGTGTTTCCTCTTCTCAGAGAAAAGGAAGGAAAGTCAAGCTCCTCTGTAAAGGCAGGAAGATAGGGAGGTCTCACGTCTTATGTGTCTTTGAAAGGAGATACTGGAATGAAAATCGGTGTGTTCAGATTTTATTTCTGTGTTTATTTCTTTAGTGACCTATATCCCACTTTTCCTTACAAAGTGAACTCAAAGCAGCTCACTTAATGAAAAACAATGCAATGCATTAAATAAATACAGTATCATCACCGCCACCAAAATCAAACACCACAAACAAAACATCATCAATCATTTGAGGTAACGAAGCTAGAGCAACAAAATCTAGGGAAGCTAATCTTCTAAAAGCCTTCTGAAACAGCCGTGTTTTGGCCAACTGCCTGAAATAATAAAGTATCAAAGCCTGGCAAACCTCCTTAAGGAAAGCATTCCATAAAGTGGGTTTAACTGCTAAAATGGGCATGGTCTTAGTGGCCGTCTGCCATATCTCATTCAGCAGTGCCACTTGGAACAAGGCCTCAGACTTTGAATGAAGCATGCAGGATGGAGCATAATGGGAGAAGGCAGTACTTAAGGAATCCAAGTCCCAAGCCATTTAGGTCTTTAACGATCCAAATCAGCACCTTGCATTTTGTCCAGCAGTGAATCAGAAAATAGTTCAAATCCAACAAGATGGGAGTCATATATCTAGAATGTCTATGACAACCTTCACCACTCTACTGTCCTTCAAGTGTTTGGACTACAGCATCTGTCAACCCCCTGCCCCTCTCTGGCTGGGGCTGATGGGAGTTGTAGTCTTAAGGGTGCCTGCAGACATAGCAGAATATTACATTAGTTTTCCTGATTTTAATGTTGGTACTCCTGTCCCATTTTCTATTGTTCCTTTCACCTATTGTGTTAGGGAACTGTGACTTTTTGACCAATATACTGGCATGTCGTGTTAAATTTCATTCACACCAGTGGCCATGGTGTGACACCACGAATGTCATTGGACAATGTTGCTGCGTCCCCACCTTTTCCAAACGTCAAACAATCAACTGGTTGATGGGTGCTTGAGAAAAATTGGGCAAGGGGCTTTGCAAACCCCACGCTTGGCACCTGGGAAGCACTTGACATCAGGTGCAGGGCAGGTGACCATGGCTTGGATGAAATGGCCTTGCAGGCCAAGTGGGGAGGCCTTGAGGCTCAGATTTCTAGCCCAGAAGGCAGGATCTTCCAGACTTCTTCACAAAAGAAGAGGGTGGGGATTGCAGTTGATTCCAGTGGGAAACAGCTAAGGCACCAGAGCAAGATTTATTATCACACAGGATCCTAAATAGTTTTATTAGGCTTTGCACTTAATAGCCACCTCCACCTGAAATATTAAATATTTGTTTTTAATAATAATTTTTTATTACTCGAATGGTCTTTTTCCTCATCAGTGTCCTAGGGAGACAGCGTCAGTGTTTCACCCCATGAGTTGATTAAATAATTTGTTTTTTCCCCTCAAGGGGAGCATATACATACAGCACTATATTTGTCTGTTGTTTTACCCAAGTTCTCCTTTGACCTCATTAACTTTCCCCCTCTCATTAACCATTTAACCTTTCCCTGCGCCTTTAGTGTAGAACACTTTCCTTGTGTATTGACTCAAAATCTTGTATCTCTCCCTAGAACCCGATGGAAGACAGATTTCGGATTATCACATTTTATCTATACTTGGCACTGATCCTTGTAGAGTTGGTTCTTTCGTGTCTTAAAGAAAAGCCTCCATTTTTCTCTCCGGTTAACTTAGACCCTGTAAGTAAGTCCTTCTTACATTGACTGCCTTCTATAGTTTCTCATGAGCAACCAAGCTAATTTAAGAATGCGTGTCCACATCCTCTGATTTTCCTGGAAGGTGTCTTGGAACAAACCACAACATCTCACCTTAAGTGTCTCTGATTAGGGTTCTGCCTCTGGACTATATGTTTAAGGAAAGTATTTACCTTAGACATCAACAACTGTAGGCTTCATGTACCAAATCCAGCCCCATGACGACCTGCTCCCTATACACAACCCAAAGCAGGCATGGTGTGAGTTTGGACTCACTGCTAGCCTGCTTTGAAGAAGTCATGTGTGAGAGGGCTGTACTTAATGAGGTGCTAATTTATGTGTGATGTTCTTTGCTAAAAGGACATTGTGGAGGGAGAGGGCAGAAATTGGGACAGCAGCCTGGTGAAGTAGTTGATTTTTGGTGGTGGTGGTGGGATTTTGGGATGTTTGTCTCTTTGTGTGACAATTAGTAGCTGGCTGTGTGTGAAAGAATGGCCCAATCATACCTTATTTTCATATGGCCTGGAAGCTGACTGTGGATTCTACAGTAAGAGAAAAAGCTTTTCTTTCCATTCTGCCACAACCTGGTCTTAATAAAGTCTGCTGGCAGCAGGACAGAGAGGCTTTCTATTGTCTTGCCTTGTGTCTTCTCCCCCCCGCCCCCCGGCCTGGCTGCTCCATCAGCAAGGATCCCCTGTGTTTGCTATCTGGTAATAGCTAAAACACACATCCACTCCTTGCTTTTATGTCTGCTATTAGCAGGATTTGTTGAGATCAGATTGTGAAATCCAGCCATAGCCCTTCAAACACCACTCAGAGCTGGGGGAAGGTGGTGGGGAGCAGGAAATTGGCAGGAGTTCCAGCACATCCTTAATATATACATCCCAGGATATATCCCCAAATGATTTTGAATGCATAGTAGTCTTTGGCTACAAAAGCTTTGGCTAAAATATTGGATTTTTAAAAAACAACAAATTCATGTCTTCAACTTTTTATTGTAGAATCCCTGTCCAGAGTTAAATTCTGGTTTCCTTTCGAAGATCACATTTTGGTGGTTTACAAGGTAAGCATTACTGAGCTCTCGTAGATAACCTCTATTTTGCTGAAAGCAATATCGAAGTGGCACCCGTACAAGAGATTCCCCTCGTGCTCTTGGTTGCCTAGCTACATTCCTATACAATACAGCATTCATTCATGCTCTTCCCTCTACCCCACACCCAGATGTTTTGTGCTTATTAGAGTAGAGGTTAACAAAAGTACTCAAAAAATTCCTGAGCTTTAGAAGTATATTTACTTCTAAATATATTTCCTTTGCACAATGGGCTGGTTGGTGGATCTCAGGATTCTGGCAGAAAACGAAGTACTGTAGTTGCAGCAAGCCTCAAGTCTGCCCATCCCTGGTGTAGATCACCTTTCAGAACTGAGGTGCAGGAAGTGTGAGACAGCAGCTAAGTTCACAGATGGGAAACTGGAGTGCTGTGTGCTTAATTCCAGGTTTGGAAATGCTAGCTAACACTGTGAACAACTTGCACAGTGATGTTTGAATTGGCAATTAAGGTTCAGGTTTCATTTCCTGTTGGAATCGTATTTTATAGGGTGTTTTTTATTATTCTTACTGTGCAGCAGGAAAAGAAACTTGAGTCTCGTGTGTAACGTGATGAAACAAATCTTTGTCAAACATCAGCTCTCCAAAAAATGTCTTTTTTTAAAAGGGGATTGGAAATTGCATTTCCCCCCTCTCCAAAGAAGAGGGAGATTAGTTTAATAAGCCATACTTTGTGCAAGATTGAGGAGGGTTATTTTGCCAAAATCTAAGCTTTTATCTTCAAGGTTCTCTTTGCAATTAGAAGACATCAATAGTTGTTAAAAAAAACAGGGCTGAGAATAGAGTTCTGAGAGGCAATTTGCACATTTTCATTCATAAGTCTATTCCATCTGATTTCCACATTAATCTGTGATTTAAAAAAGGAAAAAAAACTGTACAAAAATTGTATTTGAATACAGGTGACTCTCAACTTATGTGGGGGTTACGTTCCGGGGATAGCATTTAAAGGCAAAAGTGTATCATCAAAACACATTGGGTGCAATGGTGGATGGGATGGCGAAAGACTTTCACCCCAGAAACCCACCCATTTTCTGTCCCTTTAAAAAAAAAAGAAGTCAAGCGTGTTTACTGTATGGGCTGAGTAATAAAGTCTGGGCTACGAAAGAAAGAAACAAAAACGAAAGTTATTACCATAGTAAAGTAAAGTATATTGCTGTCATTGGTTTGTCAAGTGTAGTTCCAGATTTGTCAGGCCTGTGATGATGGCTGCTTTTTAAAGCCAAAAACCATATCACAGAATTTTAGATATGTGCAAAATCTTAATGATAATTACTTTCCAGTCTGCATATTAATTCAGGAGATGCATATTAGGTTGGCTCACTTTTAAAAAGGCAGACCAAATTGAATTCTCCCTAGTTCTGAACCTAGCAGCCTATTCATTGTGCCACATCGTCCCGTAGAGATTCCCACTTAGAAACTGAATAAAAGACTTTCCACCTAGCAACAGGAGGCTCAGCTGCCTCCTTTGCTGCAAATGGCAAATGCATGGATGAAAAACTAAGGCCTCAAGGAAAATAGTTAATATCTGGAGACTTCCAAGCGTTAGCAATTCTGTTTGCCGAGGTTGGATAGTTGTTTGATGTCAACTTAAAATGCCACTTTCCTACCAAGATTTAAATCATTTTGTCCTAGTTTTTCCACTTAAAGAGAGATGGGTGAACTTGTAGCATTTGTAGTCAGTTCCCAAATTCAGTTGAGTTTCTGCAGGAGGACAAGAGGTCAACAGAGAGCTATTTAACATCCCTGACAGCAGCAGTTACATTGACGTCAGTAGTGATCTTGTTGCCATGTGGGAAAAGCAGGAGCAGGGAGCCAGAAAAAAAAATGCATTTAAGGTTGGCTACGGTCAAGGTTCAACCACTAAACTCCTTTATGTTTGTGGATATCATCACTGTAATAAATGAAAGTATGTGAACAGAGTTGTATGTGAACAGAACCTCTTGTTTGCCAATACTTTGGTAATGTATTATGCCAAAGATTGGACAGGATTTTGAGGGTGCCCAAGGTGATGGCAAAGCACAGCAGACATTTATGGTGGGATAATACTGGAGGCATCAAGGAAGTGCTAAAAAGTGTGATGGAGTTGAAGTTCTGGTACCAGACATACAATATTTGCATGGTGAAACTGCTTTGAAAATGTGCTAACCTCATCTTGTGCACTTACCATCTTTACTCCCAGATTGAACTCAGGGAAAACCTTGTGTTTTGGTTTGAATCAGAAAACCAAAGCACAGCACTGACTGGCTAGTGTTTGTGTCAATCATGAAGCAAAATCCCTCCTTTTGGTGCTGATTAGTTATGCCTTGTGACAGCCACAATGCCACCTCCTCTGCTTCTCAGAGCACTTTTAAAGGGTGTTGAGCAAAAATACAAGCAAGGTGTTGGTGTGGATGGGGGTGGGCAGAGACAGAAAAACAAAGTAGACTGCCTGCTTGAAGGATTGTGGAGGAGGGCAGGACGCTAGTGCATCCAGAGGCTATATGTGTGTCATTACTGAGGTGAACATTGGAGAGTGGATGGGAAGCAGAGCTCACCCCTTACTAGAAAAACTTGGTCTTACTCATCTTTGATCACTCCTTTGTACTTGACTTGCAGTCAGACCAAAAATTCATTTTATGTTAAACACATGGCCATTGCTGCAAACAGCAAATATGTATTTATTTCCCACCTCCCTACCTGTTACTTCCAGAACAATTTACCTATATCCACAACATTGCACATGTCCCCTGTCCCCACCCCACTGATAGCAGCATGTGATATGGAGCAGGGAAATGTACAACAGCTTCTGCCATCCAGTAGCTGGGTAAGTTGTCCTGGATGCCTAGTGTAGAAGAAGGAGGAATTAAATGTGTGTGTACTCACATGCACTGTCTGTAGAGGTCTTTGCACATTACGTGTAACACTGCAGTACTCTCTTGAGAAAGTTTGAATTGTGTGTCCAAACTGATTACCAACGTCCTTTTTTGTTTTTTTAACAATACAGTATGGCAATCCAGGGATATAAGAAGCCTCTTGAAGATAAAGATTTATGGTCTCTGAATGCGGATGATAAATCTGAACTGATAGTACAGAAGCTGCAGAAAGAGTGGGATAAACAAAATCAAGAAGTGCAACAGTAAGTCACTCTTAGGCTCCCTTTTGTGCATAAACTCTTGCTTTTTAACTGTGCTTTAGAAAATCACCAAAATTGTGTGCCATCGTAATGTGTCCAAAAAATATATATATATATTGCAGCCTACATAAATGATAACTGTGTAAAACGCATAATTAAGCTAATGTGCATATGTTAAGCTAATGTGCATGTGTTTGCTTGTTTTGCATAATTTGTTAGGCTTTTGCTAATCAAAGGATGAGGCAAGGATCCTCAAGGCACTGGAACTGTATCTCAGAACAACCAGTAATCAACCCCCATTCTAGTGTCACATTTTACTTGCATTTTCTATCACACTTTCAAGATTATCTTAATAATAATAAAAACTATAATTTTTCTGTGGGGGAGGGGTGAGAAAAAAAGCGTGTCCAGGCCCCCAGGACCTTGTGTGGGAGCTGGAGTTGAGCAAATGAGCTGGACCGTAGGGAGCTGTTGACCCAGCAAGAGATTAGAGGAGAACTGGAAGGGATGATGATGATGATGATGATGATGAAGACGACAACAACAACTTTTATTTATATCCTGCCCTCGCTGGCCGAAGTCGGGCTCAGGGCGGCTAACATCAGATATATACAGTAACAGTATAAAATCAAACAATAATTAAATTACCTCCTAAAAACAGGTCAGTATCCTTGTTGCCAGCTTCCTCCCTCTTCCTCTTCCTCTTCCTCTGCTGGTTGATTGTTTACAGTGGGATCTCCCTTTTCTGGAGTGGACCCTTGTTCATTCCTGTGCCAGCTCCAGATTTCCCATTGGATCTGCTGCTGCTTTTGCTCTTAAGACCCAGGTAGTGACGGTGGAGAACTGGGGATGAAGATGCGGCTTGGGATGCGGTCGGAGCGGTTATCAGGCTGCCTTGGGACTAATGTGGGTTCTTCCAGCTCCTCAGTTGTGCTGCTGTTCCCCACAAGGTGTTCCATGTCTCTTTCTCAAAAGACATATCTCACTGGCTCTGGGTTGTGTGGGATCCCTTTGGAAAGCTGAGATTCTCAGAACAAACCCATACTTGCATGGAATGGTTGTGGAATACCCACCACCATGTTCATGTGGCTTTTTGGAGAGGGTTAGGGTTTGCGTTAAGATTATCCATCTAATGCATTAAAAAGAGAATTAAATTACTGAAGCTAAATGCATAAGAACTGGACATACATACAGGTGAAACTCAGAAAATTAGAATATTGTGGAAAAGTTCATTTATTTCAGTAATGCAACTTAAAAGGTGAAACTAATATATGAGATAGACTCATGACATGCAAAGCGAGATATGTCAAGCCTTTATTTGTTATAATTGTGATGTTTATGGCGTACAGCTGATGAAAACCCCAAATTAACAATCTCAGAAAATTAGAATATTAAATGAAATCAGCAAAACAAGGACTGCAAATAGAGCAATATTGGACCTCTGAGAAGTAGAAGCATGCACATGTACTCAGTACTTGGTTTGGGCCCCTTTTGCATCAATTACTGCCTCAATGCGGTGTGGCATGGATGCTATCAGCTTATGGCACTGCTGAGGTGTTATGGAAGACCAGGAAGCTTCAATAGCAGCCTTCAGCTCTTCTACATTGCCCGGTCTCATGTCTCTCATCTTTCTCTTGGCAATACCCCATAGATTCTCTATGGGGTTCAGGTCAGGCAAGTTTGCTGGCCAATCAAGCACAGTAATCCCATGGGCATTGAACCAGGTTTTGATACTTTTGGCAGTGTAGGCAGGTGACAAAGTCCTATTGGAAAATGAAATCAGCATCCCCATAAGCAGAAGGAAGGAAGCATGAAGTGCTCCAAAATCTCTTGGTAGACGGCTACATTGACCCTGGACTTAATGAAGCACAGTGGACCAACACCAGCTGATGACATGGCTCCCCCAATCTCTTTTCTGATGAGAGCAGCTTTTGCATCTCACTTGGAAACGAAGGACCCAGAGTCTGGAGGAAGAATGGGGAGGCACACAATGCCAGATGCTTGAAGTCCAATGTGAAGTTTCCACAGTCTGTGTTGATTTGGGGAGCCATGTCATCAGCTGGTGTTGGTCCACTGTGCTTCATTAAGTCCAGGGTCAACGCAGCCATCTACCAAGAGATTTTGGAGCACTTCATGCTTCCTTCCACAGACGAGCTTTATGGGCATGCTGATTTCATTTTCCAGCAGGACTTTGTCACCTGCCCACAGTGCCAAAAGTACCAAAACCTGGTTCAATGCCCATGGGATTACTGTGCTTGATTGGCCAGCAAACTTGCCTGACCTGAACCCCATAGAGAATCTATGGGGTATTGCCAAGAGAAAGATGAGAGACATGAGACCGGGCAATGTAGAAGAGCTGAAGGCTGCTATTGAAGCTTCCTGGTCTTCCATAACACCTCAGCAGTGCCACAAGCTGATAGCATCCATGCCATGCCGCATTGAGGCAGTAATTGATGCAAAGGGGCCCAAACCAAGTACTGAGTACATGTGCATGCTTCTACTTCTCAGAGGTCCAATATTGCTCTATTTGCAGTCCTTGTTTTGCTGATTTCATTTAATATTCTAATTTTCTGAGATTGTTAATTTGGGGTTTTCATCAGCTGTATGCCATAAACATCACAATTGTAACAAATAAAGGCTTGACATATCTCGCTTTGCATGTCATGAGTCTATCTCATATATTAGTTTCACCTTTTAAGTTGCATTACTGAAATAAATGAACTTTTCCACAATATTCTAATTTTTCGAGTTTCACTTGTATAATAAAGAGCAATGCAAAAGAGAGAGAGAGAGAGCAGGAATTGTCAGTGTACACATCATTTTCCATCAGAAAGTTTCAATGATCTGGTCTGCTCATAGGAGCCAAAAAAGTTATTTTAGTGTAGCCTTCCATTGAACCAAGAAGAAACAGATGGTACAGACTGAAGCATGTTAGCTGAGCATCTCTCAGTGACACCTAATTCCATACTAACCATCTGGCACACTGCAAAGGAGTTCTGTATCCTCATTTACATGTGTGTATGCCTTGTCATATGTGTATGCCTCATGTGTATGTGCATGCCTCATGTCATATGTGTATGCCTCATTTACATGTGTGTATGCCTTGTCATATGGGACGCAGGTGGCGCTGTGGGTAAAACCTCAGTGCCCAGGACTTGCCGATCGTATGGTCGGCGGTTCGAATCCCCGCGGCGGGGTGAGCTCCCGTCGTTCGGTCCCAGCTCCTGCCCACCTAGCAATTCGAAAGCACGTCAAAGTGCAAGTAGATAAATAGGTACCGCTTTATAGCAGGAAGGTAAATGGCGTTTCCGTGTGCTGCGCTGGTGCTGGCTCGCCAGAGCAGCTTTGTCATGCTGGCCACGTGACCCGGAAGTGTCTCCGGAGAGCGCTGGCTCCCGGCATCTTAAGTGAGATGAGCGCACAACCCTAGAGTCGGACACGACTGGCCCGTACGGGCAGGGGTACCTTTACCTTTATGCCTTGTCATGCTTCCGTATCATTCTTTGGATTTCAATTGAAATTGTAACTCTTGCCCTCTCTGATTCAGCCTCTATATTTTGGAAAGTTGTTTGTTCACTGTGAATTGGACACCTCTTAAGATATCATAACTTATTTTTGCATGTGGATCCTGAGATCAAGGTGCAGCTTTTTGTCTGTTTTTGGATACAATGAAGATGGATGACTGAACCTTTCAAAACTGCACTGTTTTTAACCATTGATTTCAAAACTGTGCTGATTTTGTTTCTTAGAAATTCTGAGCCATGCCTGGTATGAGGCTGCTAGTGTTAAAATGCAGAAAGCTACTTTCTGTTTTAAATCTAAACTAGGTCACATACTACAAACACTTCTTAGCAGAGTGATGATGACTTATCTGTTATGGTTACAGACCAATAAAAGGGGATGCAAACAGGATAACTATAATAAAAATACTGATATTCACAGAGGGGCCAAAAGGGAGTTCCTGCTTTACCATCTGGCTCTTAATTTATATTTTAGATAGGAAGAATTTAGCTACATTTTCAGTAATGTAAGAAGAGGAATCATTTAAACAAGAGATAGCCTTATTTCAGTGGGTCTTCCGGGTAAAGGTACAATGAGCTTCTTTCTGGGCTTATTATACAAATTGTCATATATAGATTAAAATGACCCACAAGTTTTGTCTCTCTGATCCCACAGGGACAAATACCTTCATTATGTGAAATGTTCTTAAACTTGCCTGTATGCAAAGCAGAAGGCAGAACATTAATAAAATAAGAACACTGAGGATAAATGCTCTCTATATCTGTAAATAGCAGAGTGTCTGAGGTTTTATCTTATCCGGAGAGATAACTGGTACGCTGAATCACTCAGCTGTGTATGGCTCATGAGCCATCACATGCATACCTGATAAGACACACAGTACAGTTCCTTCCACCTCAGAATGCATGTTGTGTACATAGTGGATCATTTGTTTGAAATCACCCCTATACCAGCTCTCTCTTTATGTGAGCATACCAGGGGGAGAGAGAGAAGATCAGGTCGCTGTTGATGTTTTGTCGTGAGTTAAGCTAAGTTAAGGATCAGTTTCCCCAATCACATGAAGGGGTTCAGTTTGCATTCAAGTAAACAGGAACAGAAGTCCCTGTGGGCCTTTCCCTATTCAACAGGAGGAAGGGCAGGGACTGAGAGGTGTGTGGTGTGGGACTGGCGCATGCACCCCCTTCCCCACGCTTTGAACTTTCATGTGTTTGGGCAAATACCTGACTTCCATTAATTTGTGCCCTTGTCTTGAAATGTCACTGGAATAGCGGTTTGGTTGGGCGCAAAATCGGTGAAAGGATAGTCAAAACTGTTATAAAGTTATAGGCTGTTAGACATAAAATAATTGAGGTAAAAATACTGGAAGATGCATGGCAAAACCATAGCTGTAGTGGTAACAGGGCTTTTTGATTCATAAAATACTAAACAAAATAATTTAGTAGGTTTTATCCAACCTCAAATGAGACCTATTGAAATCAATGGACCTAAATTACTTGTGTGACTTGATTTCAATTGGTCTCTTCTGAGTAAAGCTATCACCCATTAGTTTTATTTCTTGAAAGACCATAAAACCAAAAAAATGTTGATGTTTGAAATGTGGCTGCTTTCCAAAGCAAGTATGTCATCATCATCACCATCACCACCACCACCACCATCATCACCATCATTTTGCTGAACAGGAAAGGGAAATTATCAGATGCCGAAGGCTGTATTTGCCTCAGCCGAAGGCTGTATTTGCCTCAGCCAAAGCTTTAGACTACAGCTTTTTATTTAAGTAAACTAAACTAATTTAATCTTAATCATTCCTCCATGAACTGGCCAGTCTTCACTCAAATCAATTGATCTGATAGGTTGATGTGGAAGTTTCTGCCCCTGAATACACCAAGCAGAGGGACTGCAGTAGTAATATCTCATACGACTTAATTTGTGAATCAGGTTCCAAATGTGCTGCCTTATGTCACTATAATTTAAATATGCAGCTTTAACGTAGTTATTAAATAAAGTACTGATTTTAACACAGACAGTACTTCAAACTGAGGTCCCCTTTTTTCATGGGGGAAACTGCTCCCTGCTCTTGGCTACTAAAATGTGGGGCCCATATCCTACACACATAGCAGTTCTCACAGAAGCAAGGCCACATTTGAGGCCCAAAGGCTGCTATTATTTAAGAGATTCAACATTCCTAACAAACCCTCCACTTTTTCAGCTGACTTTAACAATGTCTTTTTGTTCCCCTAGGAAAAAAGATATATCCTATACAAAAAGCTCGAACCAAATAGAGAACCATGTTGGTGATGGCCTTGAGGAAACAGAAATCCTGATAAGTAGTAACGCAAAGCAGAAAGAACCCTCTTTTCTCAAAGCCTTAATCAGGACCTTTGGCCCATACTTCTTAATTGGCTCCTTCTTTAAATTAATTCAAGATCTGTTGTCTTTCGTCAACCCCAAGTTGCTAGGGTGAGTTCTGCACTCTCATTCAAGTTCATTTCACATGATCCATTAGCACAGTGTTTCCAAAACGTAAGTCTCCAGCTGTTTTTTTGAACTACGACTCCCATCATCCCTAGCTAGCAGAACCAGTGGTCAGGGATGATGGAAATGGTAGTCCAAAAATAGCTGGAAACCCTATTTCGGGAAACCTTGCATTAGTGAATAGCTAGTGAAAAGGGACGCGGGTGGCGCTGTGGGTAAAACCTCAGCGCCTAGGGCTTGTCGATCGCATTGTCGGCGGTTTGAATCCCCGCGGCGGGGTGAGCTCCCGTCTTTCGGTCCCAGCTCCTGCCCACCTAGCAGTTCGAAAGCACCCTTAGGTGCAAGTAGATAAATAGGTACCGCTTTATAGCGGGAAGGTAAACGGCGTTTCCGTGTGCTGCGCTGGTACCGGCTCGCCAGAGCAGCTTCGTCACGCTGGCCATGTGACCCGGAAGTGTCTCCGGACAGCGCTGGCCCCCGGCCTCTTAAGTGAGATGGGCGCACAACCCTAGAGTCGGACACGACTGGCCCGCAAGGGCAGGGGTACCTTTACCTTTACCTTTTAGTGAAAAGGTAATAGTTTTAAGGCGCCACTTGCTTTCTGCAAGCTTTTGGGGTTTTTGCATTTACTGCACTCCATTCCCTGCATGTCGCAGGACACCTATTTTATCCTGTGCTGAGTCCTTGCCTATCTGCATAGCAGATGCGGGGAATCGCAGGGGAGAATGGCAGTCTGATAGGGAAAGGCTGTCAATGAGGAAATACATAATGGGTTTTCATGTGTTTACTAGTTTTGCATAAGAACACTGAGTGGGAAACAAGGGAGGCTTTCATTTAGACATATCGCTAACATGACTAAATGGAGGAGGTATCTCCTCCATGCACCATATTTCTTTCCAGTTCACACTTGCGTGTCTACATGGGAAAGAATCCCATTTTGAACTGCAACACACAAAAGTTCATCTATGTGTGTTGATTGGCAGATGCAAAGATTACATGTGTGCATGCTTTCCAGTCAGGGACAGCACAAGACATTGTGCTGCCTGAGGCAGGATCTGCATCTGTCTTTTTGATAGGGAAGGGCTGTAGCTCAGTGAAATATGCTTTGCATGTAGACGGTCCCAGGTTTAATCCTCGGCATCTCCAGGTAGTGGCTGTGCAGAAGAAGAGGGCAGGGGATGATGCTAGAAAACAGTATAGAAGACAGGAAAGTGGCCAGACTATCTTTGTGGCAGACTAGCAGAGAGCTTTGTGAGGAGGCACAAATTTCCTATCACCACCCGAGGCAGTTGCTTCATTTTGCCTCATGATAGAGCTGGCCCATTTTACCGTGCCTTGCACGTACTATGTAGCTGTAACTTGCTTCAGCTTTTCAGCCCCTCTACACACTAGGCTGGGATGCGGGTGGCGCTGTGGGTTAAACCACAGAGCCTAGGACTTGCCGATCAGAAGGTCGGTGGTTCGACAGGGTGAGCTCCCATTGCTCGGTCCCTGCTCCTGCCAACCTAGCAGTTCGAAAGCATGTCAAAGTGCAAGTAGATAAATAGGTACTGCTCTGGCGGGAAGGTAAACGGCGTTTCCGTGCGCTGCTCTGGTTCTCCAGAAGCGACTTAGTCATGCTGGCCACATGACCCGGAAGCTGTACGCCGGCTCCCTTGGCCAATAAAGCGAGATGAGCGCCGCAACCCCAGAGTCAGCCATGACTGGACCTAATGGTCAGGGGTCCCTTTACCTTTACACACTATGCTGGCACAGTGAAATCCAGGTGTGCCATTTGACCAACACACAACACCAATCAATGTACAGATGTCTGCCCGCCCCTCCCCTACTTTCCACAATATTTTTTATTTTAGATTTTTTAAATTGGATTGCTGTAGAAAAATGAAGTGGATAAAACAATTAAGAAGATGTTTGAGGTTGTCTTATGCCTTCTAGGCATGTGCCCAAAAGAATGGTTTGAATTATTGGTGCTTCTACTTTGCTGTGGGTAAGAATCAATAGTGTGTTGTGCTTTGCCCCACTAATCTCATTGTTTCTTCCCCTTGTTGTCTATTTGTTTCGTCTCCTTCTTAAACAGTCTGTTAATTGGCTTCATTAAGAATAAAAGCGCTCCCTTATGGTGGGGATATCTGACTGCAGCTTTGATGTTTTCCTCTGCCGTGCTTCAGACGATAATCCTTCACCAGCATTTCCAGTACTGCTTTGTTACTGGGATGAGACTGAGAACGGGCATCATCGGGATGATCTACAGAAAGGTAGAAGCAGGCTAATGTTTTTGCAAGCACAGGCAGTGAATATGAACAAGAGATTTTGCTTGAGGGTGCAGAAAGAAAGCACCGTATTTTCTTAATGTTGTAAAAAGGACGAGCCAATAGGACTTGGCAATGCACTGAATATGAGGAGTGAAAGAGAGGGAGGATTCAAATGCACAAGCCCTGGACTGTGTACTGCATGCAGTGTCAGGAAAAGACTTACATCAACTATCTCTAATCCTGCACATACACATTCCATGTTTCTTCTCAGTGTTCTGTCATTTGCAGTTTATTCATAAATGCTTCTGTTGCCACTTGCAACATTAAATCTTAAAGAATTAAGGATTTTTAATCTAGCTCTCAGCCCAGCTTTGACCACCCCCAGTCCAGAACTGTCCTTTTATCTGCATTTCCATAATTCTGGCATCATTACTTAATCCTGCCCTTTTTCTTAGTTGGCTCTCATCAACCAGTGCTTGGGTGGCTGACATCTCAAGAACAATCCTGCAACTATTCAACTATCCCCCCCCCGCCCCCCCACTTGACATCTCCTTCAAAGACTTGGGCTCCCTTCACACGCACACATTCAGCCATGTGGAAGCAAGCTCAGATGTGGCTGCAGTCTTTGCATGTGAGATTACCAGAGGCATGCGGGTGAGGTTTAATGTGTGGGTCTTTCCCACCCATTAATTGTTTTCCTTCCAGCATAGTGCCAGCTGGATGGAAAAGATCCACACGGATATGTAGGATTTTGTATAAATTGGTGTGCTTGTGAAGGACTCCCTAATATTATGTTAGCAAGTAGAATGAATATAAACCCATTTTCTTTTGGTGTTTGTAACTGGATAATTAGGACCATCCTAACCATGTTCGCCACAGTTTTGTTATTTTTGAATGTAACCCAAATTGCCCTTGGTATTGCCCAACACAGGCCTGCTTTTGTGCAGGAAAACACATTTTGCTACCTGCTCAACACCAGATACACCATGCTGAGTTTTTATGGTACTAGCCTGATAGATGTGCCATACTGTCTTGCTTTTTTTATTAATCAGATTTGCTTAAAAGCGATTGTGTAAAAGCTAAACGAATTTGTGGCAGCTGAAAATCATTCTTGAAAGAATAGTTCTTCAACTGGTAACACTAACCATTGCACACATGTAAAAAGTGGATTTGATGCTTGGTGTATGACATACTGTGCACATTTAGCTCTATTTGTGCATCATGTGTTTGCATTCTTGGTACCCCAGCTACAGCTGCTTGTGAAATCCTCACAAATACTTCTCCTCCATACCAAACTATTTTAATTATTCCTCTGTTTTGCAAGTTCCCCAAGTCATTTGTATAAACAGGATATATAAAAAAACAAGACTGTATTTCAGTTTGCTTATATTTGCATACTCAAATGAGTGTAGTAGTGGTTGGAACAATTTTATATCTTTAGTTATTAACGAGTGGCTAATATAACAATACAATGCATAATGGAAGCCCAGCCCAGCCCACCCTCTGTGAGTACCAAGTTTTGACATATCTTTGTTTTGTGGAAAAATCTTACATGTGGAAAATCTTACATGATGAGCCACTACGCAGAACAGCTGCCAGAGGGAGGGTCTTAGACTGGCAGACCCAAGCTCACTTACAAGGAAGTAAGACCCATTGGACACAGTAAAGTCTTACTTGCTAGTGAACATTCATAAGATAGTGTTGTTAAAGTAGCTTCTATATAATGGTGGTCGTAACATGAACTGATCCTTAATATACATTTCCTGAAGAGCTTTCTTTCAATTCAAAACTCTTAATATGGAAGGTTTGCATGTGGCAATCTTTTCCTATTGTTTATTCCTTTTGGACTAAAGTCTTTAGCAAGACACAGCTGATTGCTAACCAGATTATTGCCTTAGATCCAAAAACTGCTTTATTACCTGTTTATGAGGGAGAGGCACAGTATCTTACCCAAAGAGACCTCGTGAGGGCTGCAAGACATACTATAGCGAAGTTTGGGAGGTCTTTAAATACAAGAGCCATGGCTTATGGAACTCTGGGACTTGATGCTCATGGAAAAAGTAACTAACAAATTGCAGGAACAAAGAAGTAATAAGAAGTCAGGCAGCTTTAATTCACCTGTATGCTGCCAAAACGCAACAAGGATACAGGCATCCCATGGGGATCTTTGGAAATACAGTTTTTGTTTGATAAGAGGAATAGTTTATATAGAACATGTGCTTCTACTGCATGGGATACAGTACTCTTGGGAAGTGGCAGAGAGGATGTTCTTTCTGTTCTGAAAAATAAGAGTTTTAAAAATATGGAAGGTGGGATTTCTGGTGGGAGCTTGGAAATACACCAGGAACCAGTGAAGTTGCCACAAAGCTAGCGAGATATGTTCCCAACAGCCAGTCCAAGCTGTAATCTGGGGTAACTGAAGTTTCTGAATAGTCTTTGGAGGTAGCCCCAGGACTGATGCATTGCAGTAGTCCAGTCTGGATGTTCCCAGAGCATGGATAGCTGTGGCCAGGCAATCTGCCCAGCATAGTATTCAGATAAAACACCAACTGAGGCAAATGGAAGGTATTTCAAGGCATGGAAGCCTCCAATGACAGACCAGGATCTATCAGCATCTCTAAGCTGCAAACCTGATTCTTGGGGTGGTGGAAGTACAGGATCAAGATGTTACAAGATGAGGAAATATGCCTAAATAAGGGAGTTTCTCTCATTGTCTCTCCAGTCTTTAGTCATCACCAACTCAGCAAAGCGCTCTTCCACTGTTGGAGAAATTGTCAACCTGATGTCAGTGGATGCCCAAAGATTGATGGATCTGACTACCTTCCTAAACATGGTGTGGTCTGCGCCGCTCCAGATATGCCTAGCTTTAGCCTTTCTCTGGCAGGTACAGAGTCACTTATGTTGTTCTCTCTGATTTGGCACAATGTGCAGCTAGTAAGCTTAAGGCTGACCCAGCTTGAAGGGGGAAAGGGATTGTGGAAAGTCATATTGCAGGCAACCTGTTGCTCCCAGCAGAATTCCAAGCCCTTGTCTTTAGAATGTTCTGTCTGAACAGATGAATAACTGAGGATGCAGAGCTCAGGTGAGCTGCAATATCCTTAGATTTAAAGAGCCATAGCAGGAGTATAATGGGAGAAGGATCCTAGAGATGAGTTTAGGGGATGGTTTTTATTTATCTCAGTTTTTATTTGCAAAGCTGCTGTAGAACATTGCAGTCCTCAATTCCCTCTTAGCTCAATAAAAGAGATCTCTAATGATAAACATAAAAAAACAGCTTCTCAGGTTCATTTTTTGTCTGCTTTTGTCTCTGTATAATGCTGTGCCTGACATAAACTGGTGCATTTGTGAAGCAGGTTATGGCACCATTTTTTACCAGCTATGTAGAGTGCCAGTATACAGCATCCAAGGAGCCATTTTTAGCAGTGCCTGTGCTGGTTATAAATAAATACCCAAAGATTTTGAATTCACAGTCAATTAGGTTTTACCCAGAGTAGACGTACTGAAATTAGCAGAGCTAACTTAGCCGTGTTCATTAATTTCAATGGGTCTGTTCTGAATCAAACTTTGTTGAATACCACCCTTTCTGTTCCCCTGTCCTCCATTCCTTCCTTAGCTTCCAAGTACACATATGTGACTGCTTCGTGCAGATAAAAAGAGAAGTACCATAAGGATTTTGCAGAGCTTCTCTAGGTTCTTGCACTTCATGTTGAAAATCTATTTAGTCAACTTTAGCCATGTAAACCTTTCTGTGCTTTAGTGGTTAGAGTGCTGGACATAGCTTCCTGTGTGACACTGGACCAGTCATCTTCTCTTAGCTTAAATGACCTCATGCAGCTCACGTGCAAGTAAATTAAGAGGAGGATCATGTATGGAACTTTGAGCTTCTAGGAGGGTATAAATACAATAAATTCCAGTTTTAAAAAATATTAATTGGAAGAGAATAAAATAATGACTGATGTGTTTTGCATCGTTTTGAAGGAATTAGGGCCGTCTGTGCTGGCAGGAGTTGCTGTGATGGTCTTACTCATCCCATTTAATGCTGTAATAGCTATTAAAACCAGAGCACTCCAGGTAAGTAAACTCTAGTACATCCATTCCAAACTAATTTGGATTGTCTAGCTGAGGCTCCCTGCAAAAGGAAGCAGAAAGAGGGTGCTGGCAGATTAGTCAGCACTTAGATCTTAGAGCAATTTGACTACCGTGTGCAGAGCATGGCTTCTTTGCACCTGCTTGTCTGCCCTGGGATTTCTGACTTGCCTTGCCTTCAAATCTCACCGTGAAACTTTACCTGAGCTGCTGCCTGCTCAAAGCCCTTCTCTTCTCTGTTTTTCCTGAACATGGTCCTGATTATCTTGTGCCCTGGACTTTATTCTCATTTGCTTCCTGTCTAGAACAGATTCTGCAAAACCTCTTCTTGCAGATTTCCCATTTTTTTTCCAGAGCAGTGGGTAGTAGAAAATTTTTCCACAGTGCTTTATTTTTCCTGTCAATACTGTGGTACCTCTGGTTACGAACTTAATTCATTCCGGAGGTCTGTTGTTAACCTGAAACCGTTGTTAACCTGAGGTACCACTTTAGCTAATGGGGCCTCCTGCTGCTGCTGCGCCACTGACGCATGATTTCTCATCTCATCCTGAGGTAAAGTTCTTAACCTGAGGTACTACTTCCGGGTTAGTGGAGTCTGTAACCCAAAGTGTTTGTTATCCGAGGTGTTTGTAATCCAAGGTACCACTGTACTCTGCTCAGAAGGAGCATGACTGGTGAGATTGCCCATAGAGTAGAGGTCCACTGTTCCTCCACTCAGTATAGTTTTGAACCACAGAGCTGCAGATCTTGAATATCATCTGGATCAGTTCTGTGAACTGCTTGACATCCTACCCTGTGATTATTATCGAAATTATAACATGCCCTACACAGTGAGCAAAGGAAGCCAAGAGCAATTAGACAAGTGTTTGGAATATATTCACATATATATGCTAAGGATACTGCCATGAGACCATTAATGGATGCCTTTGCAACGAAAACTTTCAATGCATCTTTATTCCCATGTAGGGAATTGGAGCATTAAGAGTTTTGCGGCTAGTTCTAATGGAAGTGATAATAAAATTCCTTTTCTTTCACCGACTGCTAATAATTAGCTCATTTTAATTGTGAGGTGATGTTTAAAAACATCTGATTTTTATTTACATTTTAGTGATCCTGTGTTGGTGCTGCTTATTTTCTGCACTGCATTTCACTTAAGCTGAGCATGAACTTTAGCTCTGCAGCTGCTGCTGCTGCTGCTGTTTCTGTTTTCCTCACTCTCCTTATACTTCCACGGTGCACTTCCTTGGTAGCTTGTCAGTTGAACAAGAGCACACAATGAAAGGAATTCAGTGAAAGATAATTTTCTTTTGTGGGCGGGGGGAATACAACCACCACCATCTAATGGTGAATTGCCTGATGCTGTAGGCTGCCATGTCTCCACTGCCCCCTCCACCGACCTTAAAAAGTCACCTAAATAGTAAATAGGAACCACATTCCTTCCCTTGGCTGCTTGACAGTGGTTTCTGTAACACCAGCAAGGACAGAAATGTGATGGAAAGAGTCCAGAAAAAAGCCTCAGTGAGTGATTAATGGCTTTTCTTTCTGCCTCCTTTATGACGATGAGTCTGCCTGCAAAAGAACCACACACAGAATATCAGGCTGGTTTCAGCTTTGTTCTAAGTACAAAAAGATTAAAATGCAACCTATGTCCTAGTGACTGAGGGCTAAGCTTCACATATTACATCTTGAACAGATTCGAAAATTGGGAACAGAGAAAATTGCCTTACAGTGAGTCAGACCATTGGTCCATCTTGCTCAGTATTGTCTACACCCACTGGGATTGTGCCCAGGGTTTCATACAGGGAATCTCTCCCAGCCCTTCCTGCAGATGATGGGGATCAAACCTGGGACCTTAGATGCTCTGCGACTGAGCTGTGGCCCTTCCCCTATCCTATAATTATTGCATATCAAGCAGCCAATGGCCAGTGCTAAGGAAGAGTTCAAATAAGATCTTATTGACAAATGATTCTCTTTCTCCACTAAACCCAAGCAAGCATGAGTTACAGCTCATAAGGAATAATTTGCAGTTCTCTAGGGTCTCTTGCAGGCGTTTTTCTTAGAACGTCCTGCCTCAGATCCTTTTAAATGGAATCAGAGTAGAGAAATAGTAATGATTAAAAAATAAAAATGAAATGGATTATGTGCATATGTATCTAATGGGGGTTTTTTTTTTGGGGGGGGGGTAAAAACAAAACAAAACTAGAAGCCAGTACTCCTATCTTAATAAAAGTGCAGTGAGTACCAGTGCAATATGGCAGTCCTAGACAATGAAAAAAGGATTATGGTTCCTGAGATCAAGGAGCGGGATTTTATCTATGTTTGGACAGAGCTGTATGCCATTTTGAAGCGAGGTCAAAGCTGTACTGCTTTTTTGGCTTTTTAGAATTCCCAGGCAACACATGGTATGAGGCTACTAGGTAAAGGTAAAGGGACCCCTGACCATTAGGTCCAGTCGTGGCCAACTCTGGGGTTGCGGCGCTCATCTTGCTTTATTGGCCGAGGGAGCCGGCGTACAGCTTCTGGGTCATGTGGCCAACATGGCTAAGCCACTTCTGGCGAAGCAGAGCAGCACACAGAAACGCCGTTTACCTTCCCGCTGGAGCGGTACCTATTTATCTACTTGCACTTTGACGTGCTTTCGAACTGCTAGGTTGGCAGGAGCAGGGACTGAGCAATGGGAGCTCACCCTGTCACGGGGATTCGAACTGCCGACCTTCAGATTGGCAAGCCCTAGGCTCTGTGGTTTAACCCACAGCACCACCCACGTCTCATGAGGCTACTAGTAGTAAACAATTGGGATATAAGCATGTTAGTCCCACATTTGATCTCTAAACTGAATCAACATCCTTGACCAGATACAGTGAGTTAAAGAGGGGTTTTCTTTATTGTTCACATGCCCAACCCATAATAAATTCTTATTCATCTTGCAATGAACATACCTACTTATTTACAATTGTGTAGAAGTACACCATCCATACAGAAAAGTGGGTGTGGTATTTTAATAGTATCTAAATTTATGAAAGTATTGTTTTGTTATTCCTTGGAGACCTGGACACGGGAAGCACAGTGCAAGTTATTACACAAATGGCTATTGGTTAATGGTGATCTTTAACATTGTTTAGGTGCAACAGATGCGCTACAAAGACTCCCGCATCAAGCTAATGAATGAAATTCTAAATGGCATAAAGGTTCTCAAGCTCTATGCTTGGGAACCATCCTTTGCAGAAAAAGTTCTGGAGATAAGGAAGAATGAACTGCAGGTTTTGAAGAAATCAGCCTACCTAAATTCTTTGTCAACATTTGCATGGATCAGTGCACCGTTTCTGGTAAGCTTTGTTTGTGTACCTTATCTTTTGTCAGAGGAACTGTCTGCAAGTTGGCAGGACCGTCCTTGTAACTTAACCAGGGAAAATATGAAAAGTCTGTGAAAAGTCCAGTTGCTGAGTTATTGTTCATGCAATGCAAGAAATGGGCATGGCTTGACTCCTTCTCAGGATGTGGCTGCTGGGAGAGGGGCCTAAGCCCTATGAAAAGATGCAGTACTACAGAAGAGGAAAGATGACTGAGCATGAGTTCTCCGTAAGTCAAAGACAGGGAACCTGTGGCCACCCAGAGCTTGATGGACATCTATTCCCAACAACCCCAGCCAGTTGAGGATGCTGGATGTTGCAGTTTCAACATCTGGAGTGGGGCGGGGGGGGGGGTCACAGGTTTTCCATCCTTACTCTAAGCATGGCAATTTTTACTGCTACTCATAATAATGTAATTATAATTCTCTTCCTGGAAAGCATAATAAAGAGAGAAGATTGGTTTGATCTGGACTTTCCTGGGCTTTCTACTTACTTGCTAAATAAAAAATATTAAGCCTGTAGTAGGCTATCCTTCACATTGCCAAATTCTGAAACTACTTTTAAACTACTTTTTAAAAAAATAGTATTGGTGGTCAAAGTTCCATCTAGTCTGGCACTCTGTCTTCAACTAGGACTAGTCAGTTATGCCTGGGAAGCTCATGATGGAAAAACACAATCCTGTACCTGTTCATTGTCCCCAGTGTCAGAAGTATCTCCTGTGAACATGAAAGCTGCATTTGGCCAGCAGCCATTATGTTCTATAGATGTGTATAATCCTTTAAAACAGGGATGGTGAACATATAGCCCTGCAGGTGTTGCTGAAATACAACTCCTGTCATCCCTGTTAATCACCCATGCTGAGTGGTGGAAGTTAAGAGTAAAAAGAAAGAAAGTAAAACCTGGCCACAGTTATCCACCCTGGCTTTAAAAAATCATTTTAGCTAGTAACCATCCCCAGTATTTTGTGGCAGTGAATTCCATAACTTGAGTATGTGTATGAAGAAATACATTTCCCTGCCTTATCTTGTAGCTGTTGCCAGTTAGTGACCCTTTATTCTAGTGCTATAAAATGCTGTTTCACTGTTGTTAGGATAGATGGAATGGACTGGGTGATACAGAACCTATTAGTATTTTTGCTAACAAATCAAATATGTCACATTTCCACCCTCCTAAGAGACTATCTTACCCCCAGTATTTAGATAGGACTAGATTATCAACTAACTAGGCAATATAAGATGAAGGAAGCGTACTTCTTTGAGCTTCATTGTATGTTCTGACAGAATTTACACTGACAAGATTTTTTTTTAATTAAAAAAATGAGAAAAGGTCGCAGTTAATAAAAAAATAGGAACTAAGTTCAGCATTCTATAACAGTGGACAATTAATTTTATCAAGATTTCCAGCTATTATCTGGGAATAATATTTATTTTCCAGCATCTGCGCCAAAATCAATTACATTCCCAAGTCAAATGCTTGACTTTTATATCATGACTGAGTTCCCTTTCTTTGACCCTCAAGCCCCCTTCCTGTTAACCTAACCATGAAGTGCTTTAAATTCTGTTCACTCCCAAAGATATTCATCTTCACCCATTTACATCATAAGCAGAAAATATTAACAATACTATCTTTAGTAGCTAATCAGATAGCCTTCCTCCTAACTCTTTATCTAAAGTGTATGTTATCATTTCCTAAGTTTAAAGAGGTTCTGTAAGTGTGGTTTCAACACTAACAGAATGAATGCTCAGCTAAAAACAGAGAGAAAAGGTCAGAGACTGAATCGAGCTTAAGAGGAGAATAAATCCATCCCATCTTTTTTGTGTTTTAACCTTCTAATGCAATATGTAGTCAAACAATAATAAGGCAGGCTTTTTGTACATCACAAGTCTTACAAGGTTCAGAAAAGCACAAGATGCCACAATTAGAATGATTAGACAAGAGTGCAAAGGAACTCGAAATGATTTAATTTGATCATGCTAGTTTGCAGTTTTGTCTATTAAAAGGGAATGCACTGAATGCCTACAGGATTAAGAATAATGGAGGATGAAGAATGTCATATAGTAGAAATCTGCCAACTCTTCTTGCCAAAGTGTTAAATTAAATAATAAATGGATAGGATCCATTTATGTAATGGGAGTCTGGGGTTTTTTTATTGTAATTTTTATATTTATTGTAAAAGATACAGTACTGGATATTGAAATGGATTGTGTGATTAGGATAATTATATTTTGTATGGAATGTTCCACCATTTGCTTGGATCACTGAATGACTTGCTTACGTAAAGGCAATTGCCATAAAGTTTTGGAATGGAATATTGTAGAAAAGGGCATGGCTGGCTGGAACTCTGAACAGGACTTAGCTCTGTTCCTATCCCATCTCATAATTTTAAATTGTGTTTTTCCCTATACCTCTGCAATCTCATAGATACCCTCCTTGAGACAGGACAACCAAAACTTTGCACAGTATTCTTTGACTGAATCATACCATGGCATGATGATAGTTTGGGGGGGAAGGTCATCACTTCTCCTAAATATTTTCTATATCTGTGAAATGAGTTTACTACTGTGCCTACGTGGCAGGAAAGGGCAAGTTAAAAGAGCTCAACATGCTTTAATGTGCAGCTGAGATTCTGGTTTAAGTAAGCAGACTATATTCTGAAACATTAATTTTGAGTTTGGGGTGTCTAGGAATGGCCTTTATGACACAGTGGACTTTCTACAACAAGCAGTAACTATCCTGCCTCACCTTGTTTACACCAGCTTTCCTCATTCTTTAAGGTAACACTGTTCAGTGTGGAGTTGAGGTACACTAGAAGATCTGTGAGAAAGGGTAGCTATTTCATGTAGTTCTCCTTGTAGCAGAATGCTCTGCAAGATTAATTTCCCAACTTTACTAGGAGAAAGGAGAACAGGGAAATCTTCTGCCCCCATGCTCTGCATATCAGATCCACAGTGGTCAGGGGGACCAATTCAGTATTGTTATAGAATAGTGAGTTGCTGCTGCTATTATGAAACACCTTCTGGAGGCTGAATTCCTTGTACTCCTTTGTATTATATTTGCATTTTTGTGGAGTGGTGCCATGCTTTCTTGTTCCATAGCGTATTAGCATATCAAATAATCCAACCAATTGTTCCTTCATCCCATACAGATTGTTCCTTTCAGATCTTATATTTCCAGGAAGGCTACATTTGATTCCCTTTAAAAAAAAATCAAGCCGACAGGTGTTGTTTATTCAATTTATTTTTCTGGCTTCCAGGTTGCCTTGACCACCTTTGCCGTTTATGTCACCGTAAATGAAAACAACATCCTTGATGCAGAAAAAGCCTTTGTGTCTCTCTCCCTCTTTAATCTCCTCAGGTTCCCACTCAATATGCTCCCCCAGGTCATTAGCAACATTGCACAGGTAAGAATGCTGCCAGTCCTTTATTTAAACAAAAAGCAAAGGCTATACCAAATGTAAACATAACTTAAGGAGTGGGTGTCTGAACCAAGCCAGACGTGACCATGACCAACCTGTTGGTTTAAATCCAGTGCCCCACCCCAGTCATGTAGGGGCCACCTCCAAACCAGACTATAGTAGCACACTGTACATAGGGCTGATGCAGATTAACTGCCCATTTGTACTATTTGCACCAGCAAAACAATTTGAGCGGCAGATAAATAACCTCCTGAATTAATGCACAGTTCTTCCCTTAGGACCGCAATAATGAAAATTCATTTCTTTCTTTCTTTTTTCCTTTTCGTTTGTTTGTTCTGCTAGACGAGCGTTTCACTGAAGAGGATTCAGCACTTCTTGTCAAATGATGAACTTGATCCAGGCTGTGTTGAAACCAAGTTAATTACTCCAGGTAATAATACACTGGAGTCATTTCATTTGTATGGTGGAGCTGGATAGTAAAGGAGGAAGAAATGGTAGGAGTCTCGTATTTGGTTAATGCAGCCCCACAGTTGAAGCCTGTGCGTGTCTCTAACATCAAGGCAGCAAGTCGGAGCTTCTCGGACTTATGCCTGCTCCTGTGAAGCACCCTCCCAGGTGGCCCTTTGTTGGCCTCTCCATTTGAGAAAGCCTCTCCATTTGCAGGAAAAGGGGGGAAGGAAGTGTTGAGCTGTCCTTGAGCTGCTAAGAATTAGACTGCACAAAGCACTTGGGTATAATCTCTAGAGAACGGCCAGGCCTGGCTAGGGGAGATAAACAAGTGTGCATTTCAGTAATTGCAACTGGATAAATATTTAAGCTGTGGTTGCTGGATGTCTCTTATTTTAAAAGTTTCCCCTCTTATTCCATAAACACAACAGCTGCATAGAGGATTATGGACGTTACTGCAGAGTCCCGTCAGTCCGTAGCGTTCCACATCTACCAGCTCTCCAAAGTGGTGGTGGTGTTTTTTCAAAAAAAGTAGTTTGAAATGTTGATCTGGCACTGACCTCAACCGCATGACTTGTGGTCGGGCACGTGACAGAGTGCTGCTTGAGCAACAAAAAAGAAGAAAACGTTTGTGTTCCCCATAGCTCATCAACAAATGCATCTCACCAGTCCTTTACCCCACCACTTCCTTCTCATTAAAGAGGCCCAGTTTGAGATTTCTGCCTGCCTACTCCCCCTAGCCACTGTGAAATCCGATGCGCGTGCTCAGAAGTCCCACTGAATTTGATTATGTATAGGACTGCAGCATTAGATTATGTCTTCTTTTATTAAATACAGGGTATGCTGTTACTGTAAGAGATGGAACGTTCAGCTGGGCAAAGGATCTTGAGCCAGCTCTGAAAGAGTAAGCAAGCTTTACTCACTTGTACATATTGGAATTTCCTTACTGCTTATAACTTGGAGCCAGCTCCCTCGGCCTGTAAATCAAGATGAGCGCCGCAACCCCAGTCTCATCTGCCACTGGACTTAACTGTCAGGGGTCCGTTACCTTTTTTTTTAAACAGTTCCATAAATTTGCCAAATATGGGGCAAGAGTATTCAGTATTCAAAGGTATAATTAAACACATGGTTACCTAGAATTAATGGGACATAAAAGTGTGCAGCTTTGACTGGATTGTGTCCATGCTTGTTTCTACTTTTTGCTTTTTGTTTGCTTTATACACTGAAATTTTGCATTTTCAAAATGTACCGTATTTTTCGCTCTATAGGACACACTTTTCCCCCTCCAAAAATGAAGGGGAAATTTGTGTGCGTCCTATGGAGTGAATGCAGGCTTCAGGCAGCTATCCGCAAGTCTTCAGAGCACTCCGAAGCCTTGCGGATGGCAGCCTGAAGCCTGCAGCCTGAAGCCCGGGGAGCGCAGCGTCAACTGCCGCTGCGCTCCCTGGGCTTCAGGCAGCTATCCGAACACAAACAAATTGTTGAGCAAAAAGGAGAGATTTTTCAGTTGTGTTGCCGAAGATCCAGGACAAACCGCTGCTTTTCGGAAATTCCCCCTGGACGTCACTTCTGCCATTGAAATCCTGGTATTGTGTGGGAAAATACGGACGTGTGGCAACCGTAAACATGGGGAAAGCACTGAAGATATAGAGTTACTCTGGTTATTTGTGAAGCAACCTGCTGCATTAAAAAAATTATCTGCCAAATCTATCTGGCAGTATCTCTGCCAGCATTACATGCAGCTGCCAAGACAGTTACTATCTTAATCTAGGCACAAATTACAGGCAGCCTATATGCTTAAGGCATCTGGGAACCTACGGGTGGAGGAGGGACACATGACTGCCTTTCAGATGCCAAGTCAGCATGAGTAGACATTTTCAGCACTTCTTAGTGCCTGGAAATTGTCTTGTGAAAAGCTTTGGTATTTGTCCAAGTCATGACTCATCAAATCTAGTGCGCACACGGACAACTTATGAAATGTGGTGACTTGCAACAGGAACATGTGTAAGTAAGTAAATAAATCATGGCTCTGTTTTAGTGCACCACTGCAAAAGTAAAATCTCATTCAGCTGAACACATACAAAAAGGGACATATGACTCAAAGTTGAAAAAGGTCAGCTGGGAAATGGTAGGGAGCTCTTTGCAACTCACTACAAATGGAATCTAATTGTGTCTCTTTATTTTTTTAAGTTGGCTATAAGACTCCTATGTGTTGTCATGACATCTTTCAGGCTTCCCTCTTCTGAAGGCATTAACTCTCCAGTCAACATTCTTTATTCTTTCCCTGACCACATGACCAAATCTGGGGAAAGCTGATTAAACAGAATCTCTGGTGGAATGCTGTGTTGAATTCCTGCCAAGGAGAGTACATACCTTGTGCTTAAACACAGCACGTAAAGAAAGACAGACATGTTTTTTACTTTATGATGGAAATTCCAGAGAGTAACTATCTTAAGTCTAGTGCAATAAAAACAGCTCAAAAGATCTGATAACATCAGTTATGACCTACAAAAGCTTATGTCACAATATTTTTAAGATGCCACAGGATTCTGCTTGGCTTTATTATCTTTACATTAACTAGGTATGTTTTTTTTGTCAGCAAATTAGTCCATCCTCAGTTTTACCTTCTTTTACTCCCTACAGCATCAATTGGTTGGTCCCTAGTGGTTCTTTGGTGGCTGTTGTTGGACATGTTGGCTGTGGGAAGTCATCCTTGGTGTCTGCTCTTCTTGGAGACATGGAAAAGCTCCATGGGAACGTGGCCGTGAAGGTTGGTTCACAGTACAGCATTGTATCCATTTTGAGCATTTGGAAAATATTTGTGGCTTTCAAACTGATCTGCTTTATGTATGTTTTTGATACCTCCTTTTAGGGTTCAGTCGCTTACGTTCCCCAGCTAGCCTGGATCCAGAATGCCACCTTGAAAGATAACATCTTGTTTGGCCATCTTCATAATGAGAAGAAGTACCAAACTGTCTTAGAGGCATGTGCCTTGAAGCAAGATCTCGAGATGCTTCCAGGGGGAGATCAGACTGAGATAGGCGAGAAGGTACATTTACAGCAAATGTAGGTGGTGATGGTTGCCCAAGGTGGTAAAGGACACAAGTCATTCCTCACTAAGTGTCTTCACAACCTTCCAGATGCGGTCAAGCTGTTTGGCTTGACTGACCTTAGTGCTAAGCCTGCCCTCTCCAGCCAGAACCCTGCAATGAATCACCAGGTTCACTGGAGTTTCAGAACACCATTGGCCTATAATTATGGACTAATACCATAGTGACCTGAATATAAGCCGCAACCTTACAAAAATTGGCTTTTACGATATCGCTGCTGAAACAGACATATGGTAAAACAGAACAAAAAATGTTTTATTGCCGATTTGCAAGTTTGAGACTGTTTAACCCTCTCTAGTACCCGTAGGATTTTCTTCTACATTTGCCACTTAGGGGTGTGAGTGCCTGCGGAACTGTACATTTCCGAGCACATTTCAAAGTGTTGGTGCTGACCTTTAAAGCCCTAAACGGCCTCGGTCCAGTATACCTGAAAGAGTGTCTCCACCCCCATTGTTGTGCCCAGACACTGAGGTCCAGTGCCGAGGGCCTTCTGGCGGTTCCCTCACCGCAAGAAGCCAAGTTACAGGGAACCAGGCAGAGGGCCTTCTTGGTAGTGGCACCCACCCTGTGGAATGCCCTCCCACCAGATGTCAAAGAGAAAAACAACTACCAGACTTTTAGAAGACATCTGAAGGCAGCCCTGTTTAGGGAAGCTTTGAATGTTTGACGGACTATTGTATTTTAATATTCTGTTGGAAGCCGCCCAGAGTGGCTGCGGAAACCCAGCCAGATGGGCAAGGTATAAATAATAAATTATTATTATTGTAGCAATTGAACAGTGATTTGCTATTTTAGCTATTGTAACTTTTCGGGTATTCTCTTTTCCCCTTGAATTTTAAAGGTGCGGCTTATTAGTGGGTGCGGCTTATATTCAGGCCAATACTGTAGATCTGAATGGAATGTCCACAAAAGGACCTATCATATTCTGACCTTTTTGATTTCCACTGAATCATATAAAAGTAGTGTTCTCTAAACAACTTGATATAGCTGAAATCTCCCAAGATAACCATCATCAGATGTGTTAACCATCTTCAGGAACACTGTCATTGTCACTTGAACCCCAATACAATGCATCTCTCGCAGAACGGCTAGGAGTACCACCCCCCTTCAGTTAACTGCAAGAAAACTGTCACAAGCAACATTTTTACATTTAAATTTCTCCACCGTTTCTTCACAGGGACTGTCTCTAATATTTTTACTTTAGATCAACATCCATTGATTTATAACAAACAGCCCATGGATATTGTAATAGAATGTTTGATCTATTGACCATACAGATATTGTAGTTGGTTTTTTTTCACCCTGCTTCTGCTGAAGCTGATAGCAGTGTTGAATTTAAAAGCTATGGTGTGCTTTTTCTCTTTTCCCCATCTCACAGGGCATCAATCTCTCAGGTGGCCAGCGGCAACGAGTGAGCCTTGCCCGTGCTGTTTTCAGCGAGGCTGATGTTTATTTGCTAGACGACCCCCTTTCAGCTGTGGATTCCCATGTGGCCAAACACATATTTGACAAAGTTATTGGACCAGAAGGAATGCTTAAAGGAAAAGTGAGCTAACAAACATCTAAAATTCTCCATGTCTGCAGTCACTTCAGCATAGTACTGTACAAGAACATGTAGAATTGTGTGAAACTTTTCTTTTCTTTGGGTAAAGGAAGGGAAGAGCAGAGAAAGTTTCTAGTCCTCCTAAAATTATTAAAAGGAGAAATGATTGAAACTATGTAAGCCATGATTTCAAAACATGTTTAGTGTGGAAGTTGACCTCCTTTGCCCCCCAAAAAGCCCACTTCCTCATTCTCAGTCATATGTTGCTATATAGCAGCAGCTTTGCACTAATGTGCAGCTAGAAAAGCAATCCTATTTTGTTCAGGCTTAGATGACTTCTAACTGGTTTCATTCTTACACGACTGTTTGCAGTAATCGCAAATTGCAGCTTCTTGACAAACTGCCTGTTTTAATTCTTACCTTGCTAAAACAAAAGCAGGATGAGTATCGCCTGACCATTGTCTTGTTTCCCTTTTCAGACTCGAATTCTGGTGACCCACAGCATCAATTTTTTGCCACAGGTGGACCACATTGTTGTACTTGTAGATGGCAAAGTCTCTGAAATGGGGTCCTACCAAGAGCTTTTGCAACAAAACCAGGCTTTTGCAGAGTTCCTCCGCAATTTTGCACCTGATGAAGACATAGAAGAAGATGAACCTACAAGTAAGGATTCCCACCTCCTTGTCTCAAATTTATCCTCAGACTGTTAGTTACATCATGCCAGATTGAAATGCTAGGAGCAGTTTGGAACAGAGTTTAAATCTTTTTTTAAAGAAAAAGCATACAAAATGATGAGCACTTTCCCATATATGTATAAATGTAGCCCTTAAAAAAAAACTTGGGGGGACACACAAAGATGCCTACTATTCAAGAACATTGGGGTTCCCCCCCCCCATTTTTGTAGAGAATTGAAACTGAGTGGACCAGGGGATCCTTGCAACCTGGTCTAGGCAGTGCCATCACTCTGTTTACTACTAGGGGGAAAGGCTGTGATTAAGAATTAGGATTGGAAGTAGCTAGCTGTAGGTTGGTAGGTTGGTTTTTCCTTGAGATGAGGCTTTTCTTTACCTTCTTCCCCCACCTCCTCATTACACTTGTATAATTATAATGCCATGGAATCATCAGTCAATCCTATTTCTTTCCAGACATGCTTGCATGTATACTTGTTATAATTCACAAGGTTCACAATGCTGTATCATGGGACCCTATTAGCCCCACTCCTTGTGTCAAAGCTGGCATCCCAGGCCTGATTATTCAGATATTGCCTAGAAACCCAAACACACCGAAGCCCTCTTAAATTTCCCTAAAGAGTTGAACTTCCTTCTTGATTTTCAGTCTTTTTTGTGGCTTGGGAAGCTGTACACTCAGCAAAACCTTTCTAAAAGATTGGCTCAGCAAAAAGCCAAAATAAGCTAAAGATTTCCTATCCCATTGCATTAGTGGAAGATGAGGAGGTCCTGCTTGCTGAAGACACACTCAGCAACCACATAGATCTGGCAGACAATGAACCAGTGACAAACGAAGTCCGTAAGCAATTCCTAAGGTAAACCCTGAACCTCTCTTTAAAGGCGTTACTACAGAAATTGAGCGAACTTGCCTGTTCTGTCATTCAGCTGCATAATTACCATAATTCTTATTTTTCTCCTCCACCCCACCCATTTTAATATATAAAACACAGAGAGCTCAGTGTAATATCTTCAGATGGGGAATGCCCTGGTAAAATGTCAAGGAAAAGAAGAGTGTGTGATAAAAAGCCACCTGAGACAACTCAACCCAAGAAAAGTCCTAACAAACTCATTGAGGCAGAAACTGCTGAAACTGGCACGGTAAGAAAGGTTTGCTTAAACAATAAGGACACTTTACTTCTTCAAAGATGCTTCCTAATTTATTAAAAAGTACCTAGCATAGGAGGGACACGGGTGGCGCTGTGGGTTAAACCACAGAGACTAGGACTTGCCGATCAGAAGGTTGGCAGTTTGAATCACCGCGACTGGGTGAGTTCCCATTGCTTGGTCCCTGCTCCTGCCAACCTAGCAGTTCGAAAGCACGTCAAAGTGCAAGTAGATATGCTGGCCACATGACCAGCGGCCAATAAAGCGAGATGAGCGCCACAACCCCAGAGTCGGTCACGACTGGACCTAATGGTCAGGGGACCCTTTACCTTTACCTAGCATAGGAGCAGACAAATTCAGGAAACTCAGCTGCATAATTTGTGGCAGTGGAGAGCTTCTGGGTGGGTAGCCTTGCCCATCAGTCAGATGTGGTCCTTTGAAGGTTGGCTTGCAGTTGACGGAAACTGCTTTCCCAATAATATATTGAAACACCACTTAACACTTTCTCATTGCTCTTTGACACACAGCACATATATATTTTTTCCCATTACATGGGACTCTTCTTTATTTAGATTCATCAAGTATGAATTCTCCCTGGCTATATATTGCTTCTATTTCTGTAACAGTTCTATGTTTTCCATATGATACCCTACTCTGGACATCCACATTTTCTGCCTTCAGGAATGCCTGCATAATGTGATTTCATGTTGGTGATTCCTAGTTCACTCTGTGCACAAATTCTGACTCTGGCAAGTGGCTAGTTTTTCTGTGAAATTAAAGGCATTAGTTTTTATAAACTAAACGAACTCTATTTTGTCTCAAACTGTAGGTCAAACTGACTGTTTTCTGGCAATATATGAAGGCTGTTGGCCCTCTAGTTTCTTTATTTATATGTTTCCTGTACTGCTGTCAAAATGCTTCTGCAGTCGGGGCCAACGTGTGGCTCAGTGACTGGACCAATGAGCCGGTAATAAATGGCACTCAGCGCAACGTGAGCAAGCGAGTCGGAGTTTATGCTGCCCTGGGTCTCTTGCAAGGTTAAGTGTGTTATTTGCTACTGCTCCTATAGATTTAAATCCACCTTGCTAGCGGAGCTAGAGGAAATGGTGTGTGGTATGGAATTTACTGGTGGTTCTTAAACAGTGGTCTAGGACAAAGGTCTGATGGCATTCTCAGGTAAATGGATTGAAAGGAACAGAGGAAAACAGTGAAGAACCAGAAGTTTAATTGTATCATTCTGTCTGGCAAGCTTAAAGGTTTGCAACAACACAAAGTCGAATTCTACCCTAGGAACAAATATTCCTATATCATAAATAGGGATGTCTATTCCTATATTCCTATATCATAAATAGGGATGTCTTGCTCCTTAAGGGACGCGGGTGGCACTGTGGGATAAACCATAGAGCCTAAGACTTGCCGATCAGAAGGTTGGCAGTTTGAATCCCCGTGACGGGGTGAGCTCCTGTTGCTCGGTCCCTGCTCCTGCCAACCTAGCAGTTGGAAAGCACATCAAAGCAGTGGCGTAGCGTGGGGGGTGCAGGGGGGGGCCGGCCACACCGGGCGCAACATCTGGGGGGGGGGCGCGCTCACACTCGAGTGCTAAAATCCACGGGTTAGGGGGCGCAAATTACTTGCCTTGCCCCGAGTGCTGACAAGACAACCCACGCTACGCCACCGCATCAAAGTGCAAGTAGATAAATAGGTACCGCTCCGGCGGGAAGGTAAACGGCATTTCCGTGCGCTGCTCTGGTTCGCCAGAAGCGGCTTAGTCATGCTGGCCACATGGCCCGGAAGCTGTACGCCGGTTCCCTCGGCCAATAAAGCGAGATGAGTGCTGCAACCCCAGAGTCAGCCACGAGTGGACCTAATGGTCAGGGTCCCTTTACCTTTACCTTTACCTTTACCTTTACCTTACATTACTCCTGACACAATAAAAGTTGGTTTATTTGTTTAGTTGTAAAATGTATATCCTGCCCTTTATTAAACAAAAGTCATATCATATAAAATTACAATCAAACCAACCAGAAAATATTTGCAGAATTTAAAAATCACAGTCTAATCTCTCTATATGCAACCTCCTGCCATCCATCACTTGATGCACGAGGTGATACTGTCAATTCGTATAGCCTGCTAGAGGAGTTGCAAAGTTATGATTAGAACAGGGCCACATGCAATTGGTACACTCAAGTTTTCTGCTTATTTATCCCTTTTGCAAACAGGGGTTTTTGTGCTGATCTCCTCTTTTACTCTGGCAATGGGTGGCATCAGAGCGGCTCGTACTCTGCACTCCGGATTGCTGGAGAACAAACTCCACACCCCACAGTCTTTCTATGACACAACTCCAATTGGCCGAATCATCAACCGCTTCTCAAAAGACATCTACGTGATCGATGAAGTGATACCGCCAACTATCTTGATGTTCCTGGGAACCTTCTTTGTTTCTGTGTCAACGATGATTGTGATCATAGCAAGCACCCCACTCTTTGCTGTGGTTATAATACCTCTGGCAATCCTATACTTCTTTGCCCAGGTAATTGGGATAAGTACCTTTTTTGGCTTCATTGCTTGTTTTCTTTATTTTTTTAACAGAATGTTAGGTGGCTGGCATAATCTTTTTATTTTTTAGTATTTCAAGCCCCAAGTGTGCATCCCTTAATATGTGTGTGAATACTGGATGCAATTACTTTGAATGCAGAGTATTCAAAGTAGGATCCAAAGTAGGATTGTCTGAAGTCACTTACATTCTGCAAAATAGCTTTTGCAACATTTAGTTGTTGTTAGGCACAGCAAGAAGGGAGTAGGAGACATAGAACAGGAGAGGTGGCTAACTCACCAGCAGCCTTAGACAAGACTCTTGTGGCTCTCTGGACCTTTCATAGCAGCTCTTGCATATTTTCAAATCATCCTCTCCTTTTAATTGCTTTTGTTGTTGTTTATAAAGTAATCACTAATGAAAAGGCAGACAAGGGCATAATATTGCAATGCCACAGAGTAAAGAACATATATTCTAAGGGAAGTATTGTAAAGTATTGCACTTGGGCAAAAAAAATGAGAAGGCACAAATACAAGATGGGTGACACCTGGCTTGAGAGCAGTACATGTGAAAAGGATCTAGGAGTCTTGGTTGACCACAAACTTGACATGAGCCAACAGTGTGACGTGGCAGCTAAAAAAGCCAATGCAATTCTGGGCTGCATCAATAGGAGTATAGTATCTAGATCAAGGGAAGTAATAGTGCCACTGTATTCTGCTCTGGTCAGACCTCACCTGGAGTACTGTGTCCAGTTCTGGGCACCACAGTTCAAGTAGGACACTGACAAACTGGAACGTGTCCAGAGGAGGGCAACCAAAATGGTCAAAGGCCTGAAAACGATGCCTTATGAGGAACGGCTAAGGGAGCTGGGCATGTTTAGCCTGGAGAAGAGGAGGTTAAGGGGTGATATGATAGCCATGTTCAAATATATAAAAGGATGTCACATAGAGGAGGGAGAAAGGTTGTTTTCTGCTGCTCCAGAGAAGCGGACACGGAGCAATGGATCCAAACTACAAGAAAGAAGATTCCACCTAAACATTAGGAAGAACTTCCTGACAGTAAGAGCTGTTCGACAGTGGAATTTGCTGCCAGGGAGTGTGGTGGAGTCTCCTTCTTTGGAGGTCTTTAAGCAGAGGCTTGACAACCATATGTCAGGAGTGCTCTGATGGTGTTTCCTGCTTGGCAGGGGGTTGGACTCGATGGCCCTTGTGGTCTCTTCCAACTCTATGATTCTATGATTCTATGATTCTAAGTTTGCTTTCTCATTAATTGAGAAATAGAAGCTTACAAATCACAACTCATAAATCAGTTAAACTTTCTGTGAAAAATACTAACTTAATTGATGGAGGCATTCCCCCCCCCCCCCCGTTTTAGATAGCCATCCCTCTATCAAAGGGGTATTCCTTTTGGAGACAGCTTTTAACTAGACATAGTTTAGCAAACACTGACCCATAAAACCAGTGCAGGTGCACCCATGGACACTGCTTTGGCAACCCATGACTTCTTCTATGATAGGTGGAGAACTTATTTCTCTCTAGATGTTGTTGGAGTTGAAAACCCATCAGCGCCAGCCAGCATGGCTAGTGATCAATATGGGAGTTGCAGCCCGGCAACATCTGGAGGGCCGCACAGCCCCCCCCCCCCCGCTCTGTTATCTCCACGGTCGTTGCTCTATTGACCAAGCAGAAAACCATATATCTTTTATGATACCAGGCCTGCAAATCCCAAGGCTTCATACTCCCCTCCAGCTCAGAGGCTTCAAAAGTGGTGGACAAAATATTAATACAAAAGAAAAATACAAGAAGAGCACAATAAATACAAGCAACCAATCAAAATCAGTATAAAATAGCAAAATAACCAAGTGCCCACCTACCACACTGGGTATACTATACATTTATGAGTTGAATTCATACTCTTAAAAAAGCTCAGCTGTTTAGAACGTGGTGCTGATAATGCCAGGGTTGCAGGTTCGGTCCCTGTATGGGACAGCTGCATATTCTTGCATTGCAGGGAATTGGACTAGTTTATCCTCAGGGTCCCTTTCAACTCTACAGTTCTGTGATTCTACAGCATTCCGCCTCTCACATAGTAGCCAGCTTAGTTCACATCCCCTCTTCCCTGGGTAGCTCCAGTCTCTCATCTAGGAGCAAGTCAATCCACAAACAATCACCCCAGAGGCAGTGCCCTCACCTTTCACCATACCCTGAAGGAGCAATTCAAAACATGTGGAAACTTTCCCCTAGAAAGAGTTACAGTTGTGGAAAAGTCCTTAACCTTGGGTAGAAGATTTGGCCAGCTAGACCCACCCATGAAGAACCCATCTAGAACTCACCATACCACATTCCCTTTTGTATCTAACAATAGCCTTTGGGCCAAAGTCCCCGCAGGCCTTAAATCTCAGCCTCTGAAGTTCCCAATTCAAGCCCCAGAATCTGATAGCATGTTGCTGGGAACAAACACAAAACACACACTACTTCTTCTTTGACGATCACTCGTAGCCAAGTAAGACTGCCTTCCATGAACATGGTCTTAACGGTGCGTCTGTAAGTGACGCACACACAGGCCACGAGGCTGTCAGTCGAATGTGAATATTTCTATTTGATTAACAGCTTCCCTTTTAAGCAATCACTTAACAATTGAAATGGTAGAGCATTCTCTTTGAGTAAATTTTAATGACAGTTTCTCTAAGCATAAATTACACAGACCAGCTACTCTAAAGCCCATTTTAAAAGCACTACCCGAATGAAGAAATGCATTGTGTGGGAGCTCAGATTAAAAATAACGATGATGACAATGATGATGAAAATCTGCATTTACCAAATGAATAGATCAATTGCACCAGTTAATCAAGAAATGTTTTCAAGCCCTTAGGAAACATTAGGAAGCAGCAATAGGAACATCATAACTGCACAGCAGGACCTCCCTTTGCTCTTTTTGTTGGCAAGCTTGCCTTTCTGCCAGTGTAGGATAGTTCTTTAAGTCATCCTGTAACAGTGGCAATCGTCTGCATTATAATGTTAAAAACTCAGCTCAGTGGGCTGGCTGGTAGACACGGCAGTAAATTGATGATTGGGTGCGTTCTCAGAGTTGCAGCATAGAAGCCTGCTTATGCAATCATTGAGGGATAGTGCTTTTCTTCAGACTGTTCCACTTTAGGAGCCAGTGTGGTGTAGTGGTTAAGAGCGGTAGTCTCGTAATCTGGTGAACCGGGTTCGCTTCCCCGCTCCTCCACATGCAACTGCTGGGTGACCTTGGGCTAGTCATACTTTGAAGTCTCTCAGCCTCACTCACCTCACAGAGTGTTTGTTGTGGGGGAGGAAGGGAAAAGAGAATGTTAGCCGCTTTGAGACTCCTTCAGGTAGTGATAAAGCGGGATATCACATCCAAACTCTTCTTCTCCTTCTTCAGGCTGCAAGTGCAGGGGCTATATATTTCAATGCTTCTCCATAAAATAAATTCCATGTGCACAAAGATGCCCACATGTCTCAGAAGAAGACTGTCCTCCCAGACATTGTGTTTTTCTGTGCACAGGGAGTTTTTGTGGTGGAGCGAGCATTATTTGTGTACTAAAGTGAGATAGTCTAGGAAAAGCTTTACCATGTGATTCTGGTGTCTAATCAATTGTCCCTAGGTTTAGAGTTGGAAATAGGAAATGCTTCCCCGTCCCGGGTGTTTCTCACTCTTACGTCGCACAGACATGGCACAGTGTATTAATAGTTCAGCTCAAATATCTAAAAGGTTTCACGTTTCTTTGTTTCGTTTTGTTGTTTTACCTGTCTGCCTTTGAACCGAACAACGGCAGCGGTTCTACGTAGCTACCTCTCGCCAACTGAAGCGGCTGGAATCCGTCAGCAGGTCTCCCATATATTCTCATTTTTCGGAAACCGTCACAGGAGCAAGCGTCATCCGAGCTTATAGAAGAGGAAAGGCTTTTGTTCGTCTCAGTGACATGAAGGTGAATGACAACCAGAGAAGTCACTATCCCTCAATTGTGTCCAACAGGTAAAATCAATCTTTGAATTAAAAAAAAAAAAGTTAATGGAAATAATTTGAGTGATTGAACTAGAGAAACAGCTTCCTCGTTCCGTCTGTTTCTGATGTTCGGGCTGTGCATGCCCTTAATTATGTAGCCAAAACAGCACCACCCAACACAAGAGGGAGGCATCAGCAGAAGTTTGCAGAAGTACATAAAATCTTTTTAAAATCCTAAAGGAGCTGGAACTCCCAAAATAGCCAGTGAGGGCTGAGAGTATTGAGTAACCACAGAATGCTGGCTGACTGATGCTGGGGAAGAAATGGAGGGGTAATGGAATGGAGTATCTTGAAGGGTAGCACTCCATATTGCAGCATTTTGTTGCAGATCCCACTTGTTTTCACATGTTGCATTTTGAGTTCTGTACTATTTACTTCTTTATGTTTTCTCGTTTAATAGGTGGCTGGGAATTAGAGTTGAATTTGTAGGGAACTGCGTCGTATTTTTTGCAGCCCTTTTTGCTGTGTTAAGTAAAAACAGTCTGAGCCCTGGCCTGGTTGGACTTTCCGTGTCCTATGCATTGCAGGTGTGTAGAATGTGTCTCAGGAGAGAGCTCATCTGAACAGCGGAACTGAAATATCATTATAGTGTGACCTTTTCATTAGGCATTTGGGCTTTAATTGCACAATTCTGCAGCATTTCTACCCTTCAGGCTAATAAGGGCTCAGGGTGTGGGTGTGTGGAAGACTGGTTGAAAGAAAATTGAGAGAAATGGGAAGAAAATAAAGAACAAACCGAGGAATAAAAGGAAATGCTTTTGGAAGATTGCATCTAAGATTGTCAGCTTACATGTCTGGGGGATTTTTCCCTCCATATTAAAAAGCCCAATCACAGAGTTAATCAGATTCTGTGCAGAGCGAAAACAATGCATTAGCTGTGCGTTTGAATGCAAGCAGTATTTATTCTGGTTGAGGAAAAGAATATCACTCTCCCTCCTGGCAGGGTGCCAGCTGGTTGGGAATGGCTCCCACAGTTGGTTCTGCTCATGTGCACATATATGCCCCTGTATTTATTTTAACAGTTTCTATGCTGCCTGCCAATGCAAAATGTAAAGGGCTGTTTATAATAGCTAATAATAACACAATAAAACTACAATGAACTACAGATTGATAAAAAAAAAACACACCACACCATTCACAGCAAGGCAATCAAAATATCTTCAGAGGTTAGGAAAACCAGAGGTTTTTGCCTGGTGCCTAAAAGATAGTGGCACAGGTACCATTGGGTGAGCCTCTGGGGAGGGTGGGGAGAGCTCCACAAGCAAGGCGCCACAGCCAAAAAGGTCCTGCCCCATGTAGCTCCAGAGAGGAGGGGGCCAAAGGAAATTGCAGCTCTCGCAGCGTGAAGGGAGCCTTCAGGAAGCTTACGATGGCAGTGTTGTGCTTCTTGTTCTTGATAACTGAGGAGAAACTACACCAAGGTTTTAACACTATATTCTGCTAAATTTCCCACAGCAGGGCATTTAGTTAAGCATAGCATATTATGGTAGCCATCAGTTTAGGCAATCTACAAGGGATTTAAGCACCCTTTCAATAAGGTGTGAGGTCATCAGCTTTACTAAGGGTGGGTTAGATTCGATATGGCTATAAAATCCTGAAGCAAAACAGTGGGCTTCACTTTAAAAAGTGCACTGCCATACCTCAATCAGAAGAAACAATCTTTGATGGAGAAATTGCTTTGTGAAATTCTTGGTCCTATACTATTACATCTGGTCAGATCAGAAGATTTGAGCTTTGCATCTCAGCTTTAAAAGCTATGAATGCTGATTTTGTAGAAAGGAAAGGCATATTGATTGAATCTCTATCCCAAGTAACAGTGGGATCACACATTAAAATTGGCAAAGCAATGAATTCTACCACGGTGCATTTATATTCAGTGGAATAGAAGAAATAGCGATACCTTTGATAGTTTATAATAAGCCCTCAAAGGTTTCAGGGAAATTGAAGGTACTGTGTGCACGCTCATTTGCTTGTAGGGATTTGCAATAAAATTAGATGCTGGAATATTAGGCTTACCCAAATGGTGATGTTGTAAGCATGGGAAGCTACAGTATTTCCTTTTTCTTATTGCTGTATCCTTCTATGAAGGAGGGGAAGCAACTGAAGAAAGGTGATGTCTTCTGAGACATTAAAGAGAGCAATACAGGCGATGGGCCATTTTGCGCGGGGGGTGGGGGTTTTATTCCCAGCCCCCATGCATATCGTTGGAGCGCACATAAGCGCACCCTGCCCTGTTCCACCCCCATTATGTTCCTGTCCTGCCTTCTTCCGGGTCCAAAAGGGGAGCAATACAAATGGGGATGATATCAGAACTTCCTAATTTCTCAAAGCTTCACCTGTTATGGTTTGTGTTCAGCTCAGCGTAATGTCAGCTGAATTTCGACCCTGCATTTCAAGGATGGTCTGTAGCAGGAGAGGCCAGTCTGGTGCCTTCCAGTTGCTGTTGGACTGCAACTCCCATCATCCCTGACTCTTGGCCGCACCGGCTGGGGCTGAGAGGGAGTCCAGTTGAACACCAATGGGCACCACCTTTGCTCTGTGGGTAAATACACACACACACACACACACACACACACACACACACTATATGATGGTTAATATATTTATTTATTTGTGACAGTGCTTTTCTCAAACAGGTAACATGTTGTTGTTTCTTAGGTGACAATGTCTCTGAACTGGATGGTAAGGATGACATCAGACTTAGAAAGCAACATTGTGGCCGTAGAAAGAGTTAAGGAATATTCTGAAACTGAAACTGAGGTCAGTTCCTAACAGTCTGAATGAGAAGGCTTCCTTCTGGAAACAGTGTGTGCGCGCTGTAATTCTTTCGCTACTGTGTGCTGTAATTCTTTCTCTCCTCTAGGCTCCCTGGATAATTGAAGACAAAAGACCACCAGAAGACTGGCCCACTCGGGGCGAAGTGGAGTTTGCAAACTATTCTGTAAGGTACAGGAAAGGCTTGGACTTGGTGCTGAAAGACCTCAGCCTCAATGTGAAAGGTGGAGAAAAGGTACAATCACAGTTGCCATGGATAGAATCAAATTATATGTGCAGTAACCTGAATTTGCATACTTTGTTTTCAGTTCATTCGGTGCATCTATTGGAACATACTGTAGCAAACTGCCTGGTACCGGGTCAGTTCATCAAGCTCAGTACAGTGGTACCTTGGGTTACATACGCTTCAGGTTATATATGCTTCAGGTTACAGACTCCGCTAACCCAGAAATAGTGCTAAAGTGGTGCTTCAGGTTAAGAACAGCTTCAGGTTAAGAACAGACCTCCAGAACGAATTAAGTACTTAACCCGAGGTACCACTGTATTGCTAACACAGATTGGTAGGGGGGCTCTAGCATTTTGGTCAGGAGCCTTTCCCAGCCTTACCCAGAAATGCCAGAGACTGAATTTGGGACCTTCTGCATGCAAAGCAGTGTGTGTTCTGCCATTTAGCTTTCACCCCATCTCCACTGTAAGAAGGCACTGAGTGTTGCTTGGAGAAGCAGCAACTTCTGAATTGCATCTTCCTCAACTGACAGCTTCCTGTCCGCAGAATCCCATCTGCTCTGTGATTTCCGCTTCTGTTTCCACCTCCAGTAACAACTTTCATTGTCAATGTTCACACATGCCATCAGCATCCTTTCAGCTATTACAAATTAACTGGCCCTACACCAACCAGTGGGGAAATGAAACAGAGCCACCTAGATACAAGGTGGAGCCTCTATATACTTGCAGGGCACCCCAGGTATGCAGAAGAACATCACTTTGCAAGAAAGAAAGAAAGAAAGAAAGAAAGAAAGAAAGAAAGAAAGAAAGAAAAAGATTGCAAATGAACAAAGCCCCTCCTATAGGAACAGAAAATGTGGCACTTTAAATTAGAAACCATAGATAAGGTGAACTCTAGTGCATGGAAGCTTATGCCAAAATAAATGCATTGGTCTTTAAGGAGACAAAAGACTGTTGTTTTCACATTCAGCAAGCAGTAATTGTTTGAAATGGAAAAGAAATTGTAGAAGCTTAAGCAATGAAAAATGTGTGTGCAGAAATAGAAAATGTATAAGGCTACATTAAAGAAAAAGACCGGCTAGGTCAGTAACAGAAAGAAAGAAGAACATCAAAACTTTTAAAGTATTGGTTGCAAGGGAAACTATAGGTATAGAAAGGAGAATTTCCTGGATGCCAAGATCCAGGTTTGGGGCAAGTGCTTTTTGGTGAAAGAACCCCAGCAGAGATGTAAATCACAAAATATGCAGCAAGGTAAAGCATGGAATATAGGCTGTTAGACCTTGTGAGTTCTAAAACTTCCAAACCTGTTCCCATAGCATAGGAAAAGACTTACATTTGGTAAGTTAAGAATGGTTTACTTACAATAGCTCCAAATGTCAGATTCATGAGCATTCCCATACAGCATTCAGAAAAAGTTGCACAGGCAGTAAAAGTTGTCAAAGTTCCTAAGTTATTGGGATGGGAACTCAAGCGTGTCTTATAAGAGCCATGAGGTCTGAGCTGGTTGCTGCACATTGAGCTTCTCAGGTAGACTGAAGGGGGGGGGGAATCTTGATTACCTAGGGTCTCGCAAGGTGAGATAAGCCTGGCAGGACAGATGTAAACCCCTTCCAGCATTATTTGGGCTTAAGCATGTTGGTTATATGAAGCTGCTTATTCCACAAAAAGAATATTCATGTATCCTACCTCCCAAAAAAGGTGGCAACCAAAAGTAGCGGGAAGTGGGAATTCAGGCACTAATATTAGGCCAATACAAAATTAGCTTATTTGAAAATATATTGCTAAACAAAAAATGCCTATAACATCGTAGAAGGTTTGCACAGTGTAGTAAAGAGAAAGAAGAAAGTGTGTGGCTAGAGGACAGAGAGTGAAGAAAGAGCTGTGAGTAGAGGGGGACCCTTTCCCTTTTGTGGCATATACACTCTTCTGGCTGCCTTGCCCAGAGTGCTTCAGTCTTAAGCAAAGGCCCTTTCTCAGGGAGGAGGAAGAGAGCCCTGCAGAGTCCTTTAATAGGCAGAGGCCTAACTATCCCTTTAATAAATCTCTTGACTGATAAGCATACTTCTTCCCTAGAACAGATTCAGTTGTATAACAAGAATCTTTTGATTCTCTTCTATTCAAAAAAAATTCACCTACATCAGGATAGTGGTAATTTTTGTTTTGTTTTTTAAGTGAAACACTGTATCATAAGATAACTAAACACGTCCTGGTATTTAACTGAACCTAATTTTTCAAACACGTGAATTAGGTTGGGATTGTTGGAAGAACTGGGGCTGGCAAATCGTCTATGACCCTCTGCCTCTTCAGGATCCTAGAAGCTGTGGAGGGGGAAATCAAAATCGATGGGTTAAGAATCTCAGAGCTTGGCCTTCATGACTTACGATCCAAGCTGACTATAATTCCTCAGGTAAGCTGACCTATGCCCTGAGAGATACACTAAATATAACTTAATATGGCAAACAAACCGGGCTTGTTATGTTTTTGTAAAGTGAGACGGTTGCAAGGTAGGTCAGGCTGTGTATCTAGGGCTAGTAGTTACACGATTTGCTTTATAATAGTTGCTTTTGTGCCCCGGGACAGGAATAAACAGGGAACCCAAGAGGAAGGATTTGAATGAGCTGTAAAAATGGAACAACATTATAGCAATTCCTGCTAAGGTCTATTTTCAACTCATGCAAGCTTTCTCTTGCTCTCTATGTTTCATAGGCATACACATCCCTCAGAAAATGAAGAGATTTCATATTTTCACAGCTGTAGCCTAGTACTCTTAGTTTTATTTTCTTAGTCTGATATTTCCTGTTCTGAAAGCTTATAGTGGGCAGCACAGCTATATCTTTCTGTATACTCCATCCCTGGTAAGTAGGTGGTTTTTTTGTATCACTGGCCCAGCTTTAGCACCAATGGTGCTATATTCTCATCTTCATGTATTGTGAGGGATTGGGTGTAGCCTTGCTTCTGGAAAATAGACTTTCATTCTTTGTTTTTGTCTTTTCCCACACTCCTTTAAATGGTTGGGGAGAACTTAAAAGAAAGTTGTAACTCCGTGACAGAATTTAATCCCATCAAAATGGCACTGGTCATGACACTCATCAGAATAACATCATGGAGGCCATAAAGCAGCTTCTTACGGCACACTAGTGTACGGGGTGGGGGATTGGGTCCCCACCCATCCCGTGGGCCATCAGTCACCTGATGTGACAGTGACATCAGGGGACCCATTTGTCCTTTGCACATGCACTTTGATTTCAAACTAAGCAGGCAAAGACACAGTGCCATGCAAGCACTGACTTCAGCTGTTGGTCACTGCTTGCAAAGCCATGTGCCTTGGTAAACATGGTCAATCAGTTAATCAGCAGTGCCTGCAAGCCACTTTTGGGCAGGAAGCAAGTCTTTACCTGCTCCACACCCAACATCATATATGGCATCAGGTGTAGAGCAGGGGCATGGCTTGGCTGAAATAGCCTTGTAGGCCAAATGGGGAGGTCTTGCAGGCCTAATTAGGCCCATGGTCCAGAGGCTTCCAACCACTGCACTAGTGCAAGCAACCACAAGTAATTCACTTCTTAGGATGGAAGCATATGTTATAAGGAGCATGCCTGTCACTGAAAATTGTAGCTTCATGTTGAATTCCATCCTCCCCTTCTTAATATGTAATACAACTTACTTTGTGTCCTGGTGTTACTATGGCCACATTTGCACATCATGCTAAACCATAGTTTACAATGAAAGAGCCAAATGTGCTGCAGTGAGCCCTTGGCTTTCACACTTTTCTCTGCCCACTGTGCAACTGGGAAGAGAAGTCTGGAAGCTTCCGCTTCCGCTTCTGCTTAACTCTGGTTTATTGTTTTTTTCCAAATGGACAAACCAGTTAATCTTAACAATGGTTTGTTTGTTTTTTAAATTGGTTTGACATGCTTTAAACAAACTACAGTCGTACCTTGGATCCCGAACGCCTTGCAACTCGAATGTTTTGTCTCCCGAACGCCGCAAATCCAGAAGGCCATGGGGTTTAAGTCTTGCTTATATGACTACCTTGTGTCCATTCAACTGTAAAGCACTCACTGGGAGTCAAAACTGGTGCTGGGTATATCATCACTTCCTAGTGTAATGCAGACCACAGAAATGATTTCTTGTTCTAACTCACATTAGTGAGTTGGAATCTATTCAAGCAATACTTCATTATTTATTTCTGTGTTCCTCAATAGCTCAAGGTTGTTGTTTTTATCTGTATGCTGATGGAATTGTATTCGTTTTGTTAAGGACCCTGTTCTTTTTTCTGGAACACTCCGACTGAATTTGGATCCATTTGATAGATATTCCGAGGAGGAAATATGGAAAGCTCTTGAACTGTCCAATTTGAAGAGGTTTGTCAGCAGCCAGCCAGCCATGCTGGATTACGAATGCTCGGAAGGAGGAGAAAACCTTAGGTAACTGAAATCGGTTCAAGAAATTGTTACCATTAGAAACCTACAGCAAAATGGTTTGCTACCTTTCTACCTCTTTCTAGCGGCCTTTCATTTCATTATGAAGACCTTCCTTTAGGAAGGTTTTTTTGTTAAATCTTTAAAGCTTTTTAGAAGTTGTTTTAAGTGTTTGGCTGGTTGCTCTTTCTTTATGTTATTTTAATCTCTGCTGCTTTTATGCTTTTGCAGTTTTTGTTAGTATTTGATGGTTTTAATTTATTGTTGCTAACCTCTTTGAGGAAAGGCGGAATAAAGAAATGAAATAAAAGTTTAATCTTCTTTTTCCAGTGTTGGCCAAAGGCAGCTTGTTTGCTTAGCAAGAGCTCTTCTCCGCAAAACCAAAATCCTGGTTCTGGATGAAGCTACCGCAGCAATCGACCTTGAGACGGATGATCTCATTCAGATGACAATAAGAACACAGTTTGAAGACTGTACTGTGCTGACAATAGCACATAGGCTGAATACAATTATGGATTACACCAGGTAACTATGAAGGACAAGAGCATAGCTCTGAGCTTATGGCACGCTAAAAATAATCTGTATGACTATTCCTGACTTGCATTTGCCCATCTTAAACCAAGGAAACAGGTGAACCTAATATAGAGCCTGCAGTTAATCCCACTATCAGATTTTTTAAAAAAGTGTTAAAAGCCTTTCAGCCTTTTTTGGGAACATATCTTTAAAGACCAATTGGCTCTTTTATACTGGATCAGTTAATTCATATCCACTGCCAGCCTTACAGATGATTTGTGGCATCCAGTAGGAACATGAAACCCAGGATGTATTGGTACCCACTTCTTTTCCTAGGGCAGATATGATATGGTTGTCCCAAGCCCTAGGTCATTGATGTAATTGGGAGTCCAACAGCATCTGGAGGGCCACAGGTTCCCTGCCCTGCCAGGTGGTCACTGGCTAGTGCTTCACTTCCTGGTCTATTCTGAGACCCTCCCTAAGGAGGGACTTGGTTTCTTGTGATGCTCCAAGCAACGTCCATAGAAATGTCATGAGGAACGCTGTTCACATCCTTAGAATAGCTCTGGTGGCTGGAAAGAGTTCTACCACAGCTTCACATGGCAGGCTGGAGTGCTTACTCATCAGTAATGTTGCTACTGTGCTTTGTAAAGAGCAGTGTGAACATTCTGGGAGGAAATGCAGGGAGAGGTCGCTTGCTTTTTCCCTTTCCCACCAGAAAGGACCTTGAATGAGTCAAAGGTGGGATTGCTTATTTAGCCACTTACCCTATGGTAACAGATCAAATTAACTCATTATCAAATGGGTTTCAATGGCAACAAAGAGGGACAAAATAGGTATAAGAAGGGAGGGTGGCATAGGAAGAGCCAACAGACTCAGAAAAATGGGGATGCCCATATAGGAAACCCACTCCAAACTATAGCAAGTGTGTTTTTCTCTGCAGCCAAGCCATTAATCAGCTAATTTCTCTAGGCACAGAAAAGTCTTCTGAGGACACTACAGAGGAAACTAAAATTCTGTGGCTGCAGCACTGCAATTCATATGAAAGTTAACCTCTAACACATCTAATGGGCAGAGTGCTTTGCATCTTTTCTGCTCACCCTCATAACAGTGCCATGACGCAATTAGGGGTATTTCAGTTTCCCAGGTGAGGAGCTAAAGCCAAGTGTTACTTGGCAAGTCTTATGGCAGTGCCGGGACATGAACTTAGGTTTCTCACATTCAAATTCAGTACAGTGGTACCTCGGGTTACATATGCTTCAGGTTACAGACTCCGCTAACCCAGAAATAGTACCTCGGGTTAAGAACTTTGCTTCAGGATGAGAACAGAAATTGTGCTCCAGCGGCACGGCAGCAGCGGGAGGCCCCATTAGCTAAAGTGGTGCTTCAGGTTAAGAACAGTTTCAGATTAAGAACGGACCTCCGAAACGAATTAAGTTCTTAACCCGAGGTACCATTGTACTTGTCCCCTGTGAGCTGGCACATTTTTGCTCTTTCTCTAGGGTTATTTTTTTTAAGTATGTAGAATAAAATCTTGAGGACCTAAAAAGGCTGGATTCTCCAGTTAGTAGACCTTGTGACAACAGACATTCCTGCCCCCTCCCCCTGCCGGTTGGGATAAGCAATTCTTGTTTAGAAACACAGTTTACTTTCCCTCTTGTTTTGCAGAGTCCTTGTTCTAGAAAAAGGAGCAATTGCTGAATTTGACACGCCTTCGCGTCTTATAGCATCCAAAGGAATTTTCTATGGCATGGCAAAAGATGCTGGATTGGCATAACAGGACAGCTGCTATATCTCACCAAAGGACTAGTTACTGGGGTTCTTTTTTAAAAAACCCACAAGCAATACCTGAATGTACTGTACTTTTCAAAACAGCATTTTAATTTTATTTTTTTGCGATACGGAATCAAAATGTTTCATATGCCTATGAGAACCAGAAAATTTAATTTTTCTATTTTTAAAAATATTTTCTACATACAGAAGTATTTTTTTTTACCTGACATCTTACTGAAAATGGATGTGAGTGTGTGTATGCATAGCACTTAACTGTATTTTTTTTATCTTATATAGTCAATTACAGCTAGCGATACAAAAGCACTGGCATTATCCGTCCATTCATTTTTTGTTAAGTAAAATGAATCCATGAAATGCTGAGTTGTGGTGCTGTTTCCAGGATTAAGTTGATTTAAAAAAACAAAACAAAAGCTGTAGCCCACTTTTCAACAATGTACCCCCAGCAGCAGTGTTTTAAAAATCAGGCAAAATGTGTGGGACTCCCCACCCCAGAATAAATACAGTGTACATGAGGAAATATATATTTTAAAAGCCCACATCTCCCATTCAGCCTGGGGCGCTGCACACACAGAAGGGGACTTGCACAGCTTTAGCTGGGTGGTTCTTCTCTTCAAACAGTTGAGGCCCAGTGCGTGGAGCCCTTATTTAAAAGCTAAAATCTTGATACCACTTCTGAAGCAGGATTGGTTACTGGTTGGCTGGGCCAAAAGTTGTACTTCCAGACACAGGACTACCAGAAATTTCTGGACTTATTCCGAGGGCTGCTCCTCATAAAGTACAGTAGTACATGTAGTAGTAAGATCAAAAAGTTACCAGGGCATGTAGAATAGGAGCAAAGTTCCTTTTAAAAAATCTCTAAGGAATGGGTAGGCAACCTAAGCCCCGGAGGCCGGATCCGGCCCAATCGCCTTCTAAATCCAGCCCGTGGACGGTCCGGGAATCAGCATGTTTTTAAATGAGTAGAATGTGTGCTTTTATTTAAAATGCATCTCTGGGTTATTTGTGGGGCATAGGAATTCTTTCATTATTCTTTTTTTCAAAATATAGTCTGGCCCCCCACAAGGTCTGAGGGACAGTGGACCGGCCCCCTGCTGAAAAAGTTTGCTGACACCTGCCAAGGCAAAATATTCATTCAGAATTTTAACTTTCAGCCAGGACAGCAAATGTCTCATTACATAGAAAGCTTACAACAAGCACCCTTTTGAGAGAGAAAAATATTTAAAAACAAACCAAAATCTCCCATTTTAAAAGCAACAAACTTTTTATTAATTGTAAAAAGGGCACAACATATAGGAAATAAGAAACTCAAACATAAATCATTTGGTTAATTCTTCATTATAACCATGTTTTTTTTTCAGTGTAGTAATGAAGTTCTGAATCCTTTATTTCCACTGATATCATAAAGTACCACACTGTTGTTATTAGGTTAATAATTTGGTTAGTAACACTAATAAAATCCTCTGTTATAAATTGCATAAGTTATACAATATAAAAATAATCCTCTGAGTGCATAGAAAGATGCCAGCAACTGTGCAGTATAATCAACAGACTTGTAATATGTTAATTAATACTATGGCTAATCAATAGAGCATGTCAATTTGTTTACCCACATACTAGATACCTGTGGATGCCTGTGGATATCTGCTTCTCAATGAAAAGCCCAAAGGCATTTCAGCCATGATCCAGCAGTCTGGGGCACACCCACTGACTTCATATTGGATTGTGGCCTTCCTCTTCTAAGAACCTTGTTCCCAAGTCTTCTAGCACAAAAGCACATTTCCCTTCAAGCACTTCCAGAGAAGCTGACGGTGTGTGTTGATTTTAGGCACACACTTAAAATCAAAAGGGGATGGGGAGAATTGCCACCTTAAATATGTTGTGCAAATCCTGACCTGGCACCTGTCAGAAAATTTGGATACACTGGAACACGGTCCGTGGCAATATTTTCATTTATCTCAATGCATTAATTTTATGGCAAGACTGAATAAACCCTAACAAGGAGTCACAGCAATATAATATGCTGCCAATGGCTTTGTCTCCAGCACTTGGGTCAGGGGGCACATTTGGAATTTTTAGAAAGTGACATGGGTACTAGTTGCAACATGATCGCCGTGGGAAAGTGGCATAACACCAAGTGGCTGTTGCATCAAAAAGGGCATAACAAGTTTGGACCACAAAATGTTGCAGGGATGCCCCCTGCTCCATCTCCCCCATCAGTGGCTCCTATATCAGCCACCTCACTCACAGAATGAGCCACTCCTCTGTTCAGAATTGAAGAAAGGCGGGGTGTCCAATCTTGGAACTGGGTGAAATGTGGACATGCTTAAGGGGGCGATGTTTAAATATAGGACAGGCTGATTCGGTGCAAATAGGGAACTGAGCAGGAAGAGCAAACAGTCTTTCATGCATTGTGGATTTTTGAGGGAATATTTACTGAGAACTTTTGGGGACCCATAGGAGGTGTTGGCAGGTACAGTGGGGCCCACTAGTGCCACACTGGCAGCCTCTGACTTCGGCTGTACCACAAAAACAATGTGTTGCCACAGTGCTCCATTGAAAGTAAGCATTTTCTAAACCCTGTGCTAATGTTTTAAGGCCTACAGGAATTCAAAATTCACATTCCAGGTGGCATTGGCCATGTCAGTGCATTAAGCCTTGGATCAGGCAGAGGGATATCTTAGCTCTCTACAATTAGGCAATGAAATGACTCATGACAACCAAAAGCTTGCTTGCACTGTAAAGTTTCAGTGAGTCTTACGCTGGAATTGTTACCTTGAGGTGGCACTGTGCGAGCATGTTAGACCCATGCTAACTATCCTGGATTGTCACAAAAGACTTTGTTTCCTCTGTGGAGCTGTGACCCGCGGTCACCAGGGATAATGAGCCTAAAGAGCTGAGTCTGGGTTTCTTGGCTCCTGCAAGGAGCCAATGACTCAATTTGGCCACTGTTTAAAGGGATAAAGAAATTCAGAGGGCTGTCCTCAGCATAAGGTAGCTTAAATTTGTTAGCTATTAAACAGTTAAATGTTTTAGTCAAATAACTGCTTTACCTGTCGGTTATAAATGCACTGAAATATTATGGTATCTACCCAGGCATTTAGTGACAGTAATAGTTTTGCTTGGAATAATTCAGGCAAACCATGTATTGTTTAGGCCTGGGTCTCTTGGAAAACTCATACCACCACCTTCCCCCAGGCCCCACCTTTCTCTGGACCCTTGCTTGCTATAATGTCTCCTTGAACTGTGCTTCTGCATTCATTGCACCACCCACTTTTGCCCCTGGCTCCTCCCACCATTGGTATGTGGCTCCCACAGAAGGGATTATGGCCCTCAGGCTGAAAAAAGCTGCTTTCCATTTGTGCAACCACTAGGTACAACCCATTAATCACAGTGAAGCTTTTAAGCCCTAGCTTAACTAGGACATGTGACCAGTGTGGGCCACCGAAGCTGAATGACATTAAATTCCTTTGTCAAAAGATCTGAGTTAAGGAGATGAAAAATATAGCGTTTGAATAGTAAGCTACGGATGAGTTATCTTGGGAACTACAGGACTGAGGAAGGGGCTCAATATGCTGCTAGATGCTCCGCTCACAGAGTTTGCCCCTGGCAAATAATGCAAAGCAATAATGACCCCCTTAGTGGCATCAATCTTTGCATCCCGTTGCGATAAATGGGTCTCTTGGAAAAGCAAAATAAGATCCAGGTTTCTGGAATTTGCAAGTGCACAGAACAGCACTTCTTTCCAGCCTAGCCCAGTTTAAAGCATCTAAAAAGAGCATGAAGGTCCATCACACCACCGGTCATCTGAAGGTAGCACATCTACTCAAAGTTACACGAAGTAGGTGTGGCTTAGCCCTCCTCAACCCTAGTCTATTTCCTACCTAACATCTGAAGCTGTTGTCTTTCCTAGCTTCACCTCCATGACTTTCCATGTGTCTTTACTAACCTTCATCTTCCGTTGTTTCCTGTGATTCCCCCTCAAAAAACCCCGTTTTCTGTCCTTTGATTCTTCTGTCTCCAGTTTTCCTCCTGCTTCCCTCTCTTTTCCAGTAGATTTTTCTTTTCTTTTCCCTTTTTTCCCTCCAGTCGCTGCCATCTATTCACCTGGCTACTGCCAATTTCCCTTTCCAGCCACAGCTTCCTGGCCTCAGCCACTTGTTCATTCTCCCTGGCCACAGCCACTTGCTCTCCCTGGCCACAGCTGCTTGCTCTCCCAACCCTGCTGTTTATTTTTTGTGGTCCCCAGCTGCCAATGTCTGCCTTCCCCAGCCGCTGCAGTCTGTCTCTCCTCCATGCCAAAGTTCACTTCATCAGGTCACTTTAGTTTGTGCCATTTCTTTAGTCCTGGCCACCTAAACATCCTCCTCCATTGGTTCTCATCCTTTTCTACAGTGTCTTCTGAAGGGACCTGCTCTGTCAGATCCTTTTGTAGTCCATCGCTTTCCATCAACCCCCCCAAAAGGTTTTGCATCTTTGACATGGAGAAGGGAATATTGGTTCCTTACCTGAAGGACACTTCTCTGAGATGAAGTTCCATCACAGCCTCCTCTCCCTATCTATATGTTTCTGAGTAGCTACCGAATCCATGGAAGGGTTTCTCTGTGTTTGCTTCAATCATCTTGCTTGCATTCTTCCAATATATTCCTCCAGTATTTTCAGTTAAGACCATTTATATGCACTCTCCTGTTATTTTCTTGAAGAAGCAGTTTGTAGCAGCTTGTCCTCTGTGCATTTTTCTTCTCTGAGCTTGAGGACTATGGCACACCTACTACTTGCAATTCTGTGCATTTCTGGCGTTTGGATAACCAGTGGCGCTACAATCCACGTGATGGACCTTCATTCCAGAAAAATGACCTTTCCCTCTAGAGCACATCTGGTGGAGGGGAGTGGGGAAAGTCCCATTCAGCAAGTGGAAGTTGCTGAATACCACCCATTCCAAGTGCATTACTGTGGGCATAAATTTCCCTTCAAAGCTGCTCGTAATTCTGTAATATCGGTCAGGGCTGTTGCTTAGAAAGCCATGGCTCGAAGCTAGGGTTACAGAGCACATGAGCGTTTGCCCCAATCTGAAGCTTAGGAGCCTGACATGGGGGCACTGAAATCAGCAGCTGAATATTTTTCTGTTAATTAATTCATCTAGCTGGGTAGTCCAACCAATTTGAAGCACATACTCATTGTGCTGCAGTTAGAGTAACTGAGATCCCTTCACTAGTACACATAATCCTAAAACTAGGTATATTATATTTTATTCAAAAATGTTATGTTCCATGCTTTTCCAGACTCTTTAATTCTAGAACTTGACAGCAGACTATTTATACAGAAAGTGAACTAGCAAGAAGATGAAAAGCTGGACATGCCTATATGAGATGCAAGCAAGTCTGTCAGAAATGCATAGAAATGCCAAGATTTCCTTACTAATTTATCTTGGTATTAAAAATAATTTCTGCTATTTAAAATGCTACAAGATTACTTTCCTTTAAATAGTTAATAGTTTCAAGATCAGAGGATAATTAGGATAAGAGGCTAAGGGGGGTTGTGCTCGTTTCATGTGTGGCATCAGGCTCTGGAGTGAAGTTGCATTCTTAATAATCCTTCTGGAAGCCTCTCCAATAATAATAATAATAATAATAATAATATCCCCAGCCATCACCAGATACTACCAGCCATTCTGTATTGTTTACTGGCAAGCAATAATGAGTTAGACACACACCCTAACGGTTTCGGTCAACATATTTACAGCTTGGGTTAACACGGTAAATATGTTCAAATATTTGACCTGAGCACCATCTTGAAGAAATCACAGCTGATTTAGCCACTTGGTGACGGTTTTAACTCAGCCAAATAAAGTGTCAGAAGTCTTAAGCCTTCCTCCCCAAAGGAATGGGCATCTGGACCTGACTGGTCCAGTCTCCCAGGCCACAACGTACCACTGGGAGATGGGATGGGGAGGAGAGTCGTTCCCTGCTTGTCAGTTCCAAACTGTACAGACCTCTCCCCTTGTGGAAGCTTACAGGTGGTGTCAGGGGTTCAGGAGCAGAGGCACAGGAAAGGGAGGAAATAGAGAGCGAGGGGGAGGAGTCCGAAGGAAATGTTAGCGATGACAGCGGTCCGAGGTCTCTGAGTCTTTCCAGCGAATCGGAAGATTCACAGAAAGGGGCTCCCTTGGTCAGAGCAAGGGGGGTTCCGAGGGTGACACCCCAGGAAGAAGGGGCCAGAGGGGACTCAGAGAGCAGCAGTTGGACATCAGGACCAGCGTCCACACCAGAGTGCAGGAGGGGGGGAGTCCCAGGCATCGGGATCAGGCGGCGCACTGCCAGTGGGAGGACATGAGTCAGGATTGGCCACGCCTCCATCGGGGAGCGAGGAAACGGTCGAGAGGAAGGTTGAAGGCTGGGCGCGCGCGCAAAGTTCAAATGTACAGGAGGGCGGCGCAGTTGGCAGCCCGGATAGGGAGCCAGGTCCCAAAGCCCGCCGAAAGAGGGGAGGAGTCAGGGGGTCAGCGTCAGAAGAATCCAGGAAGGAAGGGACCCCGGGGGGTAGCAGGACCCAGAGGAGAAAGGAGAGACGTAAGAGGTGGAGTAAGGCTAGAATCTTAAACTGGTGTACAGGGGCGGAGACTCAGATGGAGCTTCGCCGATCTAACCCCTAGACGTAGAGCTGGGGCGCTCCGGCTTGAAAATGGAAACTGTACTTCAATAAAGACTTTTGTACATTACTGCCGGCTAGCGTTGGTCCTCTGTGAGCTGGGACCTGGAGCCAGCTCTGACAGTAAGCTCCATCTCCAAAAGTTTTGCACCAAAAACCTCGTAACGTGAGTGGACGCAGCGAGGAAGAAGATTGGTGCTTCGCGAGCTCACAAAAGTCAGGCAAGATGACTACAGAACAGCAACTAGCAGCCCTGCAAAATGCAGTGACACAACTCAACGCGGAGGTACTCGCATCCAGGAAAAGGGAAGAGGAAGCGGCTGCCGCCTGCAGGGATCTCCAAGCCAGGTTGGAAGTGCTTGCTAAGCAGGGGCAACCGGGACCCAAATCAGAGGGGATTGGGCTGGGGAAAAGAGGAGGCAGCCTGGTATCTCATTTCGATGGGAATTTGCAGCAGTACCCTAACTTCCGAGCAGACGTGCTGTTTGCGCTGGAACTGCTGGATAAAGACTTTAGAGATGAGCAAGAGAAGGTGGGGTTTATCTTGTCCCATTTGCATGGGGAAGCTAAAGCGTGGCTGCGCAATCTGTGGAGAGATAAGGATCCGGCGCTCCAAAATGCGGATGCATTCATTAAAGCGATGGATTCGTGTTTTTATCAAATATAGACATTGATATCGCCAGAAAAAGACATACATGGGCTCAAACAAGGCAGAGCCAGTGTAAGGCAGTACCATTCCCGCTTTTGCATTAGTCCATGCGCTGGGATGGGAGAAGGATTCTGCCCCAGCCAGAGACCTTTTTGGGAAGGCTTGAATGCAAATGTGAAAGATGAGATTGCAAGGGGGGAGAGACCAAAGAGCACTCAGGAGGTTGTCCGGCGGGCGCTGCAAATTGGGGTGCGTCTGGAAGAACGTCCATGGAACAGAGAAGAAGGACGTTGGGGACGTACGCCAGTGAGAGCACCTCCCCTCTTTCCCAGGGATGCAGCGCGTGTGCAATCCCCACCTCCGCAAGGAGGGAGAGAGCAACCGATGGAGATTGGAGGCGCCAGGGCTCAGTCAGCAACCAGAGCCTTAACACCGGGAGCAGTCAAAGCGAAGCCTCCTAGAGGGAACAGGAAGTGCTACATCTGCGACAGTGCTCAGCACATGGCGAAAGAGTGTCCCCAGAGGCTCCACAAGCACACTGCAGCCTCAGCAACAGTAACAGAAGCAACTCAGCAGAGAGAACCACAGCAGGGAAACGACAGAGTCTGGTTGGAGGAAGAGGCACTGGGGCCCAACCAGACAAGTCAATGAAGCCGTCCCCAGAGATTTTGCAGCCCACAGACCCCCTCCCGCCCAAACCAGTGGTGCAGCTCACAGCATCGCTCCAACTACCCACTGGACTCACTATGGAAGTGCCGATTACCATTGACTCTGGTAGTAACGCAGACTTCATAGGACTGGATTTCCTTCAAGAGCACAACATAGCACTCCTGCCAGCCACGCTGCCTCTGAAAGTTGTCACGGTGGATGGCAGGGAATTGCTGGGGGCAGGTGGTGCAGCAAACGCCTCCGATGGTGATGCAAATTGGGAATCACCGAGAAGTCATCAGCTTCAATGTCACCCAACTGTCGGACACGCCTATAGTATTAGGCATGAGTTGGCTGCACAGGCACAGCCCAGCATTGGCGTGGTACCAGCGACAACTGACCTTCGGCTCCTCATACTGTGCGGAACATTGCATTCTGCCCTAGCCCGGAAGGGGAAGAGGATGACCCGCAGCTACAATTAGGCACACTGCAAGCAGTGCCACTCAAGTACGCAGCGTTTTGGAGGTTTTCTGCGAGAAGGAAGCGGACAAGCTACCTCCCCACAGGTCTTATGACTGCAAGATTGACCTCCTGCCAGGGCGACGCTGCCAACCGGGAAACTGTATTCCATGTCTGAAGACGAGCTGCAGGAACTCAGGGAGTTCATAGACCTCAACTTGAAGCGCGGTTTCATCCAGGAGTCGAAGGCAGTGGGGGGGGGCAGTCCTGTATTCTTTGTGAAGAAGAAGGACACGCCCCAAAAAAGGCTTGTGGTGGACTATAGAATTTTGAACTCGAAAACCAAGCCCACAGCCTTTCCCATGCCCAAGATAGATGACCTGCTCGCAACGGTGAGGAAAGGACGCGTTTTCACAAAGTTGGATCTGCGAGGGCGTACAACCTGATTCGCATACGGGAGGGCGACGAATGGAAGACTGCCATGTTCACGCCCCTGGGCACCTATGAATACAGAGTTATGCCCTTTGGATTACAAAATGGCTCCCACTGTTTTCAAGCCTTCATGCATCACGTATTGGCGGGTCTCCTCTACAAGAAATGCGTCTGCTTTCTGGACGACATCCTGATATTTTCAGAATCAGAGGAGACCCACGAGGGAGACGTCAAGGAAGTTCTGCAGAGACTGCAGGAGCACAGGCTGTACGCCAAGCTGGAGAAGTGCCAGTTCGACATGAAGGAGGTAGATTTCCTGGGCTACAAGTTGTCGGACAAGGGGCTCGCCATGGACAGCGCCAAGGTTCGCTCAGTGTTGGACTGGAAGAGCCCGCGCAATCGGAAGGAGGTCCAGCGGTTTGTCGGTTTCGCCAACTTTTACCGCAAGTTCATCAAGGGGTTCGCGATGCAGACGGCGGCCATTACCGACACGCTCAGCTCCAAGAAGAAGAAGTTCATCTGGACGGAGCAAGCGGAGCAGTCCTTTCAGAAACTCAAGCGTCTCTTCTCGTCCGAAGAGCAGCTACTGCATGTGAATCCCAGCAGACCGATGAGGGTTGAAACGGACGCCTCAGACAGAGCCGTGGGAGCAGTACTGTTGCAGCAAGACCCGCATGGGGACTGGAGACCGTGTGCCTTCTACTCCAGGAAGCTCAGCAAGTCAGAGCAGAACTACACCATCTGGGACAGGGAGTTGCTGGCCATTCATGCAGCATTCAAGGCGTGGCGGCACTTCCTCATTGGAGCCAAACACACAGTGCAGGTCCGCACGGACCATAAAAACCTGGAGTACTGGCGCACGGCAAGGTTCCTGAACCAGAGGCACATACGATGGGCGGAGTTCTTTGCGGATTTCGACTTCAGGATAGAGTACATCCCAGGCGACAACAACATCATGGCGGATGCACTGTCCAGAAAGCCGCAATACCTCGAGGAGGCGGCACCAGCAGCGGCCAAGCACATTTCGCACCGAAAGCGTGGGCGTGCGCTTCAGCAACCGTGGACCTGGATGCTGTACGTCGAGCACTGCAGGCGGACCCCTTCGCGCAAGCAAAGATGGCAGAGGTGCAAAGGGGCACGGCGGAGGACGACGAGTTCCAGATACGCGACGGATTGCTCATCCGCAGAGGGGCCCTCTACGTACCGGGAGACGACCTCCGCGCGAAAGTACTGCAGCAGTTGCACGACGCACCCACCGCCGGGCACTTTGGCAAAGAGAAGACGGTAGAATTAGTAGCCAGAGATTTTGGTGGCCCAAGATGCGGGGGGGAAGTCGCGGATTACGTCTCGAGGTGCGACACCTGCCAAAGGGCCAAGTCAGTGCACAAACCGCCGGCGGGACTGCTCGAACCGCTGCAGACACCGCTCGAACCGTGGGAAAGGGTGGCCCTGGACTTTGTCACGGATCTACCCAGCTCGAGGGGCAAGACGGCAGTGCTAGTGGTGGTGGACATGTTCACCAAAATGGCCCACTTCATTCCGTGCGCGAAGGTGGCCACGGCGGAACAGACCGCCAAACTGTTCATAGACCACGTGTTCCGGGTTCACGGTCTGCCACGGTCTATCCTGTCCGACCGGGGGGCGACAGTTCATCTCGAACTTCTGGCAGAAGCTGATGGGTTTCCTGAACGTCAAGATCAACCTAGCGTCGGCGAGACACCCGCAGACGAACGGACAAGCGGAGCGAGTCAACGCCATCATGCAGCAGTACCTGCGATGCTACGCAAATCAGCAGCCGGCAACATGGGTGGACTACCTGCCGCTCGCTGAGTTCGCCTACAACAACACGAAGCACGTGTCCAGGGGTGTTACACCTTTATTCGCCAACAACGGGAGGCATCACAGTACCTTCCCGGGTTTAGCGAGAGCGTGGGAGGGGTAGCCACAGGCAGCGGAAGCCTTAGCATCAGAGTTGCAGGAGGTTCACGAACAGCTTCGGAGGCAGTTAGAACTAGCAAAGCACGCATACAAACTGCAGGCTGACAAGCACAGAAGGGTTGGGGAAGACATACAGGTGGGAGACTGGGTTTGGTTAGCAGCCCAGGCAGTGCCGGCCAGATCGTTAGCGAAGAAGAAGCTAGGGCATAAGCAGCTAGGACCCTACCAAGTCGAGGCACAGGTCAATCCAGTGGCCTTCCGGTTGACACTGCCGGAGGGATCCAGAATGCACCCAGTTTTCCATAGATCAGTGCTCACGCCCTACAAAGCACCTCATAGATTTCAGGAGCCAGGAACGGCACCAGACCCGTTCAGGGAAACGCCCACAAGGGGGGGGGTCGCCAAGGCGGGAACCCGTCAACGAAGTCACCGAGATTTTCGACGCGAGATGGGGGGGAGGTGGGAGTGGAATACCTCCTCGCCAAGGAAGGGACCCCGGCTAGCGCCAACAGTTGGGTGCCAGATTATGCTCTGGAGGAATCTTGGCTTAAGGACGAGTTCCATGCACTTTTCCCACACAGGCCCATGCCAGCCGCGTATTTCGACGACTGGCTTTTCACACCCACATTTTCAGCTAGCACATTCCAGGGGTTCACCTCGGACGAGGAACCGGCACTAGAAACACGTTCCCCGGAGGGATCACCCTCGGGGTCTGCCTCAGACCGTTCCTATTGGTGGGACAATCAACCAGAGGAGCAGTGGCGCAGGAAGTGGTTGGGGGGTCCTTGGCAGGCAACGTCCCCGGAGGAGACCGGGGAGAGACGGACATGGACGTGTTGGGGAGGACCTTGGGTTCGAGCACGGCGGCAAAGAGATGGAAGCAGAGGAAATTGAGGTCGGCGAGAGCACGGAGGACGAGCCGGACTTATCCGGCTGGATGCACGCCGCGGGGGACGTACTGTCTCCGGCACTCACCCCCGCAACGACGGAGCACCCAGTCCCCACACCTGAAGGAGGGGAGGGGGGAGGGGGGCTTCGAGGGGGATGGATGTCAGGGGTTCAGGAGCAGAGGCACAGGAAAGGGAGGAAATAGAGAGCGAGGGGGGGGAGTCCGAAGGAAATGTTAGCGATGACAGCGGTCCGAGGTCTCTGAGTCTTTCCAGCGAATCGGAAGATTCACAGAAAGGGGCTCCCTTGGTCAGAGCAAGGGGGTGCCGAGGGGACACCCCAGGAAGAAGGGGCCAGAGGGGACTCAGAGAGCAGCAGTTGGAAATCAGGACCAGCGTCCACACCAGAGTGCAGTAGGGGGGGAGGAGTCCCAGGCATCGGGATCAGGCGGCGCACTGCCAGTGGGAGGACATGAGTCAGGATTGGCCACGCCTCCATCGGGGAGCGAGGAACCGGTCGAGAGGAAGGTTGAAGGCTGGGCGCGCGCGCCAAGTTCAAATGTACAGGAGGGCGGCGCAGTTGGCAGCCCGGATAGAGAGCCAGGTCCCAAAGCCCGCCGAAAAGAGGGGGAGGAGTCAGGGGGGTCAGCGTCAGAAGAATCCAGGAAGGAAGGGACCCCGGGGGGTAGCAGGACCCAGAGGAGAAAGGAGAGACGTAAGAGGTGGAGTAAGGCTAGAATCTTAAACTGGTGTACAAGGGCGGAGACTCAGATGGAGCTTCGCCGATCTAACCCCTAGACGTAGAGCTGGGGCGCTCCGGCTTGAAAATGGAAACTGTACTTCAATAAAGACTTTTGTACATTACTGCCGGCTAGCGTTGGTCCTCTGTGAGCTGGGACCTGGAGCCAGCTCTGACAGGTGGCTTGTCCCATTAGTAGCAGTGAGGCTAGGGGGACCATCTCAGGCTACCGTTCTGCCTCTAACAACCCTGACATTCCTCGTGACATGCGTAAGTGGTGAGATATATCCCACTTCCGTTTTGCAACATGCCATTCTCCAAAGGATGCTGTATTAGCTTTAGTTTGAAACACTTTGCCAGAGTGACTAACCTGTGACCCTCCAGATACTCTTGGACTCCAAATCCCATCAGTCCAAGCTAGATAAGTCAACAGGCAGGGGTGATGGGAACTGAAGTCAAACAACAACTGCAGAGCCACAGGATAGCCGCTCCTGCACTAGGCCAGTGTAACTACTGTTTGAGGTTTCTCCTTCTTCCTCTTACCCTTTCTCCTGCAAAAGTAGCTTATTCTCAAGCTAACACATTTGAACACTGGTTATACTAGGAGTCTCTGCATGCTAAGTATCCAATTACAAGTGTTAAATGTGTTCCGGCTTCTCTCCTTCAACGTAAGTGCTCCTGCTCTTTTTAATAAGTAGCAATTATTAGAGCAATTTAATTTAAGTCTTTCCCTGAGAGCTTCTAACTCTGCAGTGTTCAGAGATGTAATGATTTCCTAGCAAGAAACACTGCTGCATGAAGAGAGAGGCAATAATCTGTTGCTGCTTAGTATCCTATCCAAAAACATTACTTCACTGCCAGGTTACTCAAAAATTAACTGCAGATACTCTAAGTGGACATTCTAATCCTACAGACACTTAAGTAGGAACAAGCCCAAATGTTTTCAGCAGAACTTGCTTCCAAGTAAGTGTGCTTTATAGGTTAACTCTGTCTTCCAAGGTAAAGTAGAATCTGAGGTTATAGCCCTTGCAAAATCCTAGGTTTAACTGTTAAATACTAGTGACAGGTTTTTCATTTGAATAGCTAGTAAGTCAACTTTGATGCTTTCTTATTGTAACAAGGCCTTTCAGTTAACGTTGGTGCAGCATTTCTAAACAGAAAGTCATTATCACTCATCGTCAAAACCAGCTCCAGTTCTTGGAAATCCTGAAGCCTCGATACATCTTTGTCCTGAAAGAAATAAACACAATAAATTAAAAACGATGTCTATACTATTATGAGGCATGCTAGTCCAAATGATGCAACGATTTCGGCTCACCTTTGTGTTGCACTACATCTTGTATATTTAATTTTGATGTTCCAACTGACTGCAGGAAAGAGAAACTGGACAACAGGATCCACGCCATTGTCTGGGCTGAGAGACCAGTTGCCCTTTTGGTTCCTCTCCTCCCTGAACTGTTTTCATTCAAGCTGATCATTATTAAGAACTTCGTTAACTTTAAGAAATGGTGTTTTGAGTTTGCATGCTCTGCCCTTCCCATCCCCATTTCCTTTTGTGCTGTGTCTTTTAGACTGTAAGCCTACCTTCCTTTTAATCTGTACACAGCACAGAGTAGATTTTAACGGATGAACTCAACATAGTACTAAGCAGGTTGTTTCACCAGGCAAACAGAAATACTTGTGCTGACAGAGAAATCTGCCCTCTCCTCTGCTGGCATGCTGTTTCAGGTGTTCTCCCAACATCCCCTGCCTATTTGTGGGGTTATGGGGAGAGCAAATGGGGGGAAAGCCTTGTTGTGCTAGCAGAAATACTTGTAGGGGTTCTGGTGGTAGGACTCGTTTTATAAATGATTACTGTTGTTGAGAGATCCAGAGCAATTTAGTTGCAGTTGTCCCATTGAAACCAGTGTGAAAAATCAATCATAGTTGATATTGAAATCAATGAGAGTTATCTTCAACAAACAGTTTGGATCCAACCCAATGTTTTATTCTTGGACCTATGGCCTGTGTTCTTCCATATGTTCTTGCCAGCCTATGCTCTGTGAGGGTCTTTACATGGAGATTGCTAAGAGATTAAGAAATTTCTTATGCTATAGCTTGAGTCTTCTAGAAATACAGCAAACCAAAGGGTTGCCACTTTTAATGCTGCAAAAATGGATTTTCAGACTATCAGTGCAAACTTATGCATGCTTTCTCAGAAATAAGTATTATGGTACACATTGAAACTTACTTACAGGCAGGTGTGCATAGGATTACAGCCTTAGTTTGCCAGAGAGAAATAAGTTCAAACAGAGTACAACAGGAAGTTAATGCTTGTGGGCAGCTATTGTTCAAGTGAAGCCTTTACTTTCTATCCAAATCTATTTGCATTAATTATGAGTAGTAGCAACTATGTTGTTATCTGCATGTGTGAAGGAGAATGAGTGCATACTTTGTGCTATATCCTTGCCACAGAGTGTGAATAATATTATTATTTTATATTATTCTATGTACACCACTCACTTTTTTTAAATTGAACTGTTCAAAAAGTTTTCTAAACAGATAAATGAAAAGTTCCCTCTAGACACCTGGAATGAATTTTGCTTTAAAAAAAAAGTCCAAGCTAAAATGCCTATTCTGACGATGTTGCTTGCTGGCAAAGTACTTTGAACCAGCTAAGGGTTATCAATATGAATGCAGTTCCCCTCCTGTTGGGACTCCATATATGTCGTCCTATCAGGAAATCAGTGAGAATGCCAATCAGATGTTCCAGAGGAGGCAGCGGGGGCTAGAGTTGATTGATTTGACCAGGGCTACATCTGTATAACTGGATTGGGAGCCAGAGCCTTTAAGAGGATTTGTGCTCCAATTCAGTTCAGCTTGGCTAGAGCAACTGAGAGCACAGGTATTTGAAACATCTATATCAACAAAATTAAGTCCACCATGCCAGGCTACAAAAATAAAGCAGACAGTACCACATTGTAAAATGGAGGGGAAAGGCAGTGCTTCCTATTTAATCACCTAGCACTAAAGTGGATCACAGCTGGTTTAAACTGACCAGCGGGCCGGATTAGGCCCCCGAAATGGACTTTGGACATGCCTGGGTTATGGTGACTAGTGAATAGCACGGGAATATCTTGACCTTGTATTATTTGCACAGGAAAAGTCCATTCATTCTATCATGATGAGGAGGGCAGGCAGAGATTCCAATTCTAAGAGGGCTTTTTCTTTTTAAGCATCTCTTTTCAGAAAGTGTTCTTTATTTAAAACATAAGGTTTAAAACTACAGATATGAAACGTTCACAAGGGATTAGATGCTTATGAAGACTGCTGTGGGCAACATGTGTACTACAGGATAGTCCCACTGACGTCAAGAAATGTTGGTGTAAGAACAGTAGTGTCCGTAAATGCAGGTTGGAGGAAGATGATACCGTTATAATTACCCTGAACATAGTATGAAGGCTTGAATATTTTTGAGAAAATGAAAGCCAGCCTGGGTTATTACTCCAGCAGGATAATTGGCTTTAGTAAAAGGAACCAAATGGATAAAATATCTCAATTCCAGGAGGGCTTTTGATAATGTTCCATATGCTACTCTTACAAGTAAATTGGAGAAGGGTGAATTGGAACATGCTGCCATGAGGCAGGTGTACTTTTGGCTGGGAAGCTACACACAAGATGTTCCAGCATGCTGTGGATTTCAGCCAGAGTAGCTATTAGTGGATTGCTATTGTTTGAATTGGGGAGCTAAATGACATTCCACAGGGATCTGCCCTGGGCCAGCACTAGTGAGCATTTTTATTAACAGCTTGGAAAAAGCAATGATGAGTGTGCTAAGATTTTACAATCTGAACTGCAAACACAACAGAGGGGAAATCAGCGCACTTAACTCAAAGCAAATGTTTATGTGGGGTGGAGCACCCAAAACAAAAAACCTAGGAAAAGAGTGAGCGAGCTGGGGATTCGGACTGCAGCAGGAGATACTACAGCAGATACTACAGCTGGTAGGCAAGAAGACTGGTCATGCGTGTGGCTACAACAGCTCGCCATTAGCTAGCACGGAGCTGATGTGCCCAGCAGTTGTGCAAATAAGTTATTGTATGGAAGACAGGAAAAACCTATACTATTCTGACCTGCAAATTCTGAAGTTAGCATCTTGTACTGGCCTCAGGGAGAATCCAGGGAGACAACTCAATTCCTTGAATTGTCAAGATTCTAACATGCATGGCACACCAAGCATCACATGGCCATCTGTCAGGGATGCTGTAGCTGCATCCAGCACGTTGAGGTTGGACCAAAAACGTCCAAGTTTCCTTCCAGCTCTAAACTCTAGGACGCTTTGAATCCATGTGGTTTACAGACTGTGTGTGTTGCCCAGTCCTAACCTATGGGTTATACTAAACTGCAACTGCAAAAGGAATCAGAAGCTGGTATAACCAATGTCAGAGATACAGAAGCAGTGATGCTGAATAACTTTGGGCCCAGTTTCAGCTCTCAGGTATGCAGCTGAAAGCCATTGGCCCAAATCTAGATGTAGCTATGTGCAAAACCTACTTAAACCTCAGAAAGAAAAGTCACACATAGTGGCCTCAGAAGTTGTATCAGGACAGCATTTCCATTACACTACTTGGGGATGGAAAACCCTTATCTTCACCTGCCCTGAGCAGGGGCAAATGAGAATATATAGATTGTGTGCATTTGGATATATATGTTTCTCCAACCCTTTGAATATCTATACCTACATCTGAGAACAGGAACTTCCAGTATCAAACTACACAGATGGTAAATCCTCTTGCACATAACATGCAACATGCAGTGTAGGTTTGCACATGGCTTGCTGCCATTCTGCACACACAAAGCTCCCTCCTGCATGGGCTGAAATTTTAAAAAGACCTGGAGTGGGAACACAGTTGTCCTACTCATTAGCCATGTAATGCAACCAAAAACTCAACATAGCACACACACAGAGAGCGAGAGAGCGAGAGAGCGAGAGAGAGAGAGAGAAAGATTCCACTGAATCTTTGCACCCAGTGCTTTTGACTTTTAGTCATTTTTATTGGAGTATCCAATTTCCATCATTGCACCAATTTTCTAAATTGATATTTAGAATATAACAAAGTCTTATTGCCACAGAAATCTGCTCCAGCACCAAAATTTGACATTAGCATTAGCACCAAAATGCCAGTGTCAAATATGAACTCCAAAATCTAAACTGATCACTGGGGGAGAAATAAGACCCATCAATTAATCTATTACCTACACACTTAAGTGACCTATTCTTGTCCAGGCAGAGTTACATTGCTGAAATGCTACTGTGGTACTTCTGATTTAAAAGTCTCAGGAAATAATACAGGTATCTTAAGCACCCCACCACACAATCTCTTAAAAGCATAAAACAGGCCTGCAGAACCCAGGCTAAATGCAGTATGTCAGGTGAAAACCCTGGTCAATCAAAAAGTCTCCAGCCTTTGCTGCTTTCCTCAGGGTTCAAACCCAGGGAAGTTATGAAACACGAATCAGATATAGCCACTGGACTGCATTCAGCTTCATGTGTCATTCTACAGGTCTGGCATCAGCAAAAGAAAAAGAATAAAAAACGAAACAGAGGAACGAGGACAGAATGAGGATCTTACCTTTCTCAATACTGTATTTGGAAGTTTCCTTATTTTCTCCACGTGTTCCGGGTTAACCCCCAGCTCACAGCAGCTTACTCTGAGCAATTCTTTATAAGTCAGTTCTTGCCGATCCAGTTCAATTTCAATGAAATCATTCTCTTTTAGAGTACGGTTTTGAACTCGGACCTTAAGCACCAGTTCTAATTTTAAAAGACACACACAACCACAATTGTTAGGAGCATTAATAATAAGCACTTGGCAAATGTTATTGGGTAGTAATTAAATTTCAAAAGGTTGCCTTGTTTCCCTTTTGGCAATCCCTTTTTCTAACTTGTGAACCGCCCTGCAACTTGCGGGTATAGGGCGGTATACAAATTTAATAAATAAATAACAATAACAATAACAACTTCAACGTGATGCTTGCCATGGAGTAGCAATGAGGCTCCTGGACTAGAGATGGAGAGCTTCAGCCCTCCAGACCTCTCCCTGAGCCTCAGAATGCTCCTCAGCCCTGCTTGCCACCTTCCTCAAGTGTATTTGCCTGGCTGCATGGTCTCCTTCAACTGTCTGCGTGGAGCAAGGTGTGTGTGAGTAGATACTAACCTACTATACAAAGGTAGCATTTACATTCACTGATCTGCCCACTTTTCCCCAGGCCCTGCCCACCACTGGAATGTGGTCCAGAATATAATGTAACCATTAAGCTGAAAAAGCTTCCCCAGTCCGTGCAAGACCAAACCTGCCATCACATGAAACCCTCGAGTTGTGGGGGGGCAGGGGGAGAGGGAGAGGGAGAGAGAGAGAGAGAGAGAGAGAGGGAGGGAGGGAGGGAGGGGCAGGCAATTGACAAGGTCCTTGAATATGCAGGTGCAGCCATAAAACACATTTCCGCTGTCATCAAACACGGCCCATGGTGTAACAGCAAATCTGCATCTTTTCACAGTTCAGCTTCGGGTGGTTGCTCTCATGGGGCCTGCATGAGTATCAGGGCTTCCATCAGAAAATGTGGGCCAAGTCTACTATTGCTTGATGCTTGCAGAGCTGCCTAGCAGCGGCAGAAAAAAAGCAGGGATATAACCCTCCTCATGGCCATGCTATCTCTGCCTTTAGCAGAAAGAACCAGCCTTAAGTATTTTTGCACTGTAAGTTGCCTCAATAAGGTTTTGAAGGCTCAAAACAATGAAATAAATACTACTACTTCGGTAATATGCCTAGATACGCATTCAATTTAAGCAACAGCAATTAAGGCAAATAAGCATTATTGTTTGTGGGGAAAGAGGAATCTATGGTACCCCTAATGATACACTATCATTTAGAGCTCAGGAATAACAACTTCAATAAATCAATTTTTCTATATCTGCAATAGGCCAAACAAAAACAGTGAATTGATTTGGCAGGGGGATATAGAATCCATTTAGTTTCGTAACATAAGGAGTAATTTCTACTACTAAAATATACGGTGGTACCTCTGGGTGCGAACGGGATTCATTCTGGAGCCCTGTTCGCATCCAGAAGCGAACGCAACCCGTGTGCGCGGATCGCAATTTGCTGCTTCTGCGCATGACGTCATTTTGACCGTCTGCGCATGCGCGAGCGGTGAAAACTGGAAGCAACGCGCTCCGTTACTTCTGGGTCACCGCAGCGCGCAACCCGAAAATACTTATCTTGAAGCTACTTCAACCCGAGGTATGACTGTACTGCCACTTATATAACCAATAGGCAATGGGTATGAGTTCTGTAAATCCACAGTAGTGACCATCCTCTGCTTGGTGTGAGAGGGAATAATTTAGCACTATTCAACGCTCATATGAATGTGCCTGGGGGCGGTGATCATGATTGGGCTCACCCAAGCACATTTGATAACATGTCTGGAAATAATTGCCATATGTAGGCTCTTCCCATGTGATTCGAGGACTCTGCCTGTTTGACAGATATATACGGTAAATTGTGCAGACACGGCCTACACGCAGTTTTATCTCCCCATAGATTTTCCAGACATTACACTGAATGCACATAGTGGTTAGTTAGGGCCGCCTTCCCTCTTCTATACACCTTCAGATAAATGTCTGATTAGTGCTTATGCGACTGTTTCCCAGGCAGCTAGAAAACTCCCCCAGAAACTTTGTGGGATTTCATTTAGGGATCACTGTCTTGACCACTAGGTTGTATGAAGCGACAGAAAATTCAGGAAGGGACTTCTGACCAAGGAAGATTATAAACCAAACCAAACTCTGCGCTAATTGATTTGTTATCCTGTCCAATTTCTGTTCAATCTACACACAGTTTTTATTCTAATTGTTTTCACCAAAAGGCAGCACTAAGTTATCTTGAAAGCTTAACAGCTGAGGTTACCTTGCATGTTACTAAGGGGGAATGTTCCGGTGAAGAAAAAGGGCTGAAATGTTGGGACAGGTCCAGCACAGGAACCATTTGGTGGCTGTGTTTCAGGCTGTTTAGCTGCAACAGGGGAAGAGAGCGTCCTGTTTGGAGGAAGAGGCATCTGGTGACCGTGACCATTCTGGACTGCAGGCTCTGGGGATTCCGCTGCCATTGCCCTTGTCATGTCCCCATTGGACCCCAGAGGGGAAAGCTTTTCATGTTGCAACATGGTAGTGCCAGGTGCCTGAACTTGAGGTAAAGAAATGGGGCAGTCTTCATTGTGCTGTTCTAAGGAAGGGGAAAGTCTTCCATTCAAAGAGGAAGCTGAGGTGCTGGTAGTGCTGCTACTCATGGAGTTATACACATAAGGGAAAGGTGGGTTAGCCAAGTAATTGGGGATAATGGGCAAGGCGGAATCTTTCTTCTCATCCGGAAGCTCCTCAGCATCTTCCACTGCAAAATAAAGAATAGCTCTAAATAAAGGCAATTTCCAACTAAACATACAGAGGTTTGGTGAGTAACCTGGCAGGAGAGAGAGAGACAGAACTAGCACTGCTAAACTAGCTGTACATGTTAAAATTACACTGTGCACATAAAAATAAATTAAGCATTTCTAACGCTATAATAAAATGCAATCATTTGATACTTCTATTATGAAGTTAGATATTAAATTAAATGTCACAAAAATTATCCCTGCACATCCCCGCCTGGGATTAACGAGGGACTACATTTTTAACCAAGTCAAAGTTCAGCAATCAATTTTTGATGGTTACAGTCTTCCTTTTTCCAAATCAGTATCTGTACACATCAATGCTGATTCTAGCGAAAGGATTAAAGGAGACTTAGGGGAGAAAGTTACAAGGGCAGGAAGATCATACTGTTTCATCTTCATTGAATCACTATGGATTCCCTTCGGCACCAAAATATTCTAGACAGTTGTTAGTATCAACCGATCATTTTACCTCCCAGCATCTTCCTAATTTCCCTCTTTGATGTTAACTGGGCTGGTGTTTCTTCTTTAACAGTCAGAGCGTCCTTATCAGCGCCAGCATGTAGCAAGTACGATACCACTTGAGCATGGTTCCGTTTGCAGGCCCAATGCAAGCAAGTCCTGCACAAGGCAAATGTAACAGCTAAGTTTGGGGGGGTGCAAACACACTACATTAAATAAAAATAAAAACTGATGTACTATATCCGTTGAAAAATAATGACAGCCTACCTTAAACTGAGCAGTTTTGCTATTCTTACAGATTTTTTATATTTCTTATACATTCCTATAGTGACACCTACTGGCAGAATCCTTCCCTATTGCAAATCACAGCGCTTCAAAGTTCATTACAGTACTTCTAGTTTCACAGCTTTCACATGCAGTTCTCTAGCAGCAAGGCCAAAGAGATGAGCCCACACTCTAAACTTCCAATATCTGGGGCACACTTAAAAAGAACAACTACTGAATTAAGATTTGAGGCACATTTCCCCTTCCTGGAAAAACAAACAAGCCCAAACCCATTTTTAGAAAGGATTTCACTGATTTAATGCAATTACCTAATTTACTTAAGTTGACAAGGTATAAATACAAAACATTTATTTCCTCCCTCTCCAAACAACATCTCAGTGTAACAGCAAACTACTGCTTTGATAAAGGCAGTCTTGCATATACCCAAATCCACAGTCAGGCAATACCTTCGTAAACAGAATTCTCGTGTTCAAGTCTAGTGTATTTGGGGTGATTTGGATAAAAAGGCACAGAACTTTTTCCTTTTGTATGTCTGCAAACCTTGGGAGTTTCTCATAGTCTGCTATTGTGTGCAGATGGCACCAGGGTGACTACAAAAGGATCCACACACACTAATTGACTATGTAAATATGAGGAATGGTGATAATTAAAGCTCCAGTGGGGCAGAGGAGACCTCCTACTGCAACTGTATGGTTTATTACCCAGCCCCTTTCCAAACAATGTCCAGTGAGGGCAAGTAATTCTTCTGCACCTTTGAAGCAACTGAAGCTGGACCATCCAATCAAGACTCAGGGTTTATCTACACGTCCTGCTGCAGGGCAAGGGGAAAACTGAACCCATGTCTAGAAAACCGCTTGGACCCATGCTTTCTAGGTACAGCACAAGCAGAAGTGTGGGCAAGCCTATAGTGATGTTGACCTTTTCAAGCATGGCCCCTACTATCCTGCAAAACTGCTATTTCTTTGTTTAGTGCATTTGTCTACCTTCTTTCTTCCAAGATGCTCAAGACAGCACACATCAGGTTATCCTATTTTTATCTTAAGAGCAACCCAATAAAGTAGGTTATGCTGAGTGTAAGACCATCCAGTGAGATGTCTAAGTGAGCAAGGATTTGATTCCAAGTCTCCATAATCTACCGGTAAATTCAACGCTTTTTCCAGTTCAACAAATAGTGCCCAGTTATGCAGTGCCAAAAAAGTATGCAGGCATAATTGAAAAGGACATAGATTTGCATATGATAACGTATATGCATTGATGCAGGTTTAGAATAATTACTATAATTTAAAATATATACAATGCATCTCAGTCTAGATGAGACAACTACAATCAAGTGACCCATTTGGCTGATGTCCAGTTGTTGATGGAGTAACGTCAAAGCTCTTGCCCTCCTTTATTCAGGTTCATCTTTAAACCAGACTTGGAACTGACAGCCCTTCAAACAGAGGGGGACACCTTCAAATAGAATCCTGTCCTCTCTAAAGCAGGGCACTTGGTCACCCTAGTTCATTACTACTTATTTTATCTCAGTGTGCTCTCAAGATTCTTTTTTAAATATTACTTCTGCTAGAAAAGGTCACAGATCATTACCAGTAAAAACCATTTCCATTATAAAGCTATTCACTTTCAGAACCATATGGTTGATTTTGAGACTACTGTACTGCAGTATTAGACTTTGTTAAATGGTCAACGAAGTCATATAACTCTAACCAATGTTAAATTTTCTGTATTTTCTAACATATTTAGTATACAATACTGATTTTGAGATTGCCAATAGTTTACTGTACAGTCCTGTACTATAATTCTCTGGGTATAGGATGGTATATTAATTAATAACAATTAATTTATAACTACATTAATATTGTTAGTTTCTTCTCTCTCCAGTGTGCAGTTATCTATCATTGTATCATTCTGACAAAGTTTTGCTATATTCTTCTACTCTGAACAAATCTCAAAACAATTTTGTGCCACATGCAAATCTCACTAATTCACTCCTTTCCTTTCCAAGGCAACTTCCTGTCACACAAAAATCACAATACTGTACATTTCCATAAGACCAACCAACAAGAGTAGAAGAAAAGAAAGCACAGTGGCCATACATTCAATTTATATTACAAAAAAATGATAACTTTTACTTTATGAGAACTTTTAGAAATGTAAGAATATAATTGCTAAAATGTGAGATTCACCTCACAAAAGCCAACAAAAGAGAAAGGCACTTGTGATCTAACAAGCAGACAAACAGATCTCTTCAGTGTGATGTAGACACTGCTAACAAGATTAAAATAAACTTTTGAACACAATAAAACATAACAGCAAATGCATTGTCTGACCCTCCTTTTAGGAATTTTAGAATGGCTGAATAGCAAGAAGAAAAAGACTTTTAAAATATCACTCCAAACTCCGTAACCAAGTCTACCACACACCGCTCTCTGAAAATGCCAATACGTATGGTATTGCCCAAAAGCTGCCGATGCAATTCACTTGCTAAATGCTCACCAGCCGTTGATTTCGTTTTGAGAGTTCACACTGACGCCACATTCCACCAATCGCTGAACTTCTTCAACATCCCCCAAAGCAGCGGCTTCTCTCAGTCGCTCCTGAAGCTCTTTTTCCTCTGCTGCAGAGCTCATGTTACAAAATTATTTTTGCAGTAAAACTTTGGGATTGTCGAATGGAGCCGCCTACTGCGAACGACGGATCATCTTATAAAACTAGTCCATCAGAGGCAGGAAGAATCCGATCCGTCCTGAAAGAAAAGTCTCACGCCTTAGTCCTTTTTCATCTTAAACTCGTATGCGGCTGTTTCCTACCTATGGCTCATAAATCAAACAGTTTCACATTTCTGAAGGCCATTTTTCCCTAATTGCATAGTCTAGAGCGGATACGGCTTCCTCCTTCTCGCAGGGGGACTCTATTAAGTGCGACAACAATGACCTAGATATTTAGTTCCTACCAACAGTCCGGCACGCGAACATTCACGCGCTCCTGCAATCTTGCAGAACACTTTCATTTTTTCCCCATTTGCTCATACGGGTTGCTGTTTAAAATATAAGCAGTCTTTCTCGCGATCACTACTTTATACCACAACCTATCCCAGCTCCAGATCTCTCTGCATTTTATTGCTTGTGCTTCCACTGAAAAGGATCGTCAGTTTCCCTGCCTTCCCCGGTGGCAGATTCCTAGCGCGATGTACGCTGCAAACAAATCTGTTAACACTACTGATCCAAACGTACTAAAACAGCGAGCCAGTTCCTTGCAAAACAGGAAGGTATGAGGCGTCAAGAGATGATGCTGGAGCCCAGAAAAAAAACTGTAGCAGTTCTAAACGGATGCAGAACAGGCTACAGCGGTAAATCTAAAATAGCTAAATACAATGTAGAGCAGCCCTTTTGAAATATTGGACTTGGTAAATTTATGTCTCCCGAGTAATCTGCCAATGCTGTCCCCAGCTTTATTACAATGTGCACATTTTGTAATATAATTAAGGTTTCTTAGAGTCCATGTTGTGCAGATTGCTTCTTAAAATGGAACAGGAGAGCGCTTGCTGTCTGAATTATGATGGCCAGACACACAGGGCAGCAGTTTCTCAGTTGGGGCGTTGTAGCCATGGAATGCTCTCCTAAGGGAAAACCACTCAAGTCCATCACTGCTGGCCTGTCCCATTACTTAACATATTTTAGTGCAGTAGGACCGAGTCACTATTTTGACAGTTTATAGGGGGTTCTGCCAGAGGTGTACTTTCCCTATTTTGGTTGTGTTTTTTTAATGATTCAATATTGTTTAAGGTGCCTAGTAGTCTTTTTAAAAAAGAAAGGTGGGGCATAAATATATTAATAAAATATGGGAAAATAAATAATATAAACAAAACTTTAGTGCCAGGTTCCTTCTAGCAGTAAAACAAATGTGCACCATTGTTTTGCAGGATAATTAATGGTTAAGATTTTGTGTTCTGTTTTTGTTTTAATGATACTGTTTTTGCACTGAACACTGTACTGTGATTGCATAATAAAAGTTCACATTGATTGATCCAGAAGCAAACACTTGCCCAGATCTAACAGTCATTTTCAACTAAAATAAAATGTTTTAAACCCTGGGAAATTTACTTGGAATGGGTGGGATTCTCCATGAAAAAAATCTGTGTGTTTTTTTCACATGTACGTTGATATGATAGGCAGAGAAGCCTTTAGAGAACGAAAGGTTGGCAACTCATATAAACAAGAAGGAGCCAAATATGACTTCCCTTCTGTGTCCCGTTCACAAATTCAGGACAATACTTGGCTGACGATAGTTCTCTTTTGGGGGAAATTCTGACTTAGCTCAGAAGTATATCCCATTATGCTCAGGAGTAGTGTTTAGGATTGCAGTTTGAGTCTCATGTACTCAGCCTCAGGTGTCAGATGTTTTATAAACAAAAACTGGCCATATTTTATCAAGTGATTGTATAATGATTCTGTCTCACAGCATGAGACTATTTTTTAAAAGTACTCCTTGTCAAATTTAATTTCTTTGTGTTATTGAGCTGTGGGGAAACACCTACGCACTGCCTTTCCCATTGGGGTTCTAATAGTAACAGGTGCAGGACTGAAGGTTCATTAAGCAAATGTGGGACCAGAGGATTATTTAAAACAAAGCTGAATAGAGGCATTGTTTGTGTATTGAGGCTCTGAGAGGCTTGGGTAACGGGACTTGGATTTTATAGTTTGTACAGTTGGAAGGGACCACAAAGGTCATCTTTTGCTCAAACCCATGACCTAGAGTAAGATTCTCCTGCTCCACCGAATGAGCTATCTCCTGTATTTGTCACTTTTTTCTTTTCTTTCAGAAACGAAAACTCAAGCGGCTTACAAAAAAAGAGAACAACAAAGCGACTTAAAATACAGCAGTGTTATATAGAGAAGAGCAGATCATGTCGTTTCAAAATTTTATTTCCCGAATTCTGTGAAGAGGTTGCAAACTCTTGCGCATTTCTATCAAAAAGATGGGATGCTCTGTGCAAAGCTGAACGCTGCTCGCTCTTGAAGGCGGAGGACATCCTTTTTTATAACGGGCTGCTCTAGTCAGGAGTAACTGTCAGCTTGCACCTTCGCAATCCAAGAGGAAAAGAAGGCTGCGCAGCTGCACCTCCCACGACTCCCTGCCCCGCGCCCCAGGCGAGATCCGCGCGCAGGCGAGCACTAGGCCTGGGCCACAAGACCCTGGGCGGTTGCGCGAGATCTGCGCGGTGCATTGTGGGGGACGCCCTGGGCTTGAGGGTGCCGCCATTTTGTCTCTGTCACTCTCGTCAGCGGCGCGGTTTGGGTGTTATTGAAGGAGGGGGGGCGGGCGGAGGCGGCGGCGGGAAGGAAAGAAAGCGCTGGAGGCCGCGGCGGAGAGGCCGGACTTGACGAGCGGGGCATCATGATTTCGGCCGCCCAGCTTCTGGACGAGCTTATGGGCCGGGACAGGAACCTGGCCCCGGATGAAAAGCGCAGCAACGTGCGGTGGGACCACGATAGCGTGAGTATGGCCGAGACGCGGCCTCCTCCTCCTCTATCGCCGGCCCTCGCTTGGTCAAGGCCCTTTTGCGCGCGCTTTGGGGGGCGGAGGTAAGGTGGAGGGGAGAGAAGATGGGCCAGTTAGCAGGGCGAGGAACAGGTTTACCTAAAATGGGGAGGAGGAGGAGGAGGAGGAGCCGCTCCGCTATTAACTGCTAGAATAGCTTGCAGGCAAAGAGGTGAGGGCACCTTAAGGCCCTGCGCAGCGGGTAGCGGGCGCGATGAGCAGGGAGCATCGAAAAGCCTTTGCGGGAGGAAAACGGGGTTGCGTTTCGCGGCCTTGGGGGTTGAAGGACAAACAAGGAAACGTTGTACCCCCGTTATGTTCACGCTGAGGATTTGTGGTTGAAGCGAACAAGAGCTAAACCTCTGGATCTGGGGCGTCTGCCTTTGGGGGGGGGCGCACGGAGAGGGAGATTTGAAGCCTTTGGGGAGGGCGAGGCACCCACTGCTCTAATAAAGGGCCTACCGATCCTGTAGTTTCAACTCTTCTTTAAGGTGTGATGCTTTTAAGATCGCTTGTTCCACCGCCTTCTAATACGAAGCACAGCTGCCTACGAGAGAGTGTAAACAACCGGAAAGCATTGCAATACTACTATCTGGCGACGTGAATAAGGCTGCAAAATTCAGGCACAGCTGAAAACTAAAACGTGCGGGGGACCGAAATACACTCGAGCATTGATCTGGCCAAAGGTCTGCAAAAACACAAATTTATTTAAAGTATTGTGCGAGGGGTTGGAGATATGCAACACCTGGGGCAGAATGTTCTAACGTCTGAGTGCTGCAGTCAAAGGTCCTGCCACCTGTTCCCACCAACTGTGCTTCAGATGAGGGCCACACATGGGCAAGAGTCTCAGCACTTGACTTAGTAACTGACTGTATTTTAGGAGAGGAACTGGCCCTTTAGGTATCCTGGTTGCACACATCTTCCCCACTCAGAAATCAAAGCGCTGCATTTTGTACCAGCCGAAGTTTTCGGACTGTTGTTCAAAGGCTGAACCATTTGTGGTTGTAGCCAGGTCTACCTTATCCACAAACATTGCTGTGATTACACCAGCCAAAACCAAGCAACCCCACTGTTGGCCACCACCACATCTTAGAATCAGAAGCAATACTCCTAAAATTAAAATTTTGCTTTTCTAAGGAATGTGAGACAATTCCTGCAGACTTTGCAGGAATTAGGGATTTGTGATCATTGAGTTTCTCCAGAGGCTTTGCTTCTTAACTCATGACAGCAGTGAACATTCATTTACATTGAAAGAGTACATTTCCCCCCTTAACAGCCCACACAGTTTTTGCTATCTCTACACATAAAGAGCTGTTGATTTCATAATGTCAAGAAGCATTTTGCTCCTCTGTTATGGCATTGCCTTAGGAAACTCTGGGCAGGCTGCCTAAAATGTGTTGAAGTCACACTCCTTCTGAAGGAGCAGGTACCTAACTTGAGGGTGTTTCTGGATCCATTACTATCACTTGAGGCTCAAGTGGCCTTGATGGCTTTGAGCAATGGCTCAGCTGCATTCACCTTTTGGACAGGAACAACCTAACTTCTGGTACCTAAGCTCTGATGATCTAAGTTGGACTACTGCAATGTGTTATACAGGCAACTCCCCACGTCGGCAGAACATGTGTACTGTAAGCCCACCCCGTTCAGCCCCCTTTCAGGACCACAGTATGCATATTGGCGATCACACACCAATCAAACACATGCAAAATTGTTGTTGTCTGTACATTGAAGATGGTTCTGCAACTGGTGCAGAATTTAGAGGCCAGATTGTTGACTGGGATAGAACTGTCTGAACATATAACTGATTTTGGCATGACTGCAGTGGCTATCAGTTTCTGGACTCAATTCAGAGTGCTGGTTTTGACCTTGAAAGCCATATGTAGTTGAGGACCACAGTACCTCAAGAACCACTGCTCCCCTGAAGCCCTCAGTCATCATATGAGACCCTTCGTTGTGTGCCCCCCTCCACAGGATATTTGGAGGGTGTAGTATGCTCTTCCCCGAGATGCACGCCTGGCACCATTTTTATCTTATTTTTAGGCTCCAGGCAAATACTTTTCTCTTTACCTTGCCTCTGTTTCCTTAATTTGAAAGGTGGCATTGTGGCCTCTTTTAGTGGGGTGGGATCAGTAACTCATCATCCGTTGTATCTGTTTAGCTGTATTTTTAGATTGTTGTTGGATGTTCTTAACTGGTTTTAATGTAAGTTGCTAAGGGTCGCTCTTTGAGAAAAGCAACTCACTGATATAACCAATATATAAACTGAATAACCTCTGTGCAGTTGGGAAAACGTTTCTGATTTCCACGTGCTAGAACCTAGTGTTTAGGAAATTTCCAGAGAAATGTACCAATATCTTCCTCAAATATCGGCACTACACATGGGCAATCTGTCATCTGCAGACATTGTTTCACTGGCCCCTGTTTATAGAAGCTGTTTAAAGATGGCACAAAAAAGTGTTCCTAGATTCCCCCTCCCCCCCAGAAGTCAAATAGTGGCTCACATAGTATATATGTTTCTTTAACAATATATTGAAAAAGTGTTATTTCCTGCTCACTTACAGAGCAATCCATTACCTGTCTACTCTGCAGTAAGTCTCACTAAGTTCACTGGTGTGAGCAGAGCAAACCTAGCCAGACAGATACACTAGCATAGTTACCGCACCATAACACTCACTTTTTTCCTCCTAAAAAGTAAGGGGAAATGTCTGTGCGTGTTATGGAGGGAATGCCTACGGGTGGCATGCCTACGGATTTTCCTCCTCTAAAAACTACGTGCGTATTATGGTTGGGTGCGTGTTATAGAGCGAAAAATACGGTAAGCTGCAGCCTATCAGATCTAGGCTGGAGGTGGGGCAAGGTTGGAGGACAGTGTAGACATTCATTTTCTGCCTTTCCATTGGCTCCTGTGTGATGAATTTTAGTTGCACCTATATTTTGGTGGCATGCTGTGGAGGCGGAACCAGTGAATGAAAGGATTTAATATGCAGTGTAAATCTGTTGATCCCTCTCCTTGTCCCTGACATACACTCTTTTTGCCCGTTACGCCAACATAACTTCCACTGGCTTATTTTATGCCAAGATGAGTCATTTGCTCAGTTTAAGTCCAGGATAGGGTAATAGTCCACATCCTAATTTCTCTCAGATGGTGCATTTAGGAGTTAGGATTGCATTGCTGTCTACTGAGGAACATAGGAAGCTGCCTTATACTGAGTCAGACCATTGTCTACACTGACTTGCAGTGACTGTCCCTGATTTCAAAACTGAATTCAGCCTCACCTAGAAGGGCTGGGGATTGAACCTGGAACCTCTATGCAAAGAAGATGTTGTGCCCCTGAGCTATGTTACTGTAGGATTGCAGCCTCAGGTGCTTCCATACATGGTTTAAATGAGAAGAACTGAGATCAAGTTGCTAGTTTCTTTCATTTTTATGACACCAGAACCCCAAAATATAGCATCTTGTGTTTGGGTGTAGACAATTCCAGCAACTGGTATTCAGTAGCATCGCTGCCTCTGACTTTGGAGGCAGAGCATAGTCATCAACAGCTCTTGACTGAAATTCTTGAACAGTGTATTGTATAGGTTTTTACTTAATTTACTTGCTAGCCGTAGGAAACCAGGAATTGATGCAGGTAGGTGAAAAGTTGTTGTTGAAGGGACAGATTGTGCTATTACTCTTCTGACAGCCCTCTAAAAGGGCCTGAAGAAATGAGTCAGTACTCATCCATACTGTAAAGCTTACCTAGATGGTTTGTGCTTAGGATATTTTAAATGCAGCCAAAATTAGCACTGATGGGTAAGGTTGGTTTAAAAAGAAAGAGAGAGAAAGAAAGAAAGAGAATTGGAACAAGAGCAAATTACTTAATTCTCTTACAGCTTTGCGTCTGTCTAAATTTGATGTGTAAGGAAAGTAACTTAAGTTTCTTCTTCTCAATCAGGTTTGTAAATATTACCTTTGTGGGTTTTGTCCAGCTGAACTATTCACAAATACCCGTTCTGACTTAGGTAAGTGCCTTTGGTTTTTTTCCTTATATTATAGCAAATGTCAAGGTCATGGATAGAAGCTGCTGTGAATAAATATTTTCTTTGTTTACCTCCTATATGTATGGATGGAGACAGACACACACACACAAAATCATCTCATTAAGATGACTAAAAATCTTAGATTTGCATAAGTTCAGAGCCATTAATGTGAATTTTCCAGAAAATTTTGCTTTAGAAAGTTTTCCAAAAGAAATTCATATGCTATTTAGGGTAATTTGCCTTGGAACATTTTCTGGTGCTCTAGAGAATGATGTAATTGGTATCTTTATTTTATTTGAAATTAGTAAATAGAGCAAAAGAAAACTGCAAAGCTTACCTAATGTTCTCTACCTTCATTTCAGTTGGGATCTGTTCATTGTTTCTAATGAGCTTATAAAACAGAAAATTTTCAAAAGAAAAATGAAGCACTGGGGAGGAGGGGAACATTTTCAGTTACTGGAAAATGTTCTGCCTCACATTCCTATTCATAGCAGATTGGGTTACATTCCAGGGCCCCCATGTGCATAAGCGAAAATCATGTAAGTGGGGAGCTCTAAAAAGCCTATAAAAACTCATTTTTTCCTGCTCTCCAGTTCTATCCACACAACTCTCTTCAACTAGAGTCGAAGCTCGGGGGCTGGCTTGAAGGATGCATGGAAAAGCAGCAGCAGCAGCTCCTTAAGAGCTCTGAGGACTCTCTAGCTCTCCTGCCATTTCCCAGTTTGAATCTACAGTATCTATTTTCTGGTGGCACCTGTATACACAGCTGTGTGTGAGTCGATTGCGCTTAAGTGGACGGACGCCTGTATATGGCTTCTGTCAAAGAATCAAAATGCAAACTTCCAGGTTCTTGCAAAAACCCTTTAGCAATAGTTTCCCAATATTTCCTTCATTTCTGGCCTTACTCCATAGCTAACTATATACTGTCAGCTTTAGTGCTGTCATGCTCTAGTTCACATTTCAGATCCAACGGCAGTGTTCCTAAGACTTCCACTAGCACTCTGATTTTTAATGTGGATCATACCAAAATTGTACCAGGACAATATCACAGATATTCATGCGTGTGTATTTTAAAGATGTGCCACCAACAAGGTTTGGAATTGTTGTAGCATTCTAAATTGATAGGTAAGATCTCTTCAGTACATTCTTTTTCTGGAACTCTTTGCCTCGACAATCATGGGCTTCTGTATTTCAGAGGTTCATAACCACTCTTTATTAGCTCAGTAAATGTTGCAGGGGTGTGATGCGCTTGTTCTTGTGCTGTCACTGATTCCATTCAAACTTTGAAAAACAAATATGAAGCCAAGTACACTTGAATCTTCATAGAAATATATTGCTTCACTCTCCTTAGGCTTGTGAATCTGTACCCTACCTCACCCCATTTTGTCTCTGAGCAAATGACTCTTGATTTTAAATCTTAGCCCTGCTCTGGTGTGTCGGTGGAATATTGATCAGGTTACAGTCATTCTGGTACTATGCCAGCCTAATCGCAATACACTAGAAAGTCATTTAGAACTGTTAGTACTGTTGTGGAAAGGCACCCCAGTTTTAATCTGTACATTAGTTTGGTTAAAAACTGTTGAACTTTATCCAGGTCTTTGTTGGCATAGTGTTATCAGAAAGTCATTTGAATGTATCACCATTATTGCTTTTATTTCTAGGTCCTTGTGAGAAAATTCATGATGAAAACCTCAGAAAACAGTGAGTGTGTTAGTAGTTATAATTAATAAGCTAATAAATATAATTAAGCAATAATGCAAGCATTTAAATGAGGTTTTAAAAAATCCTCAGTTAAAATTTCACGAGGTGGATAGCGTATAGTCTTTCGTTGTTAGGTAATATGGAGATGACCTTTATCTGAAGTTTAATGTAATCATTTCTTTTTTAACATTGTCAGGTATGAGAAGAGTTCTCGATTCATGAAAGTAGGCTATGAAAGAGACTTCCTTCGGTATTTACAGAGCTTGCTTGCAGAGGTGGAACGACGAATTCGAAGAGGTCATGCACGTTTAGCATTGTCTCAGACTCAACAGGCTTCAGGTGTAAGTACAAAAGCAGAGGGCACGTTAAACATATATGGTATTTTGGGTGATATCCTTTTGCAGAACTGTTTACAGAACGTATTTTCCTCTCTCCTTTACACTTCTATAATGTGCCCCAAATCTACTCTAGTGTGGGAGCCTGCAGAGGGGAGGGGAAGAGGAGCAGTCTCATTGCACATGCGGGTGCCCATTCATGTGATGTTGGATACCACCCTTTGTATTTTCTTATAAGTTTTCTTTAAAGTAGAATAGATACACATACTTGACCAGGAGTTATAGCATGTTTGAATTACCGGTCTTAACTGTGTTTCTCAATGTATATACGGTTCACTTATTGCTTTATAAGTTCTTTAAAACTGAACAAATACAAGAATAGCAGGATACAACATAAGCCACACTTAGATGAAACTAATTATATGTGCTGTTTGAAGCTAACTTTTGAACTCGTCAGAATCGAGTTTCTAAATGTGTGCTGTTGCTCTGGTGGTTAAGAGATAACTGAGTGATAGGTGGAAGCCACAGTGTGGAGAGTGAAAGCTTAGCTTTCAGAATTTCCAGAAAGGGACCCTGCAAGTGCAGAACCCATATTTGGGACTGCACAGACACCATGTACAACAGAGGTGGAGAACCTCCAGTCTATGGATCAGACTTGGCCTTCCTCCCCCTTTGGCCTTGGGGCAAGCCATGGCTACCTGCCCTACATCTGATGTCATCCTATTACCTGTGGGACTTGCCCATATCTGCCTTGTGCACCTCCCCAAATCTCTGACAACCAGTTGGTTTTCAGGAGCCTTCAAAGCACTGCACAGTGCTAAGCAGGATCACTCTCTTCACATCAGCTGCTGCAAAGGGGGAGCAATCCTTCTGAGTTCAGACTCAATAGGAATCTCTGGTGCACCCATTTCCAACGCTTAAGTGGGATTCCCCTTACTGTTGGCCCTGCCCTTTTAACCTTTTAGGAGCAAACTTTAATGGCAGGGAGGGGCTTCAGAGAGCAGTTTGGCAAACCGTTACGTGAAGCAGTTTCATCACTCTTAACATTGCTCCAGCAAGGGATTTTGACAGGTAGACAGGGCCACTCGCCTGTCATATTTGGCCTGTAAGACCACTCTTGATAAGGATCTGGCCCATGGAGCCCAAAAGGTTCTCCACTTCTGATGTAGATGAACTTATTGTGGAATTTTTTCTTCTTACAACTTACTCTTCGATATGAGTTGTGCTGTGGACATGACAAAGCAGAACAGTGTTTTGTTGCACTTGTAACTTTTAGGTGTCTGTTGTCACTTTTATTTTAATATTTAGCAAGCAGCAGGACCTACTGGTAAAAATGAAGAGAAGATTCAAGTATTAACTGACAAGATTGATGTACTTCTACAACAGGTAATTGTCTTGAATCATACAGAAATGTTTATAAAGTTGGATCAAGACATTATACTAACTTTGTTCTCTCTCTATTAGATTGAAGAACTAGGTTCTGAAGGAAAGGTGGAAGAGGCTCAAGGCATGATGAAACTTGTTGAACAGTTAAAAGAGGAAAGAGAGTTGCTAAGATCTACAACTTCGGTAAGTAAGAGTCCTGTTTTTCTCTAAGTCTGGAAGCCCCAACAGAATACAGTCAAATAAACTTGACCTCACAAAAGACTTATTTTTCCAGCTTGTATTCTTCCAACTTGTTGAATAAATAGTTTCTTTGATTGCCACCAAAATATTTTCATACTTTATTAGTCATTGAGCTTTAACCATGCGTATATGAGATTATAGTGGATGCTTGGGTTGCGAACGTGATCCGTGCAGGATGCATGTTCGCAACCCGCAGCGCTGCATCTGCGATTTGGTGCTTCTGCGCACGCGCAAAGCGCCGAAACCTGGAAGTAAGCCGTTCCGGTACTTCCAGGTTTCGCCGCGTCCATATCTGAAAACATGCAACCTGAAGTGTCTGCAACCCAAGGTATGACTGTAATAGCCTGCATAAAGGCAAATCAATTTATGGGCCAAAAAAATTGGAGGATTGTTTCTAGTGGCTTCGTTCCACTGGTGCAAAGCTCTTTGATCCAGCAGAGGCTTTCAGAAGTAGCAGAACAGGGAGGGGGGCAGTTTTCACTTCTTCCTCCTCCCCCCCCTTCAGTTGTTCCAGAAGGGAGGGGTGCTTTCAGGATACAACGCTTTATGTTTAGAATAAATAATGTTGCTAGAATGTGTCCCTCACTGGGTTAATATCCTCTCAGATACACAGGAATGCAGAAAACACTTTGAAAGAGGGAGATCTTGGCCACATCCCTGTTCTTGACCTATTAAGGGATAGAGACCATCTTAGAACTTCAATAAGCCTTTGGAGTTGAAATGAACCCAGTAGAATTTAACACCATGGAAGATTATGACTTGTTTCTAATTATCAGATGGCAGCCTTGGGTTTAGAGGGGTTGTTAAATGCTATATTGTGTGCAGCTGGAATAATATGCTTGTCAGTTGCTTTGCAGATAGAATTGCATGAAGGTCTGTTTTAAAGATGCACCTGCACTTGAATTATAATGCAGTTAGACCAATCTTGTGATCTGCTTTGGGCATGAAATTGTGTGTATTTTTATAGCAATTGGTTAGCTGCTTGCATACCAAGGGGTAGGTTAAGAATTTGAAAAATTAAGTTGTATTGTTTCTAGGTAAATAATAAATAAAGTGTTAATGTAACTATCTGTTTTAACAAGTATCTTCTGTTTCCAGACAATTGAGAGCTTTGCAGCTCAGGAAAAGCAGATGGAAGTTTGTGAAGTCTGTGGAGCATTTTTAATCGTAGGAGATGCACAATCCAGGGTAGATGATCACTTGATGGGAAAACAGCATATGGGTTACGCAAAAATTAAAGCTACAGTGGAAGAACTAAAAGTATGTTCAATCTTCATTTATATATAGATCTGTATGTGCTTGGCAATACTGTCAACGTATAGCCTATGTATATGGCGATGCCACTATAAAAAATGATTTTAGAATGTGCCATTATGAACTGAAATACTCAGAACCTTGTGATACCAAGTAGGTGAACTTCTCAGCTTACATTCTTGAATACTACCAACAGATAAAAGTATTGACTTATTTTTATTTTCATCCATGTTACACAAAGGTTAAAGTACACACTGACCTGATTCATACATATCCCTAAGCCAAACCATGGCTAGGCATGAGCAAGCAAGTACGCAGGTACTTACAGCAAAAATGGCAGTTGCTTCTGGTCTGCTCAGAACTACCAGGACTCATGGTTCATTTTCTTCCAGGCAAATCACAAACCTGGGTTCATGAGTAAACTATGATTTATCACAGAATAAACCTGCTTGCTCATGTTTAGTTCTGGTTTGGCTTGGTATTATGTGCAAAGTGGGTCAGTGTCAATTATTATTTGTGGGGAATGGAAAACCAAAAGTTAAACAATATATCAAAATAGCCACGGGCATAGGATGAGAAAGTAATAAGATAAAAATAACTGAATTGATATAGGTCTTTGTAGTTTAAGATCTGTTTACTGAGCTAAGACAGACAGAAGTTGGTATTATTCCACGAGTTTCAGTAAAAAGCATTGACAGTCTTAGAACTGTCCCATACAAAATGTTATATTTTCATGGCACTTCTATGCATAATTTAGGTACATATTTTGATAAATGTATCCAGATTTTAACCAACAATTAAGAAGTGGTGTCTGAAATGGTTTTGCTTGGTTGATGGCCTATTCTGTGGAGTTTTAAGCACTATACGTACACATAAATGTATACATATAATGCATCCAACTGTAGTTAGCTGAGATTCTAATCTGCCAAATCAAGGTACATTTGAGGACAAGGTGTTCAGTACAATTTTGTTCTTGCATTGAGCAGGGTTCTTCAAAAATATGTTCTTTGTGTGCAGAGATACAGCCTATTGCTCTGTGGTGGATTGCCATCAGTCATGGATGCTTTCGTTGAGATTCCTGCATTGTAGGAGGTTGGACTAGATGCCCTCGGGGTTCCTTTCAGCTCTACAGTTCTATGATTCTATTTGTATATATGTTATCATTAATGTTACCAGATAGTGGAGATGCTTTAAATTTTATCTGAAATAGACTGTCAAAGAGTGTTTCAAATTCATGTCATGGTAGTGAGTATTGCCCTTTCTTAAGAAGCATGAAATCTTCCAGTTGGTTTTGGGTTCGAGCCCCATATTGGGCAAAAGGTTCCTGCATTGCAGGGGAGTTGGACTAGATGATCTTCGTGGTGCCTTAAAATTCAACAATTCTATGATTTCAGTAACCTTTCTGTAATACTTTCCTTTTTAAGGAAAAATTAAGAAAGAGAACTGAAGAGCCTGAGCGCGATGATCGGTTAAAAAAAGAGAAACTAGAGCGTGAAGAGCGAGAGAGGGAACGTGAAAGGGAAGAAAGGGAAAGAAAGCGACGGCGTGAAGAAGAAGAAAAAGAAAAAGAGAGGGCTCGTGATAGAGAGAGACGAAAGAGGAGTCGTTCACGAAGCAGACATTCAAGCAGAACTTCTGACAGGAGGGGTAGTCGGTCAAGGGACCATAAAAGATCAAGAAGCAAGGACAGAAGACGAAGCAGGTACCTGTCTGGGAAGGGGCTAAGGACATTATATTTCTTTGAAGTTAATTGAATAAATTGAAATGGATGATGAGTCGAGAGAACACCTAAAGGTGTAGACTTTGTATTCCTGAGAAACTGCTTGAGGTTTTCAGTACTAAAAATTCCTCACAAGTACAGTGGTACCTCGGGTTAAGAACTTCATTCGTTCTGGAGGTCTGTTCTTAACCTGAAGCACCACTTTAGCTAATGGGGCCTCCTGCTGCTGCTGCGCCGCCACTGCACGATTTCTGTTCTCTTCCTGAAGCAAAGTTCTCAACCCGAGGTAATATTTATGGGTTAGTGGAGTCTGTAACCTGAAGCGTATGTAACCCGAGGTACCACTGTATCTGAAAACTTGGCATAAATAGGGTTTAACCAGTTTTGAACAAACTTTGGCTTACATTTCTCAAGGCAGTTTTACACTAAGCATTTTGCAGCAAAACTGTAGTTTATATCAAAGCTTCGTTTAACTGTGAATGTGCCTCCCCCCAATTTTGCCGATTCATATGTGGATATGTCAAGTTTACTTGTGATAAATTTAGGGAAGTGCTTTAACTATTATTGGGGATAGTCAACTAAATGACTGCATGAGCAGAATGACTTCTGCTTGTGCAATGAGACACTGCCCCCCCACCTTGTCCGTTCCCCACACCATCCCCAAATCTGCTCCAGAGAGTTGAGGGAACCCCTGGAATATATCTAGGGACATGGGGGGGGGATGTCCCATTGTGCAAAGAGAAATCCTTTCATTGGTGGAATGTTCACATTAGCACCAGGTTGAATTCCACCCATTCTTCTTACATTTTTAGGAGTCGAGATCGACGCAGAAGCAGAAGCCATGATAGGTCAGACAGAAAACATAGATCACGTAGCAGGGACAAAAGGCGGTCAAAGAGTCGGGATCGGAAATCTTACAAGCACAGAAGCAAAAGCAGAGAGCGAGAACAAGACAGGAAATCTAAGGAAAAAGGTCAGTTCATATGACTGGTGAAGAATAGTTTTTCTGCAGAGCTGTGCCATGATCTTCCAGTGATTGCTGCCCCCATAGATTCCTTCTGAACTCTTAAATACAAACTTTTAAATACTTGATGCACCTTTCCTTCTCCCTTCCAGTACTGTAGCATATTATATATAAAACTCTTAGATTCCAGGTAGATGAGTGTCTCTTGGCCGCATACTACCTCAGTTTTTCTACATCTGTGAACTTAAATTCAGTTGAGTCTTCTGTTACTGTCTTTAGGTGTCTGTTACCAGGGGTGGGGAAGCATCAGGCTTGCAGATCTACTTGTTTTTTACTAGAACTATTGAAATCCACCAACCAAAGCCTGGTTTACGCTGTGCAATAAATAAAATGAGAATTTAAGCATTCTGAGACCAGCTATTTGTTTTGAGTACCAGAAATAAACAGACCTCATTGCCCACACACACACACACACACACACACACACACACACACTTCAACAGTATATTCAGAACCATGTTTTTGGTGGTGGTTGTAAAACAAGCAGGAGTCAGAAATCCTGATCTGTAAATAACCCAGACATTTACCAGTCAATCCTGATCTGCCTTCTGCCCACCCCTCCATTTTGCAGACTCAACAATACTAACAGTAAATTGGTGTGATATTTAAATTGTTCCTGAAGACATGGTGCATAAAGGTGGTATGTCACTATTGTTCCATGTTCTTATGTACAGTTACAGTTGCTTCCCTTTGGTGAACACTTTTTCTTCAGCCCCTGTGGTTTATTATTCATCCTCGTCTGCATTTCCAACACTTTAGGAATATGAAAGAGCCTAACTAAAGTCTCTTCTTGGCTTGTTATTTATTTTTCAGGTATTAAGTTAAGTATATACTTTTTAAAATCAGTGCTAACGAGTGTAGTAGTTTTCCTTATTGTGCTGGATACTGCACTGGCTGATTTCTTGCAGATATACTGTCTGTATTAGCATATAATGGTAATCAAGTTATAGTGCAACATGATGGACTTTAGCAAATTTTGGACTCGTATGCTCTCCTGCTGCAAAGCTGAGATAAAGAATTCATAAGCTTCTGCTTTTAGTTAACCAGAGTTTGCCATGTTGTTTGAATATGAAATTGTGGTAAGGACTAACCTTGGTTGGTTTCAACAAGCCAGCTTCAGAAACCACAATATATCACTCCAGGTGACACAGCAGCCACAGTAAGCAAAAGTTTCTGAACTGTTCCTCTTGACCACACAGGAAAGGCGAGCACACAAGACTGCAGCTCATTGTGCATCATTCCATTGTTTGTTACTTTGTCCACCCAGAAATAACATGAAAGCCCGATCTCTCAAATTAAGAATCCATGTTAGCTTCAATTCCGATTTTTAAATGACACGCACATATACAGCCATGTAATGGGATACTTGCAAAACCTCGAAGGTCAGAGGTACACCTCTTGTCTAAAAGATGTTGGGTAAATTTCTGGCCTCTGGAACAACTTTCAGTGTACTCTTCTATTGATAATAGATATGTCTGTTAACCTCTCCCATTTTCAAGCTCATTATCAAAGTAATTTGGGAAATGGCCTGTTTCACCTGGGGTTGTTAGTATACATGCTCTGCGCTAAATTATTTTATTTGATACACTGGAATCTCCCTTCTCAGCATGTGGGTCACTTAACACTGCAATCATATGCCTGTCTACTGGGAAGTAAGCCCCAAAGTTAAACTGAGCTTACTCCCAGGTAGGTATGTAGGATTGCCGCCTTAGTGGTGAACAATATGAATGTTTAGTGTTCTGCATAACGCTTTGTGGTCCCCACATTGAAAGGAAGCCTTTAAAAATGGTCATCAGCAAGCCAGCCTCTTCAAGCTTCACTGCCTCAGTTTTGGATAGTATTTCATAAATCCCTTTAAGGTCTCCTTACTGAATAGAGGCTTGGAGTTTTTTTACTGCTTTATGCATCTTTTGTATGTATAGAATGATGGTCATGAATTAGATATGACTGCCTGTTATTCGCCTCTAGAAATAATTTTCATTTTAGTATGTTGGTTGTGTATTTCTTTTTATTAATGCAAAGTTGAATGAATTCCTGCTCAAGGAAGTATTACCAGAGTTCCCAGGACTGTGATTAATAAAAGCAGAGTAATGGGAATGGTACATGGGTATATGGTTCTGACCCAGTGAGGCAAGCCTGATGCACTCAGCTGTGTGTAGGTACTGTTCTAAAATGGGGCATCAGAATAGGCTGCAGAGTCTATTATGGCATTCATTGGTTCTAGAGAAGACAACAGTGACTCGAAATAACAATGTACTTCTTGCATAAATAGTGATCTTATTATCTCCAGGGGGCTGCCATTTAAATAATCTTGGACTGCTTCATTCTCTTCTATTCAATGCCTTTTGTCTGGATTTTCAAAGAACTGAGTTTGGGTATAAACTAATGGTTTTGTAGCTTAGTAGAATACTTCACAATTTAATGGTATGCAATGCTAAATAACATTTATCTATATCCAACACGGGAAGGTATCTGCCCAGAAGTCATAACCTCCTAGTTTGCAGAATATACAGCTTGTTTCCCCTTTCCCAGTCACCCTGTAACACTAAAAATTGAAGACTTTCAAAAAGGTCAGTTAGTGCAACCTATCCAGGCAATTATTACGTGGAACAGACACCTCTAAGAGTTCCAAAGTTAACTGGACTGTGGTGACTGGTTTTCTCTCAGCTTCACATATTGAGTGTTTTCCCTTAGGCAGTGGTTCCTTTGTAGTTCCTCCCCCCTCCCCTTTTTTGGCTGTTATCTGCATAATAAAGCTGTTCTAAGTTTTCTTGATAAAAGAAATTGAAACAAACATCAAAATAATCTTTTGCTCCTGCAGTAGGCCATAAGTATGCCTTTCCAGAAACTTCACCCATGCAGCTTTGGCAGTCTCTTCTGTTTGTTCCCTGTTCTTTATTCTTTGCTCTTGCATTAAATACCGCCATTCAAAACATTTAATATATTTTATCTGGATGCTTAAAGAAGAATTTTGGTTCATCATGTTGATGAAAGAAATACCCAAGTGATTTCAGCGTACAGCATACACGACTTACACTATATGCATGTTATATATAATGGGACAAAAACCTGGTAACCATGTCTGATATGGAAACTGCCCACCGTAAAGGGCTATGGATTGAATATAAGAGAAGGACACGTGGCTGTCTTAATTTTTTATTTTCTCCAGGTAAACTCATTATTCTGGCTTTACTAATTTTATTGGCAGCCAATCCATTGTCAGATTCTCTTATAGCTACCTCTGCTATTTAGAGTTACCTGTTTTCAGTGAACTATGAGTCCCATTAACCTAGTGTCCCAATTTCAAGCAACTTTGTCAAGTTTGTAACTTGTAATTGTTTTGGACATGAAAATTAAGTGCATCTTCTTGCAAGATAGGAAAATGAAAATTGGAAACCTATTGTGCTTTGAAGGTTACTTTTTTTGGCTCCCGGCAGTCATGGATTGTTAAATATCAGCCTGATAATGCACTTACACAGATTACTTTCTCTCTTCTTGGCAGTGGTTGGCAAGTAGGGAGACAATCCCCAATCCTGGTGAGGTGATGGGGCATAGCAGGCAAATGAAGGTAAAGGAGGTGGGAATGGGCTCTGGAAAAAGAGTGAGGGAAGAGCAGGCACTACCATTTGAGAATAGTTCTTGAAGCCATGGAGAAAAAGGTTTGGGGAAAATGGGTTATCAAAAAGATAAGCATGCAGATCTTTAAAAAACAGTACAGAATTTAAATGTCCTTAAAACTTCAGGCAGTAATATGCATAGTTGATTCAAATAGCCAAATCAAAATCAGCTCTGTGGTTTTGGATCCAGGCTTTGCCTTTCCCAGATGAAAGAGACTCCTTCCATCCATATTGTCAGCCGAGTGGGAGGAGAGGTAACGTTCGCCAATTCACCTCTCTGCAGCCCCCAGCCCCACCTCCCATGTTCTTCCAGATGTTCCAACCCTCCAGAACAGAGTTAGAGGTGGTGCAGGGTGTTGCATTGAGGAGAAATAATTAAAACCACTCCTTCCTCTGTCAGCTGCAGTATCCCCACAAATGAAGTAAGGCCTGGATCTAACCCTATATGTTAAGGTTTGTTACCTAAGATCAATACGTAATCCTGTAGAAATTAAATTGCTTCAAAGTGTTCTGTGCATATGCTGTCTGAGAGGTCAAGAATTACATGTTCTGAATACCAATTGCGGGAAACCACAATAGGTAAGAGTGCTCTTGTACTCAAATCCTGCTTGCTGGTTTCCTACAGGCAGCTGTTTGGCCACTGAGAGAACAGGATGCTCGACTAGATGGGTCATTGGCCTGATCCAGCAGGCTCTCCGCCCTGGCCAGCAGATTAGGTGTTGGCATCAGAGGTCAGAGGATGCTGCCAACAGGAGTCAGACCAACAGTCCTTCTTGCTCAGTATTTTCTGACCAGCAGTGGCTGTCCAGCATATCAGACAATAAGTCTTTCCCAGCCTTATTTGGATATGCCAGAGGCTGAAGCTGGGACTTTGTGCATGCAAGGCAGATAGATGCTCTACCACTGAGCTACAGTCCTTCCCCAAATTTGTACATGGTCTTGAGCTAAATTAAGTGATTAAAAGTCGTATACTATGATGAATCTGTAGTTTTAGACACATTTTACGCTAGCCTTTACATCAGGTAGTTAGGTAGCATGTACATGGCTTGTGGTTTTTGACCAGAACTATCAAACAGGTCAGTGACTTTTGCATTGTAATCTTAAGCAGTTCTGCCTCCCCCTCTGTGCTATCCTTTCCCTCTGAACTCAGCAACTCGGTTCTTCTTCTTTCTGGTGGAATATTTCATTCAATATTAGCACTGTAACTTTGATCTCTAGTTTGCAATTTTACAGCCAATTGCTGATGTCTCGGCATATACTTCACCCCTGAAAATCGTGATACCTTGTGTGTCTTTACTGTGAAGTCCATGGTCAATGTCTTCTTTCATGGCAGAAAAGAGGGGATCTGATGATAAAAAAAGTAGTGTGAAGTCCAGTAGTCGGGAAAAACAGAGTGAAGACACAAGCATGGACTCCAAGGATGGCGATGCTAAGAATGAGGTCAATGGGACCAGTGAAGACATTAAATCTGAAGGTGACACTCAGTCCAATTAAAACTGATCTGATATGACCTCAGATCAGACAGAGGTAAGTGCATTATTTCAAACTTTGATTAGGGCTTTTTGTTACTGTTTAACAGTGCAGCGTAAGTATGTACAGATGAAGATGGAGCTAAGTCAACAAGTAAGAAGAGGTGCTAAAGCAACTTCTGAAGGAAAACACAGTGTAGTCCTGCAAAATCTTTTGAGGTACATTGTTTTGTATCGGCTATTTTGTAGCAGACTCATACCCCCATTAGTGTGCCTCTTGGGAACATATTTGTAATCTAGTCCCTTAGAAGTTAATTATCCTATTTTTTATTTTTAGGGGATTTATTATCTTTTTTAACAACTTGAACTGATTTTGTAATTAAGTCCATATTGTGTTGGTGCATCAGAAACATTTGCTTTAATACTTAATATTAGAGGCACATGTTGGACTATTTTGTTTTTATATAAACTGCTAGTATTTCTTTGTCAAGGATGTTTCTAGTTTTTTTGCTTTGCCTTGCATTCTAATGCAGTTTGTTCTGTAACTCGAGAGCCAGTAGCATTGGATTGATGGAAGTGTAGGGTTTATGAATAATTGCAGCTGACTACCATACCTCACACAGCGTTGGTGTTGTGAGCGGCCCATGAAAAGCCAAATTAAAAATCAAGGATTCAGTCAAACTAAGCAGGTACTCATGCCAGGTACTCCTTTCTCTACCCACATCCATGTTTGAATGCTGTTGCCTGTAATCTTTAAGCTTACTGTTGTGTGTTTTATTTACAAAAAGTGAAAAGGAATCTTTGTGCATATATTGTGAAACTGTTAACCTGATATTAACTTGATTGGAATTTTCTTTCAACTGTGTGTAGGGATGCAGTGCTGCCCAGAATTAGATATCTTTATTAAATGCAATAAATACTACATAATAATCGCCTTGTAACATTCAATGCATTTCAAGTCTTTAAGAGGTATGTGTTTATAATTTCCTACTGCGTAGGAGAATTGCCAGGCAGCCATGGCACACAGCAGCATATACTGGCTGATACCAGACTTGGGAGGCAAATGAAAATAAAGGCCAATGTCAGAAACACCCAATAGGTATATATAAATGGCAAGAATGTATATAACCACATTGTTAGATAAATGAAGCTAATCTTATACATAAATAATTGCCCCGTCTTGACCTGTGATTTCTCAGGGTCATTCCTTAAGTAAGGAATAAACCCAAATAAAACCAGCTGATTGATTGATTTCCTTGCAACATAGTTAATATAGTTTCAGCTTATCTTCTAAGAACCCCTAACCAATTACAGTGCAGGCCTATGCATGCTTATTCAGAAGTAGGTTCCACTGTGTTCATTGGGGCTTGCTTCCAAGTAAATGTGCATAGGATTTAAGCCATACAGTGCAATCCTCTGAGCACTAATGTTGCACACCCTTCATTCGTTTCAGTGGTACTTGCATTTGACATCTGTGCAAGCCCTGTTGGAATACATGGCTTCCCAACAACAGTGGTTGGTGAATTGTGACGTCATGTTTGTCCTTAACTGTCCAATACACAGGGGTGTTAGGTGTAATTTTTATGAGATGATTTTGAAGAGTTAAGCGGGCAGCAAGCAGACGCTGTTTAGGAATGGCAAATGAAAGTAATCTTTGCTCCCACTATCTGACTCTCTTTTCCCAACGTTTTGCGTTATAGGACAACCACGTGACAAGTCTGCGAAGAAGCCTGAAGACTGCTTAATACGAAGATCTGCTTTAAAATGAGGTGAAAGAAAGCTGTAGTGGCATAGAAAAAAAATAAAGTTCAGTTAGATTTTTTAAAATAAAAATTAATTCAGGACTGTTGTGACCTCTCAAAATGCAGAGAGAAGTTAATAAGCAAACATGCTACTGAGAATTTTAAGTCCTGTTATCATTTTTTTCCTATAAGACTTTTAAGGTGATAAACCAACATAACCTGAACACATGGCTTGCTCAGTGTTTAATTGCAAGTTTTCATTCTTGAACTTTGAAACACAAGGATAAATGTTTAGTATTTTGTGTGACTCCAACTAAAATAAACCCCATTTTTACAACAAAGCTATACCTGGCTTCTTGATATACCCTAATGGAAATACAGTATCTATGACTTTCTGTTACACATTTGATTGTCATTGAGTGTTTAATATTAAATAGACTTCTTTCCAAATAAATCAAATGTGTTCAAGTTCATTCTTGTCTATCCCCATGCCCCCACCCCAGATCAAAATGAGAGGTTGGGGTATTTCTCTTATCAAAATTTACATAACCAATTTCTGTCCCAGTAGTTTCCATAGGTTTTTAAAAAGTGTAAATAAAGATAAAGAGGTAACACTGCAATTTCCATGTGATTGTGTTCTTTCTTGGATATGCGCTAAGAAACATAGTGAAAGTATAAAAATATTTGTATTTGTTGGCAAAGTCAAAGGCAGACGTGCATAATATTTGAGAGAAGCAAAGTATCAGGTTAGAAGCAAGAATAGGAACAGAAGACCATATGATCCGATACGCCACGCATTTTATGTAACCCCCCACTTGTATACAGGAAAGCATGTAGAACGCATTGTCAGCCATAGGAACCAGACAAAAGGAAACTAATAACCTTGTCACGGTATTTCTCTATGTAATCCAGTCAACCTTCAGTAGATGAGGGCCTACATCAACTGTTAGAAAACATGTTGGCAAATGCACACAGCTTCATGACAGGTGAATTATGAGCTGGTGCCGCAAGGCCTAAAGCAAAATTTTAATTAACAACCACTTTAAAACTCTTGGCTACCCTGTTACAAGTTGATAGTGCAAAAATAAAGCTGCCATTGAAAATTGTTCTTAGGTTCACAGGATAAAGCATCACATAAATACATCATTTTATGTTGGTTTGGTTTGCATTACATACCTTTTTATATAAAACTACAAAAATAGTTTTCTAAATGCATAGATTTGCTTAGTTACCAGCATTGCTATATCATCTCTCAAACTAACCTAACTATGCAACAAGCAATATTCTAGAACAAAAGCTGGTAACAGGAAACACTTGTTTAAACCTGTTTCTCCATTGTTTATCTTCTCAAAACAATTCCGTTTTTACAGCATTCTATCATAAAGAGCATAGGACAAGAAAACAGAACTTTTACTTACTCCTCAGTTCATTTGTCTCTCTTACTGTTACACAGAGAAGGTACCTAGCAGTACTTTTTATGTATTTTTTAAAAAAGACCAGACGACAACACTAGTTTTTCTGTAGCAATGTTGGCCTGACAACAATGTATAAAATATATTAACTCAATACATATCATTAGGTGCCAGACACCAGTTGACTGAGGGAACAATTGTGATTAGTTTCCCCCACAAAACAGTTTTCCACTTGTGCTTGTTCATTGTATGGGCTACACATGAGACTGCTGAAGTGCTTGAGCAATCCAAGAGCCATCTTTGAGATAGCACCACTCAAGAAATATTAACCAAAGTTAAGAAAAATGCTGCATATAAAAATATTGAATAGTAAACACATCTTGGTTTAATTTTAACGAGTATAAGGTTTTTAGATACCAACTTCCTGGAAGTCTTAAACTTCAGTATGTCAACTTTGCTGCTTTAGTGTTATAGCAGGGTCTTTCCATTAGTGTTGCTGAAGCATTTCTGAAAGGAGAACTGATGCTTCTCACCAAAACCAGCTCTAGCTCTTGAAAATCCTGAAGCCTGGCAACATCTTTATCCTTGAATGAAAGACACAAATATCATTAACTGATGAGTTGCAGTAACTTTATAAAATCAGTTTAACAAAGCAGGGTGATAAGATGTATTGAGATAACCAGATCAAATACATGTAAAGAACTACTTTTAAGTGTCTCCATTATGAAATAATATTCCTTGTGCCAAGTTGTTGAGTAGGAAGTCATTCCAACAAATGTACATTTATAATGCTAACTCACTTCATTCACAGAACTGCATTACTATGGTGGGTTGCTAGAGTAATAGCCACAGCATGACCACTTAGTCATTACCATATGTGGGAAGATATACCAGCTTTTATCTGGTATATCTATAAACATTTTTGCTTGGATCTAGCATTTTTCTGAATGTGCTTGAGGAAGGTGGAGAGAGCCAAATCTTGCTGGTTCCTCTACAGCCCACTGTAAAGTGTCTTATCACTCTGTGTAGCTCAGTTGGTTAGAGCATGGTGCTGATAACACCCTATGGGACAGCTGTGTATTCCTGCATTGCAGGAGGTTGGACTAGATGATCCTTGGGGTACCTTCCAACTATGATTCTATGGAAAGTTGGAAACTCCAACAAGCAGTGTAAGGGGCAAAGCAGGATAGGGATCAGAAACTGGAAACCAGCAAACAGCACTACTTCAGCAGGAGTAGTGTTACATAAAAGAGACATTCTGGATACAACCCCTTGTAAATCTAAAAATGTTTGGCTGTATCCAACAAAGTTGTCCCATTGGCACAGGGATTCTACTTGCACAATGAAACTACCCCTCTCTTCCCCCATGCACCCCAAAATCTGCTTTGCGGGTTCTCCTAACCCTCCAGAGCAGATTTTCAGGAGCATGGTGAGAAAAGAGGAAGTTCTGTTGTACAAAAGGCGGAGTAAAAGCCTCTGCAGGGTCAACTACACCAGCACTGAGAATGTGCTGGCAAAGCAGCACCCAGCAGGACTGAAGACAGCATCTTCTTAGAACCCTAATTAAACATTGGGGCTGGCTCCATAATCTAGGGCCTGGTTCTGGATCAGGTCAGCCCCAGAACAACCTGCAGCTGATCTAGCGCCAGATCAGATGAGGGGGAGGTGTGCACAGCCCTAATTAAAAAGAAGCACCCATTATTCTTCAAGTAGTCACCTAAAACTCGATATCGGGGTACTCAGCCACTGGATAAATGACTGAATATGCTAAGTACTTTGACCATTTAAAAGACATGCTGCAAGTATTATACTTTATCTTGTTTATGCTAGATTTTATGTGCAACACATTATCTGTACAACCAAGAAACAAAGATTCTCCCACCTCCTCTTTTAAGTGGTACATACAGTCCAGCAAGAAACTGCATTAAGGTTCTGTAAATTGCATATGTTATTAGAGCCAAACTCTGCATTCTGTTCACTCCATGAGAGCAGGCTGGCTCTGCATGTTAAAAATTCTGAAGGCTCCCATACCCAAAGGCAGAGTGACTTGGAGAGAGGTTCAGCTACACCCACAGGATTGCAGGAGCCACCGGCTGCCTTTCTCCATCAGTTGCTTATCTCTGCTTAGCAGCTACTTTGCCCTAAGGCCGAAGAACTGGGAAGGAGAAGAGGCAAATTTAGTCACTAAGGGTCAAAGAACACCTATGCTAGAGACTGCCTGCTGCCTAAAATTACCGGAAGAAACTAGCAGATAGTTGCCTGTACAAAGCATTATCTCAGGCTACTTTTAAAATTGACCATGTTCTGTTTTGGACACAGATTTATTCTAACATCACTGGTAAGAGTGTCAACATAGGAATACTTGAAGGAAAATGATGGTCCTTACCTTTCTTATCAGTGTATTCGGTAGCTTTCTAACCTTTTCCACTTGTTCAGGATTAATGCCCAATTCATGGCAACTCACTCTGAGCAAATCTTGGTAAGTCAGTTCTTGTCTGTCCAGTTCAATTTCAATGAAGTCATTCTCTTTAGGGTTCTGAACTCTTACTTTAAGTACCAGTTCTATATGTGGAGAGGAAAGAGTATTTTGAAGTTAAATCATCGCCAAAATGCAGAGAAACGGAAATGACAGCCACAAACCCAAATATATATCCTTGGAAATATACCCTACAAATGTTAACAGATGTTTACTAGACCACAGCCTTTATCATTTGTATTTGCTCTTTGTTTGCACAGACTCAAGAGAATCCAGTGTAAGTCAGTAGCAGCAAACTCCCAGTGTAAAGCAGTGGGGCTCTGTCATGAACTCTGCTGTGTTGTGTGGCCACAGATTCTCAGATACATGCATAAGTAATGACTGAATAATAAAGTTGAGAAGTTTAAGGTTGAGAAGAGAACAAACACGAAGAACAACAAGCTATGGCAATGTTGCTACAGGCAACTGTAGCAAAAAAGTCTACCAGTATGCACACACATGCACTGCAGACAAACAGCCCCGGTCCAATAAAATTACTCAAGGAGCTCAGTAAGTGTAGAGTACAATGAAGAAGCAAGTGGAGTGGAGGGCTGTGACAGCTGTATAAAGCTATTAAGGGACTAAAGATGGAAAAGTGATTCACAGGCTACTGCCACAAAGAGATGAGCTCTTCAGCTGTCCACCTTGTCTTCTTACCCATCTCATTCTCTTGCTTAGTAGTGGCTGCTGGGTCTTCACACTGATATTTCCAGCATCTGATTAGTGCCAAGTGTACTTTAAACAAAATATCTGCATCTGCAGATTTAATGAAACCCTAAAGTTAATGATTCTCTACACTTAAGCAATTAAATGTGAAAGCTGATCAGCTTTTTCATGCATAGAGGATAGGCGTGATTTAGTTTTATGGTTGAAGCTAAGTAGGTGGAAGACGGCATAGGCTCCACGTATAAGTTGCTCTGGGCTCAGAAGAAGAGCAGGGCACAAATGAAACATCATAAATAATGCCTCAATCCTAATTTTATATGTGCTAGAGTTAACCATCAAAAGCAGATTAACGTACTGCTTTGAAATGTTACATTCCAACAATTAAGCCAGTGCAAGTCTCATTCTTGACACCTGCACACCAATCTGAAGTCTGGGCACATGTTTTTCAGTAGCAGTTGTGTAGTTTGGAAGAGCTGCCCATTTCCTTCATTGCAATGTCACCGTTTCCTTCAACCCATTGCACTCCAACCAACAATTCTGCTATTATTCCAGGAAGATTTCCAAATAACTGAGATACAACTACTACTTCCTCAAAAGTTCATTTCCCTCGTGAACACTGATCTGTGACAACCTATGATCATATTACACAGAAGCATGACGACACAAAACTGATCCCAGTCATGTGGCATTTAAGAGAAAATGCCCTATCTTGACAAAGCTCTACCAACTCTTTAAGGAAAGAAAAAGAAGAAAAGGTTCTTAAAGCAGATATGAAGCACTAAAGGTAGTTACTGTCTACTGGAGACACATGCACTGTCTCCAGCTATGCAGTAAAAGCATTACAATGGAAAAATATTCTTCAGTACCTTGCATATTATATGAAAAAGTTCCTGTGAGAAGCAGCGGCTGTAAGGGTGGTGCAGTGCCCATACAGCAGCCATTTGCTTGCTGAGGTACATGTTGTCTAGGTACAGTTGAGGTCAAGAGAGCTCTGTTGTGAGATGTAGATGAGGGATAAACAGGGCAGCTCTGGACTCGAGGCATTGTGCATTCTGATACTCCTGAGCTGATGGGAGAAGGAAGCTCCCCTTCGTGCAGGTCTTCAGAAAGTTCAGTTTCAGCGTGCAAGGAAATGGGTGTGCAAGTATTTTCAAGCTGAGTGGCTGATAAACAAGGGCTAGGTTCACTCTCAGATAAATAAGAGACGGCAGTGCTGTTGTCCTCAGGTGGTGCTAAGAGATGAGGGGCATTGTCCTTTTCTTGATAGTCAACACAAGGGAATGACGGGTTTGTCGGAGAGTCTCCAGCATTTGACAGCTTTAAGTTATTCACTTCTTGATTGTCACATTCTTCCACTTCAACGTGGGCGGGGTGGGAAGGAAAAATAGAATCTTTTAATAATTTAATCCATTTTAAATAATGGCAAGCAGAATTCTAATGCCACCCAGAACATCTGCCAAATACATATATTTAAAATCATAAACGGCTAGTTTTTAGCTAAAAGAAAGCAAACTTATTTCAGAGTAGAATTAAGTATGGCAAAAAAATATAGAATCAATCCAGAGAGTTGGATTAGCAAATCTTTGGTTCATGGAAGAAACATTCTGCAGAAATTTTATTTACTTATTGGAATTGGTAAGTGAAAAGATGTGTGCACACATACAGGCCAAAGCTGCATTGCTGAAGAAACACTCTTTAATCTGTAACTCAGCTTTAATTTGATGTTCTGGGAGGCTATACTTTTCTGGAGTGTATTGGAGAAGGAACATTTTTAGGTTCCCAGTGTACTCTGCTTGACCACCTGTCCAAATTCCTAGAAGCCACCATGACCAAAGGAATGGAATCTAAGTATTACAGAATCTGACTGGCACAACAGCTCTCTCATTTAATTGAACAGCTTGTGCAAAACAATTTATTTTAAAATTATTCTGATCCTATGTACAGTTACTCAGAAAGAAGTCCAAAAAAGGACAAGGGGATCACTCCAAACTCCTATATCAGCCAGCTCCCCAATTACAGTCAGGTCAGTAAACTCTGGTCATAATTCTACCTTTGTTTTAGATGAGGCAAGCAGTAAGGAGCAAAGCTTTCACTGCCATAGCTCTCAGGCTTTGGGATGCCCTGCCTAAGGTACAGAGCAAGTCTTTGTTGTTGCTGGGATTTCCCAGAGGATGAAAAACTTGTTTTGTTCCCTGACTTTAGCTGATGTGACTAGTTCTGTTTTACATTTAAAGCTGTTTTAATTTCTGTGACATTAAAATTGTTGTTAACATCTTTAAGCCTCATAGGAAAACGGCCTATAAAAGCTTAAAACAAATAAAATTAAAACTGCAGCCTCAGTTTCTCTAGCCCACAAACAGCCTCACACAATATTCTGCCTGTAACTATAGCAGCGGTTCTCACACTGTGTTCCTAGGAAGTCTTGTCTTCCTTGGGAGCTTATCAGGGACTGATGAAAAGATCAGAGATGGCAGATAACTTGTCTGAAAAATGCAGTGCATCTAATACATTACATTAGTTCATAGTATATTTTTGGAAAGACAAATTCAGTATGTCGAGTATACCTCCCAGAAGCTTTCTGATTTCTTTCTTTGAAGTCAAATGTGCTGCCAGCTCTCCATTAACTGTGAAAATCTCCTTATCTGCTCGAGAATCCAGCAGGTAAGAAACCACTTGGGTATGATTCCTCTTGCAAGCCCAGTGCAAACATGTCCTGTAAAAGTCAAACATATTTGTTAGCAAGCATTTGTAAAGTTATTATTCTGAAAGTCACTGTTTTGTGTCATTAAATGTCTGCATGATGTGTACCATCAGAGCTGTTAAAAAAAATGCTCAAATTTGTCAGAGATGAAACCTTGTCTATTGATCCAGACAAAGTTAGTTGTACTTATTTTCCACATACCTCAATATAATTCAAGTCATGACCAATTTCTTCCATTGATTACAATGGGACCTAAGTTCAACTAAAACCTAGTCTGAATCCAATCTAATATGTTACTACTATGCAAGAATGAAAGCTTTGTGACCAGGCTGAGGTTTATTTTCTGTTGTAAATCAACAGGCCCAATTTAACTGTGCAGTCAAAGCTTGCTTATTGAGCTAGCATTCAACACTATAAGCTGGAGAGGGAAAGAATAATGTTTAAGCTAAATGACAGTTAATGTTTAAGCTAACTGATGCTCATAAAGGTACAGTTGTCCTTGATGCACATACATGCTTCTTTTGTTTCATTGGTTTCATTTGCACATCACAGGAAAAGCAACCTGAAGGGTTTGCACCCATGGCACTTGCTCAAAATTCCAAGGCCCAAAAGTATTGTCTGTTTTCAGTATCAAATTCAACCCCAGTATCTCTGGGGGTCATTTTTGTCAAGACCCTTTGCAAACAATAAAGCAGGCACAAGAGTATTGCAGCCAAGAAGAAGGCTACATGCCTAAAGGCAGTAGCAGCCAGTGGAGTGTATGGCATTGTGCAGGTGCAACAGTGGAGCCAATGCAACCCTCCCAACACTTTGCCCCTTCATTCTCGGTTACTGGTAGTGATCACCATGTTGGGAAGCCAGGAGAGGAACACACCTCGCACTCTGCCCCTATCGGGCTCTGCTAAATATCACACACACGTTCTCTCCCTTTGTAGTGGAACAAATATTAGCCATATGTACTATATGCTACCATCTCATGCCTGGGTGTTACTGCAGCAGTACAATCTCCAGTCCTGAGCTGAACATTGGGAGGGAGGGGGCAGGAAGACTGCTGCCTGCCAACTTGACAATGATCTTACTAAACTTATAAAGCAAATGAATTGTACAGCACCAATTAACTGCATCGGAAGGGCATTTTCTAAGCCATATTCACAATTCTAATATTGCAGTGACGGTCATAATTATAAGACTAATATGTTGCCAGACCACAAGCCCTGAATATGAATGCACTGAAGGACCCAATTGCAATTTTAATGCAATTTTAAGACCCACTCATGGCAACAGTATAGGATTCAGAGAGCAAAACAAAGGCATGCAAACTACTTCAATGACCAAATTACTGTAAAAAGCTACTGCTTTCAATCACACAGATTGAAAAATCTGAAACCACACACTTTTAAGCTGCCTCTGCTTACACTCACACAATCATATAGAGGTAATCATGAAGACACACGTCACATAAATCCTGGTGCTCACTGGATGTGATTTAATAAGAGAGGAACTGTAGCTCAGGGGTAAATGGTATACTTTGCATGCAGAAAGTCTCAAGTTCACAGGAACAGAAGAGCCCTGCTGAATGTAGCAGGAACCCCCCACCCCAATCATTGAGTTTGTACAAACTTCACACACTCACACTCACACACTACATATGCCACACTTCTGTTATAAATTCATAGAAAAATCAACCATACATCGGATTTGCACTGTTCCATTTTTATTTTACTCCATATGACAAGGACTATCAAAGGGGGGTGGCTTGGTTCTGGTCAGCCATAATCCCTTCACCATCCCAGCACATCCACAGGAGCCCTGCCCAGTTGCTATGCCAACCCTGATGGTCCTAGACAGAAGACCATCAAGATCACAAAGAACTTGCATATGGGAGTGGATTCAGCATGGACTGAAACAAAGGACAATGATCAGATCTTCCTCTGGGGGCAGGAAACTGCCAACTCCCCTTTGTCTCCTGGAAGTGACTCATGGGGAGGGGGAAAGGAGGAACCAGCCAGGTGACAGGACACTCAGGTTACCACCACAACTCCTCCCTCAACCCCTCCTTTCTGTAATGTATGCATGATGTTTCTTGGGGTGGGCTTGACCTAGAGGATGGGAATTTCAAAAGTTTTTATAAGGTCTTGCACACCATCTTTCTGGGTCTTTCCTCTCCGCAAGTGAGGGGAACACCCTGTTGCAACAGTTCAATAAAGGCCAAGCCTACAGGCTGCTGTTTTGCTCCAAGTTATCCTGGTTGGTGTCTTTATTTTGTCCAAGGGAGCCCTCGGATTTTTCCGGTAACAGTTTCAGACCAAAAGCCCACCTAGTCCGACATCCTGTTCCCAGACTGGCGGGACAGAAACCTATGAGAAGCCCACATGAGCATAACAGCACTTTTCCCATTTGTGTTCCTCAGCAATGGCGTTCATACTGCCTTCAGTACTGGAGACAGTACAGAGCCATCATGACTAGTATCTGATAGCTTTATCCTCCATGAATTTGTCTCACCCCCTTTTGAAGTCATCCAAGTTGGCAATCATCACTACATTCTGCAGCAGCAAATTCTACTACGTTTAACTATGTACTGTGTCTGTTCTGTTCAATTCTTTGCTTAGGCAGAGGTGTCTAAGACTCTATTCCAACTGGCAGTGGCTCTCTAGACAATATTGGACTAGATCCAGTGGTAGCTCTTTGTATATTGTGGGTCTGTAACTCTCATCAATCCCAGCCAGCAGGGCCAAAAGGCAGGGACAGCAGGAGCTGTAGTCCAGCAACGTCTGGAGAACCACAGATTAGACATACTGGGGCTGTATAGCCCAGTGCTGTCTCTTGTGTAAAGCTTCTTCATGTGCAAGGTTTTCTGAGAACATTAGTGATGTGTTCAGATTTGGGGAGTTTTCATGGGAACAGTACAGGCACTCTCCCTACAAGGGCGTCCACAGACTCATTCCTATGCAACAGGGGTTCCCATTTGCTCAAAGCCTGTAAGAATTCTCCCATACAAGAATTTGCATTAGAAAATAATAGAAGCTGTGCTTGATCCTTTGGGGAGAACACGGGATTTTGTCATCTGCTTTCTGTTCTCTGTGACCTGAATAACACAATGGCTAAGAGCCAAACTGCACAACTACATGTTATGCAGGGGATTTTCGACTAATAATTCAAGTGCATGTGTGTCTGGATCAGAACAGTGGCACTGGGCAAGAGTTTTACTTGAACCTCTCCCCTCACACCAATTCCCCAAGCTAATAAACCCCTTGTCCTTTAGGGGACTAGCACTGCTGCTCTGATCAAATTAACTCCTCCCTTTCAATCACAATGGCTCATCCTAGAAGTGAAAATCAACGTGCTGGAAGATTCATCACAGTTCTCCTCAGTAAACTGAAGGCTGGCTCTCAGAGTGAGAGCTCGGGAGTCTCCAAATCTCAACCCCAACAACGTTTATCTCATTTTGAGCAGCACTTAGTCATAGGTTCGCTATAAATAATAAATATTATTAAATGTCTGCAATTATGGGAAAACGGTGATCCTGACCTGCCTTGTAGGGCTAAAGCCGCTTGAACAGGAACACACACACACACACACACACACACACACACACACACCTGGATGTTATTAGGAAAGGTTTGTGACTGATGGCTGGCAAATGTGTGATTTGTTCATATTGGCTCTATTTTTCCAGGAGTCTCTAGAACCAAAGCCTGAAAGGAATTTCTGCTTAGAATTTCATAACCAGGCAGCCCACTAATCAGGATGAAGCACTGACATCTGACCCATCTATTCTTGTCAGATGCTGGTGAGATTTTGCCCACCCCCACCCCCGTGGGGAGCGTTTCTGTAACTTGCCTTTAAGATGAACTCCCAGTAAACACGCATTTCAGAGCCGGGGGGGGGCACGGGAACACACAGGGGGGGAAGATGCTCTTGGACACGGGCACAGAGGGTACACATTCGCTGAAGTTGCATTTGCGTGCAACGTGTTGCTGGCGGTTGCCTCACCATATATAGCCTCGAAAGGGGTGGAAGGAAGTGTATTAGCGACGAGGACTGCTGCCCTACTGCTAACCACGGGAATGAGGAGCACAGCGCGGAGGGGCTGAGGGAGGAGAGAAAAGCAGAGGCGCCTTACCAGCCATTGATCTCATTCTGGGCATTCACCTCCACCCCCTTGTCGAGCAGCGTCTGCACCTCCTCTAGGTCGCCTAGTGCAGCAGCTTCCCTGAGCCTCTCCTCCAGCTCCAGGTGGCTGCTCATCCTCTCTCTGCCCCCCCTTCCCCTTCCTGGGGGGCTGACCCAGAAGTGCCCCTTGCACCCCACTTGCAAGGATCTCTCGCTCCGGGAGCGGGAATTCCTGCTGCTGCTGCTGCTGCTGCCGCCGCTGCCGCTGGAGCAGCTCCTCCTTGCCCAGCTCCCTCTCGTCTGCGGGACTCTATTCTCAGTGACACACCAGGCAGAAGCCTCTGGTTCCTACGTGCCCAGGCAGAGCTGGGCCGGTCGAAAGTGGGCTGGGGAAAGAGCGGGGAGAAATCCCTCCGAAGGTGTCAGGGGGCCTGTCCGCATCGCACCCGCAGGCGAGGGATTCAGGAGCGAGCAGGGAGGGCAGCCGCCTCTTAGAACGCGCTCGGATTAGTGATGCTGAGCCCCGTTCCCCTGGCAACGAAGGAATTCTGAGGGATGATGTGTACCAGGAGGAGCCTCAGCCGCGGCCAGAGCCCAAATGCTTCTAACAACAGCAACAAATTACAACACAGGGGTTTGAACAATGCGCAGGAGCTCCTCTTGAAGTGGCTTTTCTAAGGTTGTTTCTGAAGGCTTGTGCAGAACCTTGCCATAGCCAACTGATTTTAATTATCCTGGTTTTTGTTGTTGTTGTTATAATAATAATATAATAAAATTTTATTTATATCCCGCCCTCCCCAGCCGAAGCCGGGCTCAGAGTGGCTAACAACAAAAAAAGTAAATACAATTTACATAAAATTGTTTTTTAAAGGGCAATGAGTGGGTAAAAAAGCATTTCTAAGGAAAGCAATTCCTCACAAACCACTTGCTGAAAGCATGAGATGAACGCGTCACATGCCAGTGACCTGCCTCCTTATTTACACGCTTGGAAGAGAAACCTGGGGCCACGATTTGGACCACAATTCAGTGAGCCTTGCCATACTTAAGAATTGTAGAATTGCGAAGTTGGAAGGGACACCCCCACAAGGGTTATCTAGTCCAACCCCCTGCAATGCAGGAATCTTAAACAGACCACTGATTTAAATCCGATTTATATCCAACTGTATATGCTTAAGACTGCATCCCCAAGGAACCTAATTGTACAAATTGTAGCAGTGCATTTCAACCCCTAATACATGTTTACGTGGAAGCAAGTCTCATTGTCTTATGGGAGTACATGTGCACAGGGATTGCAGGTTTGGACAATAATATGAAGACGTCAGTGAATCTCTGGGAAAAAGGACACCCATTAACTTCAGTGAGTCCGAAAACATTCCATAATATACAACAATATAAAATAATAGACATATAAAAGTCCAGCGACCAAACACACACACACACCCAAGGGTGTAGAAGACAATTGCGAAGGTTTTTCCACTTCAAGCGATGAAACAAAAATGGTTGAATGTTTTGGAAAATGTGAGCAGCAAAAAATAAAATAAAACCCAGAAGCGGTCAGAAACTGCATTATTGAATTGTTTTTAGTTAATTTGCCATTGGCAGGAAATGGGATGGAAGGGGATGAGATGGATGTTGTTGCTAAATTACGGCTATGTTAAATCTTGGATTTCTCCACTGTTTTCTATGGCCAGTTCTCCAACCTGGGGTCAAACAAAAAGTTCTAAAGGAATCAGAAGTTTGTCAAATTGTGTGAGCCTATCAGTTTAGGCTATAGGCAAAAGCGGTTAAGGCATGGAAGACCAAATGGGGTGGGGTGGGGAACAGAAGTGGGGTTTTTCCTTCTGTTCTCATTTGTGAATAACAGTTGAATCTTTTCTCTGCTCACACACAGAGAACGAGAACAACGCCATATTTATTTCTAGTTTGTTTTATGTATGGTTTGTCTTTAAAACAAGGGCTACCTTTGAAGGTGACCCGGAAACTGCAATTAATCCAGAATGCGGCAGCTAGACTGGTGACTGGGAGTGGTCGCCGGGACCACATAACACCGGTTCTGAGAGATCTGCATTGGCTCCCAGTACGTTTCCAAGCACAATTCAAAGTGTTGGTGCTGACCTTTAAAGCCCTAAACGGCCTCGGTCCAGTATACCTGAAGGAGCGTCTCCACCCCCATCGTTCTACCCGGACACTGAGGTCCAGCGCCGAGGGCCTTCTGGCGGTTCCCTCATTGCGAGAAGTGAGGTTACAGGGAACCAGACAGAGGGCCTTCTCGGTAGTGGCACCCACCCTGTGGAACACCCTCCCTTCAGATGTGAAGGAAATAAGCAGCTATCCTATCTTTAAAAGACATCTGAAGGCAGCCCTGTTCAGGGAAGTTTTTAATATTTAACGCTGTACTGTTTTTAACACTTGATTGGGAGCCGCCCAGAGTGGCTGGGGAAGCTCAGCCAGATGGGCGGGGTATAAATAATAAATTATTATTATTATTATTATTATTATTATTATTATTACAAAATAAAGAGAGTTTAAAGGGAGGAATGGAAGGCTGGCTGAGAGCAGTTAAGACATGGAATGCTGGGAGTGAAAGGAAAATGAGGGGACAGAGGAAGAGAGGAAAATGGCCTGTTCATATCCCTAACACCTTCTAGTTAGTTCCTGGAAGTGGGGATTAGGGTTGTGTGAGGATGTGTGACATGGATTTTCCTTTTTTAAAAAACCTGCAATTTCTGTTCCAAATCGGAACATTTTACAAGAAAAAGAAAGGAAACTTCTCTTTCCCAGCCAGTCCCCACTACCACGACACAACTACTGTATATAGCAATAACATACTCAGATTTGTGACTGGCCAGCCTCAAAACTGAACCTTCTATGTTTTTGGTAAGGTATTTATGTAACCTAGAACAGCAGGGAAAGGGCAGGGAAGTATCCTTTCTCCCTCCTGACCTTACAACCACCCCAGGCCCAGGACTAAACAAAAACAGTCCCAGGCTAGCTTAGGGGGTGCAGATACCCTGCAACATTTGTCTTAGGTAACATAGAATACAGATACATAATGATAATATACTTTCTGGATTAAACAGTGATGAAGTAGCCTTTCCCAGCACTTTGGAAGGAGCAATGAGACTTTTAGAATAAGCCTTCACTGAATAATAATAGAAAGATGCCTTCAATGTGCACGCAATCTCTGTAGGACAAGGTTCTGTTTGTAGTGCTAACATTGCTCTGTAATGTGCTACAAACAGTGGCGGTGCTATAAAAATATCTGAAACTACAACAGAGCAGTGATGCTGTCATTCTAGGTGAGGTATGTGTGAAAAAAATGCTTGTTTTCCAAAGCTATATGAAGGGATTGCAATGTGCAAGTCTCCCTCTCTCTCAAGCCACTAGAGGTCACAAGAGAACAATAAAAAAAGATTTCAAACCACCCATCTTGCTATTTCACCAAAAGCTGCTTTTTTACACTTATTTACATAAGTGTTTTGGGTGGGGGTGCACTCCTAAACAATTTATAAATGTATTGTACGACCTGTTATAATATGATGGTACAAACTTATTAGTTCAAATCCTGTTCAATTATTTTAAGATATCAGACTGTTTAATATTTGAGGAGAGCAGTATTTTTAGTGGTTGATGATGAATTACTGCGATTCTTTCTTAAAGCCGCATCACCCTTGTTTGTATCTTTCAAGTTTTGAATATAATTTTAAAAATAAATTGCAATGCCATATATTTTAAATTCGCATTTATATCTCGTCAGGAGTCAAAATGTTGGTGTATGAATAGGGTTGCATTAGGCCTCCTCCTGTGACCTTACCTGCAACTTGACCTGAGACACTAAAAATCAGAAGGTGGAACTTTCCCTGCCACCCATCTCTGTACCAGGAAAACACCTGGTGATAATGAAATGAAAGGCCCATAAAAATGTGGCCAACTGAATATATCTGATATCGTCCAGCAACAAAATATTGATGAGGATTTCTAATTTTGCTCCCAGATCCATTTTGAAAACCTGAACGTAAAAAGTACCGTATTTTTCGCCCTATAGGACGCACTTTTCCCCCTCCAAAAATGAAGGGGAAATGTCTGTGCGTCCTATGGGGCGAATGCAGGCTTTCGCTGAAGCCTGGAGAGCGAGAGGGGTCGGTGTGCACCGACCCCTCTCGCTTTCCAGGCTTCAGGAAGCTATCCGCAAGCCTCGCGCGCCCGGCGGGAGGTCCCGCCGGGCTCGCAAGGCTTGCGGGCAGCAGCCTGCAGCCCAAAGCATGGGGCGCGCTGCGGAGCATGCCCCATGCTTCGGGCAGATGTCCGCAAGCCTCGCGCGCCCGGTGGGAAGTCCCGCCGGGCTCACAAGGCTTGCAGGCAGCAGCCTGTTCTTGGGGGCTAGGGTCGGGGGAAGCTCGGGCTTCCCCTGCGCCAGCCCCGCGCCTGGGGGGGAAATAATTTTTTTTCTTTATTTCCCCCCCCCAAAAAAAAATCTAGGTGCGTCCTATGGGACGAAAAATACAGTACTCACCATTTTTATTTAAAGGATTTTTAAGTATTTAAGTACTGAAATTGTTGCTGTTGTTTAATCCTAGGAGTGCTAGACTATTGTATTATGAATCTTTATCCATCTCCACCAGCATATTTTGGGCCTTCATCACAGACTTGTGATCATTCCTGTGGTGGTGGTGTTGGTGTTGTTGTTGTTGTTGTTGTTGTTGTTGTTGTTGTTTTCCATTTTAACTCTCATCTGTGTTTATGCTGCTTTTAAATAAAAACAGACAGCATTTACTCCCAGAGTAACTATTCTGATCTGATAATATGTTCCCTTTTTGGCTCCTCTTGCATCTTGCCTACAATCACAGCTGTCTGAACTCTTTTTGTCGCTGAGCCACACATGCTCTCACATCACTCAAGCCGTATCATTTTGACAGGGGGACGGAGGCAGAATTGTCACTTCTCTGGGTATCTCCTTGACTATACTTCTCCAGTGTTTTTTTTCCCCTTTGCCCAAATCATTTGCCTGTGAACTCCTTACTTCCCTTTTTCCTCGGCAGATGACTTTCTTATCGGAGAATGCTATCTATGAAAGCCTACTACATCTAGATGCAGGATCTCTTCTGTGGCGATGGCTACCTTGAACCAGACCATTAGAGAGCTCAGTATTGTCTGCACTGACCGCCAGCGTATCTTCTGGGTGTCGGAGAGGAATCAATTTCCAGCCCTGCCTGGAGAGGATGGAAACTGAACCTTCGACATGCACAGCTAAGGCTCTTCTCGCCCACCTGTCATCAAATGAGTCACTAAAATATACAGGTGTGGACCCCGCCCCCCAGCAATACACATATTATCTGAAGGAGCACAATACCTTTGAGGTTCACTTTCAGCACTGTTAATTACAGTTTTTTTCTTAGGCAGTACAATTTTCCCGCTCACATAAGTCAGTGTGGGAGAGGATTAGTGGAGTGTTTATTTGACTTCAGGCGGCTGGCTGCCACTCCTGTGCTACTCACTCCTGAGCCTTGATCCTCTAAATGACCCAATATTCTTAAAAACCAGAACTCACAGTACATTCCACAAGTAAGCGTGCCGTATCACGAGATGTTTGTTTCTTTTTTTGTGAGCCTCTTCCCTCCCGCCTCCTTTTTCCCCCCTGGTCAGTATTCAGTTAAGCTCTCAGCCTTATTCTCTAAAGTATTTGCTCCTTACACAGCTCTTTCTTCTAAATGCAATTTATCCATGTGTGCGCTAAACAAACATTGCATCTGCCTTGAATGTGGAATTCAATTTGCCAACCTCCGTCAATCTAAGGTAAAGTCATCAACAGTTCAAAATGCTCTTTCCAGGTATTATCGGCTGCTATGTCACACACCAAAATGAAGATCTACTGGCACGACTATTACGCTAACAAAAAATTGCTGGACCTCAAACATTTGGGATTGTCATTATTATTATATAACACCTCAAAAGCTAGGTGGTATAGAAAATAATTTTATAAAATAAGTAGCAGATTCCCAGTTGCGTAGATATTTCCTCCACCTGTGTGATATGGGTGCTTGAGGGTTGTTTGTTGAACAGCCAAGGGAAGCTGCAATGTGACCAGAAGGTTATAAGAAGGGCATTGTAGAATAGTGGTTAGAGTGTTGGACTTGAACAAGGTTGACTGGTTTCAATTTCCCAGTAAGCCATGAAGCTTACTAGCTGTCATCAGGTCAGTTTCCTAAAGTATCTCACAAGTTGGTTGTGAGAATAAAGAGAGGGAGGACTATGTACATTCACCAGAGCTTCTTGGAGGAAGGACAAAATAAAAATCTCAAAGACTGCAGCATAGCAAATAACGTCTAACTCTTTCCCCCTAGAATCTGCTTTCATTTTGCCCTGATGGGGGAAAAATATGGATATACCCATATTTGAAGGGCAAAGGCAGAGTTTGGAGGGATTTTAACAAGGAAAAAAAGAGATTTCAAGCAAGAGTTAAGCCACACTCGCCTCCCAATGATCTTTTGCTCCTGATTGCAGCTTACTGCAGCTGCTTTGGGTAAAACAACAACAACAACAAAAACCTCAGGGAGAACATTGATGTGACTGAGCATCCAGTTTGACCCCAAGTCTAAAGAAAGAGGAAGACCGGCTGACAATACAGCACACCAAGAAAAGAAAATAACAGCTAAAATGTGATGATGCAAAGCCCTTGCTGTTTAAAAAAACAAGCTTATTGGAAAGGAAATGTCCCTTGTGTCTGTTGTTATAGCAAATGCACTATCCCAAATCGCTGCCCGTTGACATGACTATGTCGGAATTGGAGGCACGAGCATGCAAAATGATCAGGAGGGGCCAGCTCCCAAATCAAGAAAACAGACCTGGATTGCTTCCACGCTAGAGCCCTTTAGTGCTGCCAGGGCATTGCTTTCCCACAATTAGCTGGAAGCAGAAATAAAACGAAGGTCTTACGCAAGCAATATAGGGTTATTATCCCCTCCCCGTAGCCATGATTCTCCTATAACATAAGCTACACTAATTACAAGAGTCATGCCTATGTAATTAAAGGGTTTGGCTGGCTAGGTGCTCTTTGGTTCTGTATGCCCCAACCCCCTTCCCCACTCTCCCATTAGTAGGCCCCCTGATATCATTTAAAATAAAATGTGTATCCTGCTTTTCTGTCTGCGAACAAACACTGAAAACAGCTTGCAATACACCATTAAAAACAAATCAACCAAAAACTAGAAGCCTATAAAAGGAGACAGGAACAGCAGCTCAGCCTTCACTATAAATTCCAGGACATAAACCCCCACAGGCCAAATGCCTGTTGAAATAAGCGGATCTTCATGGGTTGGGGGTGGGGGTGAAAAACCACCAAGAAGTGGCTAAGAGAGAGCCATAACGTTAGTGTGGTTACAAAGAAGGTACTCTCTCATGTCCCCTCCAGTTACACTTCCAAGGCACCATACCCATAACGCATGGTGGGAGCTTATGTGGCTTGTGGGCTTTGTGGTCAGCACAGACTCCTAGAGGTAAAAGCACCACCCACTTCCTCTGTGTGACAAACACAAGCAGCTGCCACGTGTGGAGGAAAGGAAAGTGGTTAAGGTCTGAGCCATCAGAGTTTCCTTATTATACTGTAAGGGAAAGCAGGAGGGAATCACTCTGTGGTTATGAGTATTTTGAGTGCACTGACACCTTGGGGGAGCAACAAAAGGTGTTGAGAAGTCCTAGTCTGAACTATGGGCTCCCCTTCTCTGGCGAGGCAACATGGCAAGCATTTCTCCTTCCAGGAGAGGAGCTGAGATTGCTGGTGGGTGTTTGTGTCTAGAGTTCTGCAGAAGAGTGTGTGAAAGGATTTGAGGAGAAGATGTGCTATTCGTCTGCCCTTCTGATTTTGTTTTCGGCCTGACTAAGTGCAAAGTGCTCAATTTCCACAGAGTGTCTTTTCGCCAAGCTCCCTCACAATTCTGCAGGCATGTTGGGAGTGACATAGCCCACTGGCATGCGTCTTAATATGTGATCTGGACTTAGCTACTTCAGGTGCTATACTGTGATTGACTCTGTGGTTCATTGGAACACGTTTGCGGTGGCAGGAGCAGGCAGTTGTCTGGGGTTCCCCATGAGTGCTTTGATGTACACTATCTCTTTTGCTGGTATAACACTGTGCTATTACTCAGGCCAGAAAACACCTCCATCCTCTTTGCCCTGGTGGTGTTGCACTTTTGGTACATTTCGCAAATGCTATGCTAGCACAGTTTCATTGCTACACAACGTAAGTTCTCCTTCTGCCAGAACAGTTGAATCAAGCAGTAGTGACTCTCATCCAAGCAGGCATAAGACAAGGAAAACCCGATTGCCATTTGTTCCAATTCAGCAGTAAAGAATCATAGAATTGTGGAGTTGGAAGGGATCCCAAAGGTCATTTGGTCCCACCCTGGGCAATGAGGGAATCTCAACTAAAGCATCCAAGACAGATGGCCATCCAACCTCTTAAAAACCTCCAAGGAAGGAGAGTCCACAACTTCCAGAGGAAGAGTGGGTTTTCTCTGAGGAAAAGCAGCAGGGCCCTTGGGTGAGCCCTTGGAGTGGGACAGCACTTGCAGTGTGTGCAAGCCTGGATGGGAAACCATCAATAGTAGCTTTATGTGGTCACTGTATGCATGACCATTTAGCGCTGCAGAAATAGTGTATGTATGGCCGAGGACAAACACTTATTCTACCACGGAGTGCTTTACCCTGATCAAGACTAGCCCGGGCCCAAAACAGGTCCTGCTTGTGGTTGTCCCATGATCAATAAAACCTTGTGTATTCACTAACTGTGTAGCAGATATGCACCAGTGTGACAGATGGGATGCAAGCCGATGTAGTTGGGATTCAGGCCTCATCATGGGACTGAAACTGCCTTGGTTGCACTAGTCGATGATTTCCAGCGGGCTAGGGACAAAGGTGAGAGCTGTTTCCTAGTTCTGCTGGATCTCTCAGCGGCTTTTGACATCATCAACCATAACATCCTTCTGGACCATCTAGAGGGGCTGGGATCTGGGGGCACTGTCATACAGTGGTTGCGCTCCTTCCTCCTGGGCTGTGTTCAGAAAGTGGTGGGGGGGATGAGTGTTCAGACCCCTGGGCTCTCACTTGTGGGGTGTCTCAGGGTTCTGTCCTCTCTCCATGCTTTTCAACATCTACATGCAGCCGCTGGGAGAGATCATCAGGGGGTTTGGGCTGGGTGTTTATCAGTATGCGGATGATACCCAGCTCTACCTCTCTTTCAAATCGGAACCAGTGAAGGCGGTGAAGGTCCTGTGTGAGTGTCTGGAGGCGGTTGGAGGATGGATGGCGGCTAACATGTTAAGGTTGAATCCTGACAAGACAGAAGTATTGCTTTGGGGGACAGGGGGCAGGCAGGTGTGGGGTACTCCCTGGTCCCAAATGGGACAACTGTGCTCCTGAAGGACCAGGTGCACAGCCTGGGAGCCATTTTGGACTCACAGCTGTCCATGGAGGCACAGGTCAATACTGTGTCCAGGGCAGCTGTTTACCAGCTCCATCTGGTACGCAGGCTGAGACCCTATCTGCCTGCGGACTGCCTCGCCAGAGTGGTGCATGCTCTGGTTATCTCTTGCTTGGACTACTGCAATGCACTCTATGTGGTCACCTTTGAAGGTGACCCGGAAACTACAACTAATCCAGAATGCGGCAGCTAGACCGGTGAGTGGGAGCGGCTGCTGAGACCACATAACACCGGTCTTGAAAGACCTACATTGGCTCCCAGTACGTTTCCGAGCACAATTCAAAGTGTTGGTGCTGACCTTCAAAGCCCTAAACGGCCTTGGCCCAGTATATCTGAAGAAGCATCTCCACCCCCATCATTCTGCCCGGACACTGAGGTCCAGCGCCGAGGGCCTTCTGGCGGTTCCCTCACTGCAAGAAGCCAAGTGACAGGGAACCAGGCCTTCTTGGTAGTGGCACCCGCCCTGTGGAACGCCCTCCCACCAGATGTCAAAGAGAACAACAACTACCAGACTTTTAGAAGACATCTGAAGGCAGCCTTGTTTAGGGAAGCTTTTAATGTTTGATGGATTACTGTATTGTAATATTTTGTTGGAAGCCACCCAGAGTGGCTGGGGAAGCCCAGCCAGATGGGCGAGGTATAAATTATCATCATCATCATCAATTGGCCTGTGCAAGTCAGTAGTTTTTATCATAATGCATTTGCTGCACGGACCAGGAATTAGGCTGCAACACTGGATACCTGCCAAAATTTGGATTTACCACCCAGACCAGTGAAATAATATACTTTTGGCAACTTTATGGTCACAGCCTTTGTCATGCTCTGCCCTAGTAACAGTAAGATCAAAAGAGTCATGGGTGGGAGCAAGAAGAAAAATAAATAAGCCAATGAATGGAGCAAAGAAAAGCAAACTGTTTATGAATATATATTACTGTATTGGGAGTTCATAGGATAGGATTAGGAAAAACGGCACCTCTACCTGCCTGTCACTTGCAAATTCTTATAACTGCTTAGAAGCTTACTGGAGGTCAGCACCAAACACCCAAACAGACTAATCTGCATTATAGACACTTAATGAAAGTCACAAGGTTTTACATAATATATATTGGCGGCACAAGAAATGTTTGTCAGAGTAATTTGTCATCAGGATTAGACTTTGTGAAAGCGCCCATTGTTTGTTAACCTGTTTGGTGATTTTTGTTTTTGTTTTTTTGTCCAACCCTTAGTATACCCAAGATTCTCCAAATAAATTACAATGGGGAACATGGAAACCAAGTCTTTGATGACTGGCACCAGCATCACCCAACAGTAGCATATGGAGGAAAAAATGCTGTCATGATAATATCATTGTAATAAATCTACACAGCGCTTTTTTGTGGTGGGGGGAGGGGGAAGTATGCACTAGTACAGAGTACTATACTGTTACCTCTTTTTTTCTGCCCATGGCAGTAATTTTGTGCTTGCAGCCACAGTACTTTCATCAAGACATGAGTATCGGCACCTCATTTCTTACCAAGAAAGAAAGAAAAAGCACTTGATGTACATCAGATAATTTAAAGGATTTGAGTTATACAGAACGCACATGCAAGCCTTGAAATGAGATGAATTTTTTTTTTTAAATTGTGGAGCTTCTCATGACAACATGTTCCTTTGTAATAAAATATATCCAAGGATAATGGTAATGGGTGTCATTCACACAGCCTACACAGTACAAATAAAGCATATTTTGCCACCCCCACCACAATGGCTCTAAGGAGCTGGCAGAGATAGCAAAATCTATAGACAGGCTTCCACAGGCATAGATGTGCCTGTAATCTGCAGGCACCAAGGCCTAGACGTCTCTAAGGAGACCTAGTGAAGTCTGACTCAATGGGGAACCGTTCTAGATCTAGATGGAAGATGCTATAGAATTATTATTGAATTCTGCAATGGGTTAAGCCAAACAGATCCCAAAATCCACCACAGAATTCTGGAGACTTCCAGGAATTTGGTGGCCAGCCTAAGCAAGTTAGTAGGGTTTCAGTTGTTGTTTTTCTGGTATTCATAAAAGTATTGTGGCTGACCCTTGAAAACCTTAATATCGTTCATGCTTGTTTGTTCTATCAGCTATCTCAGGCCTTGCAAATTTATTTTTCATACACTGATATGCTGGAATTTTGTATATCATGTGTATTAACATAGCACGTGCCAAGTTATAGC